CACTTCAAGGGAGCCTTCTGTTATATTTGAATTCATGTGTTCGTGTTAATTGGCGGCTGGTGACTCATGATTATGAATCGTCACGACGAACCAATTGCGCACCGACTGAGGTTCTCCCCATCTGCTATCATGTGATAAGGCATCGTGTGATAAGACTTAAGTACCATTCAGATGTCCGGTACAATAGCAGGGGCGCAATTATGGGGTACGTGGCATTCGTTATGGGACACATAGGGGCCCAGTCGGCCACAAGGGGGGCCCTGAATCAATGAATTAACAAGTAAAAAAATCGAAAAAATATTCCGACAATTAACTATAAATGGCAAAAAAAACATTGTTACGCGTCAAAAAATATATATTTCCGAAAAATACACCACGTCAAATAGAGTAGTGCTACTGGTGTTTGTTATTGAACAACAGGTATTTTTGCTAACTGGCACATGAAAGCAAGACGCGCGATTATTTAATTGTGAGTATTGTGCCCTTAAATCTCTTTATTAATACTGTCACTGTGAGTCTGTCTTTCTCTAAACCCAATACATGGTGCAACTAAAATACGATATAGTTATAGCCTACATATACAGGTTAAAAACATCCATATGTATTTCACTAAAAGTGAGTTGGGAGAAATTAAGGGGCTCACAGTTGTACCTTGCATGCGCCCGTTAAAATAGGCAGTTGTGCCCTGCACAGTCGCGCAACCTTCACGTTCGTGAATGGCCCAAGGAAGTAAACATCATACCTTTCAGATCTCTTAAAGTGACTGTGGTCAATATTCTAATGACAAATACTTTCACAAGACAGTTGAAGTCAGAGCTGGAACTTAGTTAAATGAAGTTCAGAATCAAATGTAAAATTATGGTTTTGTTGCGTAATCATTAATGATCAGGCTACCAAACAAATCACTGCACTTGAGAACCCGGTGTTATCCCAGGAAGTTGCCTGCATTCGAATCCAGGATCTCAGCGGTGCCAGCTCATTGCACTGATATTTGAGTCACCTCACCACCTCTAAAAGACTTGTTCTGTTTTAAGAAATTCATTTTATAATGCTGATGATAAAATATACTGTTTTTAATATAAGACCTTCAGTTAAATATTACACTTTCAGTTATAGAGCCTTGTATAATATCCATACACAATGCACATGAATTACGTATTGCAAAACAAACTTATATATAAAGTTTACTTGCAGTTCTTAACACGTGATGATGAACTGCCTTGTTTTCTCTGAAGGTGATCATCTCTTGACTTCCACCCACATCTCATCATCCAAAAAGAAAACCCTCTTCCTGATTCAGGGGAACACCTCGCATGTGCAGCCGACAGTGAACCACACTCTTTACCACGAGAGGGGTCGGATGGAACACAACAGGAACCATCAGCTGCCATCTCTATTATTAAGAGCACATTGCACAAACTGGACAACCGACACAGAAGTAGTGTATCAACAAACCAGAAGCAGTCGCCTCCTTTGAGTGAGATTGAGTCACGTGAGTTCGAACTTGATGAAGTTGATCCCGGAGGAAACCCTCCGGCGAAGAGCCATGGAGCAAAGCCGCATTGGTGCGAGGTGTGCAAGAGTAGCCTTTCATCACCTGACGAACTGGAGGCCCACCTGTGCAGGCACACCGGCAAGAAGGTGCACAGTTGCTAGGTGTGCGGGCGCGTCTTCTTCCAGGCCACTGGTCTAACGATCCACCTGCGCACGCACACGGGCAAGGCGCCGTACACCTGCGGCGTGTGCCGTGATGGCTTTTGGCAGTCCAGCGACCTGAAGATCCACTTGTGCAAACACACGGGCGAGAGACCGTACCAGTGCGAGGTGTGTGGGCACGGGCTTTTACCGGGCCTTTGAGCGGAAGGTCCAGGGAACTCAATACAAATTTGATTACGTGTGTCTTAAGGTGTGCGGGCGTGGCTTTTTGCGATCGGGCGAGCTGAAGGCGCACACACGCATTCATACCGGCGAGAAGCCGCACATCTGAAAAGTGTCCGGGCGCGAATTTACGAGCTCACATGACCTAAAGACGCACCTGCGGACGCACACGGGTGAGAAGGCGTACTCTTGCTCGGTGTGCGGGCGGTGCTTCGCTCAACGCTCGCTGTTGAAGAGTCAATAGTGAACAAAGCATGGCTTGGGGGAATCCCAAAAAGTTGACTGACACAGTGTCCCACTTATATGGATTATTATTGAATGTCTCAAATGTATACCCTGAAAATAATTAAAAAGCAATAAAGACGTGGATAGCTTAACTACTAATTGCACATGAAACCAATAACGTGTTTTCAAAATGTTTAAAAAGATGGATATTCCGCATTTTTAGTTGGTGCTACTGGTTTGCAGTTTTTAAGAAAGCAGGAATCTAGGAAATGCATGTTGTGATATCCAAATGGTGAAACTAGGAATGAGACTTGAGTCTGACAGAAAAAGGCACAGATTGCCAGAGACATTTCTTCCAACGGGATCAATACAGAACGTGATCCCAACCTGGTGCCATGTCAGTTGCACTTCAACGTAACCAAAGAATGAGCAGAACTAATTTTATGAAAAACGAAAATGCTTAACATATGCTCACTCGTATATGCGTCAGAGCCGAGTGCACTGCACATAGACAAACCGCGAGTGTACGATCTTGCGTACTCATACATGTTACAAGTAACATGGGGTTTTTAGTTTATTGGGGTTTATGGAAATAGTTATATTTATTATTGTTGGGTAATGAGAGTTAAGGAACATCCCGGGTCTTTATAATCATACATTTCGCGTACACACATTGCGGATTTAGCTGGGATGCTCTATTGTAGTGGTTGTGTCCGAAAGTGCAACGTAGCATGCTGAGCGAAAGCAAAGTCAGTGTTACGGTACGGGCCTTGGTTATTCACATGAAAAGCTTCTGTCGGGAGCATGGCGGAATTTTATGTAGATGAATAAAGTACTGCCACCGTTCATTGCTTGCTCACAGAGTCCTCTTGACACGACACGGTGACGAGAAGGAGCAGAACACAACTCAAGAGTACCAAAGTCTTAAAGCTCTGGCTTTAACTCCATGCTCTCCGCGAGATCACGTTGAGAAAGTTGGGACGCGGCCCCCGCTTACACGGAGAGCAAATTGTCTAAAACTGCAAGATACTCGGAGAAAATAAAAAGATGAAAGTATTTTTCTGTATACTGGAGGAATCCGATGAGCTCTGAAGCTCTTTTTCATAGATGTCCATTAGGGTTGAGTAAGAACGTTACAACAATAGACAAAAACATGATTGTCCAAAGTACAAGAAAGGTCAACATATCACACAAACAGTACAGATGAAACCAAACCATCCCCATCCTACTAGGCAAAGCCCACTGAGGTATTAACATTCTTCAGAAGTGACCTGGCCACAAATGACAGCTCAACAAAGTGACCCATCATTTGAACATTTATAGCAGCAACATCTAAATTGTAATGAGAAAATAAATCGGGGAACTCAATACAAATTTGATTGTGTGTCTTAACGTGATATGTAAGTATAAACTAAGAACAATTAAGGTTGATGATTAAAAAAGTGGCAGAATTTTATGTAGATCTCACAGCAAAAAATAAATCCCATACCTGTCAACTCTTTATCAGTGCCCTGCCTTATTACAGAGCAATTCAGACCTAATTGGTCACACCGTGTCCCTTATAAATCTCAACGTTCATCCTACAAAGTCTCATCACAAGGGGAGAAACACAAACAAATAGACAAAACAGTTTTTACTCAAATGCTCCTGTACAAAAATACGGGTAAACCGTATGGGTTGACAGGTATGGTATAGTGTAGTAGTGTATAGTAGCGAAGTGTATAGTGTCATCATGACATCTCCTTTGCCAGTGCCAAAATATGATAATAGGCTTTTCCCCTTTTTTTCTGGCAACAAAACAGGTGTAAAGATGTTAAAACACCAAACTGAAACCTTTTACAAGGAATCATGTCTGCATTAACCACAATGCTTGTGGTCAGAATGCATTTTTTTTTATTTGATATGATGCATTGTCCTTGAAACTGATTGGTCCACACCAGAGACAGCTTTCTTTTGAGCCTCGTCTCAAAACGGTGTTAGACCAGAGGACGCCAAAAGGCGTGTTTGCATACTGACCACAAGAATTGTGGTTAATGGACACATGATTCCTTGTAAGAGGTTTCAGTTTGGTGTTTTAACATCTTAACACCTCTTTTGTTGCCAGAAAAAAATGGGGAAAACCTATTATCTTTGTAGAGTGTCATGTAGTGTATAGTGTCGTGTATAGCGTACATATCAACCCCTTATCAGTGCCGACCTTATTACAGACCAAGTCAGACCTAATTGGTCACCCCGCGTCCCATATGAATCTCAACGTTAATTCTACAGAGTCCCATCACAAGGGGGGAAACACGAACTCAATTTGCCCTGTACAATAATAGGGTAAGCCCTATGGGTTGAACAGGTGTGCTTCACCGCCCATTGAAAGCCATAAAATCGATCCGCTTCGGGTTGTGTTCTCAACAAATTCATCATCGTTCGTTGGCTTACATTGGGTTAAGGGCCGTCCATAAATGACGTCACGCGATTTTGGATGATTTTTGACCCCCCCCCCTCCTCGTCACATGGCGTCACAAAAAGTCAGACCCCCCCCCCCTCAAATATAACGTCACAAAGCTCTGCCCCCCCCCCCCAAAACCATATTTCATAATTCCATTTTGAAAATAAAACATGCTTCAAATCACTTTAAACTATTGTCATTGTAGTGCGTACTTAATGTGGCGCTGCACTCTGATGTTGTAGGAGTGTTGTTAGAACAATTAGTGTCGTTATAACAATTCTATATTTATTTAAAGTTGCGCATTTTGATGTGACGTTACATTTCTCACCCCCCCCCCCCCCCCCGGTCGTCACACATCGTCACAAATGTCTTAACCCCCCCCACCCCCCGCCGCCTAGGTGCGTGACGTCATTTATGGACGTCCCCTTATTCCCCAGCCACTTTGATTGTCTCAAATGACCGCGGTCCCTAACCTGTGCGATTCGCAGCCGAAGGAGACCGGCGAACTGCGACGTTTCGTGTGGTGGAGGCAGCGGCCCTCTCAATGACCGCTGATGGTTTCGGTTGTCTTATCGAAAGGTTTCCCTCCACTTCTATATTTAAATGTATTTTTTTGTTTGTTAATACCTTTCTCGTCCGCCGAGGCCAAGCCGGGCAGAGCTGGGCTGTTTGAAGATCCAATATATATTTTTTGGGGGGGGGGTATTCCTGTAAAAAGTGCCGTTGTTGTTTAGAGGCTCTACGTAAGAGATACCCTTTTATTCGCAAATTATGCCAGAGGATTATTTTTCCAGTCGAGAATCTTGACAAACTCCACGGCTCCCTGTTTAGGAGCGACGAATAGACGTGGGAGGAGAACGAGGAGGAGAAAGAGACGAGTTGGGGGTTGTTTGTTGAGTCGCACTCCGAAACTCAAAAGTATCTTTCTTCACAACAGGGTAAGCGAGTTTTTTTTTTAAACAAACCCTGTATTGTGGATGATATTGGTCGCGAAAGCCTACGTGTTAAACTGAGGGGTAAGCGTACTGGCAAGAAGAGCTACCCCACGATATACTTGCTCACTCTTGAGCTATAGATGCTCTGATACGTGGCATTGTCTTGGTACTGTTCGCATTTTGTTGCTGTTCTCTGGGTCGTCTAACACGTGGTGAGACTAGGCCATGAAAAAAAGAACGCTGTGTCTGGTGTGAACCAATCGGTTTCAAAGTCAATGCATCCATTATGATTAGGGGCCGTCCATAAATGACGTCACGCGATTTTGGATGATTTTTGACCCCCTCGTCATACGGCGTCACAAAAAGTCAGACCCCCCCCCCCCCACAAATATGCTTCAAATCGCTTTAAACTATTGCCATTGTAGTGCGTATTTAATGTGGCGCTGCACTCTGATGTTGTAGGAGAACACATTAAAAAGTCTATTTAATTAAGTAGAACGTGTCTATATTTATTTAAAGTTGCACATTTTCATGTGACTTCACATTTCTCACCCCCCCCCCCTCGTCACATCGTCACAAATATCTGCCCCCCCCCCCCCCCTAGGTGCGTGACGTAATTTATGGACGGCCCCTTAGAGCATGTTTTGTCTGCATGTTCGCCATTAAATACTCTGTGTGGTTCATGCAGACTTGATTTCTTGCAAAAGGTTTCTATCTGGTCTCTGAACATCTTAACTCCTACTGTTTTATTGCCAGAAAGGGTAAAACCTAACAATATTTTTGTATAGGATAAGCGTGGTTATGTAACGCCACCCCCCCCCCTCCCCAATGTACCACAAGATTAGGTGACCATACTTCACCATACCGGTGAGTAGACCCACATCTGCGGTGGAGGCCCTCGTCCAGCAGTGGATTGACACTAGAGGCTGTTTGCGTGTGCCATGGAAGCTGGGCAGGGGTGCCCAGACGTTACTGCGCTACGGGCATATCAGCAATGTCTACACTCCATAATATAGCTTCATCAGGCGACAGACATATTTGTGGAGAAGTCCACCTGTTTCGTTCCTTATATAGAGGCGTCGTACGTCTCGGATTGTAAATGTTGTGGCTTGACTCTCCAACATACCGGTGTGCTGTACTAGTGACGAATTGGCCACGTTCTGTTTACGTGACAACCCTTATTAGTTGTCTGTGTCGGGTGGTGGCGGGTTTTAACGACCCATTTATATATTTACGTGATCTAACCCAAAAAAAATCTCTTATGGATGATAATTGGTCGCGAAAGCCTACGTTTTAAAATGTTTATACTCTCCTGTTTTATAAACGGTAAAGTAAAGCAGGTATGGTAAAGCTGGATTTCGAGAAAACGTTGGAACACTGCACGCCAATGAGCCTCTACGCACAGCATTCCGCACAGTCGCTGTGCATCGTACGCCCAAGCTGTTTTCATTCAACCTCCGGACTATACGGCAGGTGAATTCAGCCAAGCGCCAGCAGGACAAAAGTTTGCATTGTTATACCTGGCAACCCATACGGCGTACCCTGAATTCTTGTACAGGGAAATTGAGTTTTTCAGGTCCATACGGCATACAGCCGTTTCAGTACAGGTAAAAAAAGTTTGTGTTTCTCCCCTGTGATGGGACTTTGTAGGATGAACATTGAGATTTATAAGGGACACGGGGTGACCAATGAGGTCTGAATTGGTCTGTAATAAGGTAGGCACTGATAAAGGGTTGACAGGTATGCGTTATGTTCACATATACAACAAGATCAACGAAGCCACCTCTGACCTCGAAACACACACGAGTGGACCAGTTGCTAAAGCGTGACCCAGAGGCTATCTGCCTCGCACATTCCATCGGCACCCCGAGAGAGGATGTTCCAGCGACTGGCGTTCGCCGGAGCTCTCTGCTGGCTCGACCGGCTGTGGCTCAACGTGGGTCGTTGATGCCCGGACGTAGCAGCTACCGATAGCAACCAGCCAAATTGTCTGCAGCCACTTTCCCAATAGCCAACACAAAAAGATCGTTATAGCAAGTTGCCCTTATGGAATCAGCTACCACCTCTGTCACCAAGATCACCACCGATTAGCATGGTTGGCTACGTATGGTGCGGAAGAAGTTCGACATTCGTCACATCCCACCAAGTCATTCATGTCATGCTAGAGCCCATGGTCATCTCCACCAGGAATATTCGTGTAATGATGACCTAGACGAAGCAGTGGCCCTTAAGAAGTCACTGAACTCTCCCCACAGGCAGCAGTGGTACGAGAGAGTCCAGAATCTGGATTTCACACATTCAAGCCCTGAAACTTGGAATTTTCTCCATCGTCTTGGCATTGCAAAGCTGTAAAAGCACAGGCCGGGCAAAGCAATTTAACATGTGAAATTACCACCCAATGAAAACATTTGCACATTCTCTCTTCAAATCCCAATCAGAATGGCGTGCGCGGTGGCCTGCCCACTGCCGGAGCCTAGCGGGGACTTCCCGGCGTGGCTGGAGGCGCAGGGTGTGAACGCGGAGGTGGCCCGGGCCATGGACTCCGAGCTGGGCATCCGGGACTACGGGGTCCTGCGCGCCTGCGTCGGGGACGGCCTCGTGCGGGCCGAGCTGCTGGCCACGGCGCGCGACCGCCTGCCCTTCGGCTTCTACGCCGTGCTGCGGCAGGTGGTGAAGGCCCTGCAGGGGGCCGAACCCCACGACGCTGGGACGCCGTGCTGGGACGATGATGCCGCCGCCTCCACTTCCTCTCCTGGCGACGTGACGCTGGGAGGCCTGATGGACGTGCTCCTCACGCTGTTTAGCAGCTTGAGCCGGGAACTGCTGCTGTCCGTGCAGAGGATGCGTGACATGGACAATGATAAATATGTCATGGCTTCTGCTTTATCAACGGGTGCTCTCCATTCCGATGTCATGGAAGATGAAACGCATCCAAGGGAAGAAAATGGTAATGCATAATTGCGTCAAATATATTTTTTACAGTTACGTTTTGCATAGAGAATTACAGGACAGCGCTTTAGTTTCATTTACGTCACATCATTTTTATCTGCAACCAAACCGTTTTACAATAATTGTCCCCCATGCTCCCGAGCGATGGGCAATACACATTCCTTTTGGCGGTCTTGATGCAGTGGTGGAAATTGCATGTTAGAATGACTTCATCACCACTTTATATGCTAGACATTGTTGACTTAATTGCACTAAGTGGTAGGGATGTCACCCTTTCCACAATGCAAAAAATTGTTATGACTTGGATAGAATCCATCATGGTTGCAGTGGATCCTTTATAACTGGTATAACCTCATCAGAAGGTCCTCATTTTCCCACAAAACATTTCACAGTTAATTTTGCTTAAGTTGGATATTAGATAGTTTTCCTGATTCCGTACAGGTCTCACCGTAAAAGGAATATCAGTGGGTACGAGGATCAATCTACTTTTTAAACGTTTTTGCACCCGGCGACCTGCGTTCAATTCCCGGCCATAGATGGCGATGAGGCGTTGAGTTTATTCTGGCTAGCATTTAACTTTTGTAGTCACGAGCTTGGTGTTTCTTAAATCAGCCTCACCAGCTGCTTGACACTACACCGTGTCATACAGCATCATTGAATGATGCTTAAAGTTATAGCAAACGTGATCGACAACCTCAGGTTTGATATCACTTGGCCTGCCAATTAATATTATTGTTGGTAATAGGCATTAAGGTAAGAAGGTCAATCATTGCCATTCAATGTTCCAAAATAAATCCAGTAAAATCTTGGATTGCGAGTAACTTGGTCTGCGAGTGTTTTGCAAGACGAGCAAACATTTTAAATAAATATTAATTTTCATAATAAAGGTTCTTGGGTTAGATCGCGTTTATTTATAAATGTGTCGTAACCCTCCACCACCCGACACGGCCAATCAGCAAAAAAAGTGTCACGTTGACAAAAGACAAATAATTCACTACTTCAGCCCACCGGTGTGTTGAAGAGTTAATCCACATTTACAGTTTGAGTACGACGTTTCGCTGGTAAATACATCCAGCATCATCAAGCAATTTGCTGATTGGCCGTGTCGGGTGGTGGAGGGTTACGACACATTTATAAATAAACGCGATCTAAGCCAAGAACCTTTATTATGAATAATATTGGTCGCGAAAGCCTACGTGTTAAACTAAATATTAATTTGATAAACGAGCGAGGTCTTGCAATACGAGTAGTACGTATACGCTTTGTCTGCCGAGCGTCACGTGATCACAACTTATATACGAGTGAATTTTGATTTAAAGCTTTCGTGACTGCGGTAATTCATATTCTTAGCTCTTTCGGTAAAGTCACGTTGAAGGGAAACAATAAAATAATAAAATATATTTTTTATTTTATTGTTTCCCTTCAAAATATATTTTATTGTATTTTTTCCCTTCAACGTGACTTTACCGAAAGAGCTAAGAATATGGTATACGAGTGCTTTGATATACGAGTGCTTTGGATTACAAACATGTTTCCGGAACGAATTATGCTCGCAAATCCAAGGTTTTACTGTAGTTGATTTCGTGTAAAAAAAATTTGTTGTCCCGCGAAAGCAGAAAGCAACTGGACCACAGCACCAAATGACTCCAGATCAAACTTGACGGGGAACCTGATTAAAAGCGAGCCCCCTGAAGGTAGAGTTGTTTTTTATTCATTCAACAAGCTGCACTCACCATAGTCCGCACTTGCCATGAGTTTACTTGGCTTAGTTGAGTTAATGTATGCGCATGCATTAGCTCAAACTTTCAGTGCTAGTGCTTAGAACAGGATGTCATTCAATCACATTTAGCATGTTTTTGCATGCACCACTACTATGATTACTAGATATCTGCTGCCACCTCGAGAATTGGAGCAAGGCTCAGTTAATTACACTTCCGAATATGGAGCACATACAATCTAACTAATTCTGCAACTACTGAGGTTTTCGGCTTGTGCTATTACATGTTGTACGGCATGTACACTAAACATGGGGAATGGTTTTAAAAGTTGTGTAATCTCCTGTAGATGTAGATGCCGCTCGTTCTTCATGTTCTACAGAGGTAGATGCCACCACCTCCTGTTGCGCGGCGGTTGAGCTTATGACTCTTCAGTCCGAACAGGCAACTGGACCTACAGACAGGTTATCTTTTAAGGGATTCATTTAATAATGCTGATGTTGCAATAACATAACACTGTTTTGAATACAAATTCTTCACTTAAAAATTACAGTTTAACTGATAGAGACTTCAATAACAGCAGCATACATTACACATTAATTATATATATATTTTAAAAAAACTGTGTACATTTATACGCAGTTTACTTGGTGTGCTTAACACGTGATAATTAATTGCTTGTTTTCTCTGAAGGTGATCATCTCTTGGACTTCCACCCAAATCTCATCATCCAACATGTGACCTCACTTCTTGATTCAGGAGCAGACCTCGCTTGTCCAGCTGATGGTGAACCGCACACCTTAGCACCGGAGCAGTGGGAAGAAACACAGCAAGAAGAATCAGCTGCCACCTCTATCACTAAGAACACATCGCAGCAACGAAAGAACCAAACCATAAGGAACATCATGATGAACCAGAAGCAGCAGCAGCCGCCCCTTGTGAACGAGATCGAGTCACACGAGTTTCAAATTGATGCAGCCGATCCTGTAGGAAACCCTCAGGCGGAAAGCTCTGGTGTAAAACCGCATCGGTGCGAGGTGTGCAAGAGTAGCCTTTCATCACCTGACGAACTGGAGGCCCACCTGTGCAGGCACACCAGCAAGAAGGTGCACAGTTGCAAGGTGTGCGGGCGTGCCTTCTTCCAGGCCACTGGTCTAAACATCCACCTGCGCACGCACACGGGCAAGGCACCGTACACCTGCGGCGTGTGCGGTGATGGCTTTTGGCAGTCCAGCGACCTGAAGATCCACTTGTGCAAACACACGGGCGAGAGACCGTACCAGTGCGAGGTGTGTGGGCGTGGCTTTTACCGGGCCTTTGAGCGGAAGGTCCACATGCGCACGCACACGGGCGAGAAGCCGTACGTCTGCCAGGTGTGTGGGCGTAGATTTTTACGATCCAACGAGCTGAAGGTGCACACACGCATTCATACCGGAGAGAAGCCGCATGTCTGCATAGTGTGCGGGCGCAAATTCACGATCTCCAGTGACATGAAGAAGCACCTGCGGACACACACGGGTGATAAACCGTACCCTTGCTCAGTGTGTGGGCAGTGCTTTGTTCAGCGCTCACATGTCAAGAAGCATGAGCGAACAAAGCATGGCTTGGGGAAATCCTGAAAAGATGATTGAGAGATGTTTCACATACTTGGATTATTGAATGTCTCAAACATATATGATATTTCCCCCCCCCCCCCCACAGCATTACCTTTGGCACTCTGGACTAATATGATCTCAGATCTCTCCATTAGATACTGACTGCCAGAATGTATTGTGCTTAAGGAAGGAGAGATTAGCTCTGTGGGAGTAGAATGGGAACAACGGTGAGGCCACGTAACCCTTTCCCGTTCCGAGATGACTGCAAGTGGCAGGGTGGGTCCCGTTCCCCGCTGAATCAGGGAACACGCAAGCTTTCTAGAGTTAATTTTATTTAGAGGCATAGCTTTATTTTTTTATATCTACGGTGACTTTACCAAAAGAACCAAAGAATATGAATTCCTGCAGTCATGAAAGTTTCGAGTCAAAATTTAGAGGCATAGCGCTGTTCTTTTTGAAGACATTTTACTGTACTCACCGCAGAGAACTGTAATGACACGTCCACACGCTATGGAGGCTCGTGCCAAACGGTGTGATGTACACGTATGTAATCGGAATGGGAAATGGTTCATAAGGATCAAGTGGAATCGATAAGGAACCTCCCTCCCCCCACTTTGTTCCTCATGGTAGCATTTACTTATTCACTAACATGATGGTATCCTGGAAATAAAACAGATGTGTTATGAAAGCAATAATAGCTCGTATATATGCATTGCGGTTGTACTGTTCGCCTTTTGACATTTTCTGGTCTAACACGGGTGTTGAAACAAGACCACAAAGAAGGTTTTCTCTGATTTAGGCCAGTCCATTTCAAAGACTGCGTTTATTATTGGAGCATATTTGCATGTTTTGCAACATGTATGTTTGGATCATAGAGACTTGATGCCTTGGTGTTTTGAACATCTTAACACCTGTTTTCATTAAACTTGATTTGAAGCTTTCGTGACTACAGGAATTACTCGTTGGTTCTTTCGGTAAAATCACATAGAAAAAATATAAAATAAATAATATGACGTTTCTATTGCAAATCACAAGGCCAAAATAGTGTGAGGCCTTCATCAAGCACTGGTCGGCACCTCACATTGTCCCCCAAGAGGCTAAATGTTTTCTCCCTGAGCGTAAATGGTCTCAACCGCCCCATCAAGAGGCAATGGGGGACAACTCTTGTACCTAAATTTACACTACGCAGATGTCGCATTCCTTTAGGAGACGCCTCACGCCAGGCGAAGCTGGGACATTCAAACGCCATTGGGTTGGTCAAGTGTTTTCATTCCACACGTTCCTTCAGCAGGAGAGGAGTTCCCATCTTGCGGCATAAAAACCGTCATTTCGTGCTCCCAAACAAATCAGATCCCCAGGGGAGAAAGTTTGTAGGCCCCTCGACCAAGGAGGGAGAAATGCTGTCGTTCTATCCGGCACCAACCAAATTTGAAATCCCGCCTCCATCTCTTTACATATTTACAGATCAGAGACGCCAAAACAAAATCCCCCGACAAAAACCTAGACGGACCCCCCACCCATCCTATCATAGACTGACTGGAAAAGCCAAGGCCTAACTATAGACTATCGAAAGCTTACCATTTGCTGGGCATGAAGGCGCCAGGACCAAATCAGCAACCAACCAGGAAACTATGGAATAGAAGCCGCCTTCCCCGAGAGGTCATACTGCAGAAATGGTCCCAAATCTGGCAAGCCACTAGATCTGGCCCAAGGTTAACACCACTCAGACTGGTGCAGTTTAAATTTATGTCTGGCACCTACATGACAAGTGGAAGAAGGGCAAAATTCAGGACGACACCTCCTGACTGTCCATGATTCACCTGAAACAACATAAACCTACTTAAATCCGTTCTGGTCATGCCCGGCAGACATCGCAAAACTATACAAGAAGATCTCGGCCTTCTTTAATGGTATATGCGGCACCAACCTCTCTCGATAAATTGAAACCACCCCGTGAGGCCTAAAACCAGGTACCCTCTCAAAACAGCAGCACGTCCTACTCCAAAATTTCAACATAGGCAGTAAAACCATCTTGGCTTACTGTAAAGATCATGAACCCCCTTCGTGGGGACAATGGCACAACACCCTGCCAGCCCACGCCGGGATCGAACACTTGTTCCACAAAGTTAAAAGGGGAACGAAAAGGAGTTTGAGGCCAGGTGGTCCCCCCCTCTTCCGGAGTTTAAAATGAGAGGCAAAGGCAGAGAGGGTTGGGGCTCCGGAGACAGGAGCGGGTAAGGGAGGGGTAGAACCCCCCCCCCCTCCACTTTTTTGATAGCTAAGATAAGATTGACACAGAATAGAGGTGGACACCCTAACATATAGATCCGCGTGTATGTTATATGATTTGTCACGTACCTCCTCCCCACCCCTCTCCCCCCCCCCCCATATATTTTATCCCCCCCCCCTGACGGAAGACCCCCTCAAGGTGGGCACCGAGCATCCCCCCATCACCTATACATGGTTAAGTACCGAAAGTCCCCTCCTCTTCCTCCCCACAGAGGTTTTTCTGTTCCCCTCACCAGAAACCATCGAAACGTTGTACCGGGCTCGTGTGATTACCACAATAAAAACAATTTTAATACCCTCAACGCCCCTAATCGGCCAATGTGAGCACCCCCCCCCCCCCCCCCGCATTACAAGAGATGACTATACAAGACCCTCAAATTGATTAATCCCATGCCACCAAATCAGACAACCTGAGTGCCTTGAGAAGTATGGAAGAAATTAAACTTCGGCACCGGCATATTGACCCCTGGAGAATGAAAAGGATTACACGCACACATGCAAATCACACGGTGCCCGATCGAGGATCAATTACGTCTTCATCCCAAAAAGTCTGCTCTCACAAGTTACCAAACCTCAGCTTTTAGATTTCCAGCTTCATGACTATGCCCCCAATACTAACACAATTAATCATGGACCCTGAATATGTAGCCCATAGAGCCGTGGTTCCTCGACCTGAAATTGCTATCAGACAAAGACTAATGTGGAATAGATCACAGTGGATATAAAGGGCTTCTTTGAGATGCAAACTATTGATTCTACCTACCTCCCCATTGATAATCCGAGATACTCTCAATTCCTAGCTGGTCCTTAGCGTGCATCAAAGGAGAGAGGCATGCAAGGACATCCTGACACTAGATCTAGATGGGGGGGGGGGGGGGGGGTGCTGCGAAAAGCTAGTGGGAGAGAAAGAGGGGGGGGGTAACTTGAACGCATGGGATGGGTAAGTTTCCACGCTAAAATAATAAACGTGTTGGTGTTTAATACCTGTTGGTATTCAAAGACTTGGTGGATTTGGCTGTCCATCCTTTCGGTTGGGGCTGCACTACCATACATACTCTTAAACACATTTTGGAAAAGGACACATTTTTATTATTTTCCGTCAGCTGTGTTGATTATTAAGAAGACACGAGGAACAAGAAGAGTGGAGTTACTCTTTGGTTCTTTCGGTAAAGTCACGTAGAATATCAAATAAAATAATAATAGAATACGACGTTTCGGTTGCAACACAAGCAACCGTCCTCAGGTAAGAATGAATGATAAAACACAGACGCGGAAACAACAAAGATAAAGATCCCCCATATAGACTTAACAGACTGTAGGAGTGTAGGGGCAAGTGCTGTTAGCGAGCACCTATGAAGGCTGGAACGGTACACGAGGGGGTGGGTGGCCAGCACCACGCCCGACCGCCTTTGTCTCCCTAGTGGCAATGTTTACTACACACCGCGCCAGGTACTCATTTGAGGCTGAGTCGACCTAGGGGAGGCCCGGATAATCGTCACCGGTGTTGGCCGTGAGCGGGAATCGAACCCGGGTCGCCAGGTTCATAGCACAGCACGCTAACAGCTACACTATCGCTCCCCTGATGTGATGTGTTCAGTGTACACGCATTTAACATGCCGCTTTGTATTGTGCGTTGGTGACGTTGATTGTGTAAATTGTTCTTGAACTTACCAATGAGCTGAAACATAATTGGTGCGCTAAACGCTTGCGCACGTGACAATGTTTGGCTGTGTCAGGTGGTGGAGGGCCTTAACACAAATTTGGTCAGACCATTACATGACCTAACCAAAAAAATCTATTATGAATCAAATATGACGTGTTGAAATATATCACCGCCCATTTTTAGAACATTAATTCGACTTGCTTTGTTTCTTAATAAACCCATTGGCTTAACTTGGATGAATACAACATTTCATTTGAATTGAAACTCATTAAATTAACTCATTTCTTCAGAACTGCTTTTTTTGTGTTGAGTCTGTTGTCCACTGACACGTATGGCCTTATTTAAATCCAGTAACATTGCTGTGTTTCGACTTACGAACGAGGGGCGGAAAGGGGGAGGGGTCCCGGGAACGAATTCCGTTTCCTAAGTCGGTGAACTTAAGAGCAGAATGCACACAAACCACCGCGGTCCCTAACCCCTTGAATTCACGGTTGACGAAACTGGCCCGCTTACGTTGCTTGCCACACAGTTGGAAGAGAGCGAGGGACGAGGCCACGTTAAAAGTGGATGGGGCTTCAGTTGTCGCGAGTTCTAGTTAAAGCCTTAAATGTTGTTATTTTTTTTGGTAACACCGTCTCGTTTTCTGGGCGGGCTGATTGAAGACTTCGTTATTTGTTTTTTTTTCTTAACATAGTGGTGATTATCATTTGTTTTATTCAACCCCCCGAGACAGAGGCGTTGTTTCTTTCGCGAAGGTTTTTGGTCGAGAGAGGATTTTTCACCTCCCGACATCAAGATGTTATTTATATTTCTGTAAATTGGTGATTTTTAAAAAAAATATATTCAACCACCTAAGACGGAGGCGTTCTTTCCTTCGCGAAGGTTTTTGGTCGAGAGAGGATTTTTTTTCACCTCCCCACATCAGCCGGAAAACGCCACAGCGCGGTGAGATTGTACCACGTTTCACTCTCAAGTGTCACCGGGGGCTTATTGAGCAAGACGTGGTCGCGAGTTGAGGCTTTTCGTGGACTTCGCACTTTGTGGTACCGTGTCTCTAGAGTCCAGGGGTGGGGAACCTTTTTTTCTGCCAAGGGCCATTTCGATATTTATACATCATTCGCGGGCCATTACAAAATTGTCAACTTAAAAATTAGCCTGTTATATTTGGTCAAACGTTTAATTAACTCACCCCTAATGCGACGGCTGGAACCGCTTCTCTTTGGCGAGGCGTGTGATGATGTTAGCTGGTATTGATGATGTTAGCTGGTATTGATGATGTTAGCTGGTATTGATGATGTTAGCTGGTATTGATGATGTTAGCTGGTATTGATGTTAGCTGGTATTGATGATGTTAGCTGGTATTGATGTTAGCTGGTATTGATGTTGTTAGCTGGTATTGATGTTGTTAGCCGGTATTGATGATGTTAGCCGGTATTGATGATGTTAGCTGGTATTGATGATGTTAGCTGGTATTGATGATGTTAGCTGGTATTGACGATGTCGCTACTCGCAACTACTTTTCCAGGTTTGTTCCTAGATTTATTGAATTTCGAGTCCCGCCTGCGGTTGCCTTGGCAGGGCCACACCAAATGATTTCCCCCACCCCTGGTCGGGACGAAAAATAAACACCTCCCTCGTTAACGCCCACGGTTTATTCCACCATTGCACCGAGGGGGTTTCTCCCCTCGTAAAATATAGCCGGGCGACTGGCCAAACGGGACCGTCCGTGCCAACAGATCAACTCTGAATCTTCATTTGAAACTTTCCATTTTTTAATGGATTAATTTATTTACATATTCTGAACATCCAGTGAACATTAGCCGTCGACCCCTGCTTGCATGGTAATGGTGACTTGGGTTGAACTGTGTTGATGTTTGCAGTGTTAAATTGTAAAAAAAAAATCGTTCATGGTTACTCGTATTTATACAAATATATAATGTGCATGTACATACCAAGAACAGCCAGCTAAACTATCAGCAGAAACTTTCCTAACAACCAACACAGACTCATCATAAAATTTGGCATTGTCTTCCCGTTAATCAGCTCAGCACCTGAACACTGATGCAATATGCAGAAAGCGGATTAGCTGAACTATGCCTAACAACTCGATGATTGCATCCAGTCCGTAAACCCAAACCCAGAAAACTCTGAACACTTTATCCTCACATTATTTTTTGCCGCTGTGAAGAACATCTTGCGCGTCCACTTCCTGGTTCAGCAGCTAATCTTGTACCTGCAGCTGAAGAACAGGACCCTTTACCACGAGAGGGGTGAGATGAAACAGCACGAAGAATCGGCTACCACCTGTCACCAAGAACACATCACACCAAGTCATTAATGCCATGCTGGGGCCTGCAGTCATCACCAGGAATATTGGTGTTATGACCTAGACAGAGCAGTGGCCCTGTTGAAGTCACTGAACTATGCCCAGAGGCAACAGTCGTGTGAGACAGAGCAGAATATTGATTTCACACATTCAAGCCCTCAAGTTTGCAACCTTTTCCACCAACTCTTGCTTTGGCAAAGCATGAATTCACAGGCCATACAAAGTCAATGAACATGTACATCTCCCACCCAATGTAAACATTCTCTCTTCAAATCTCAATCAGGATGGCGTGCGCGGTGGCTGCTCCAGTGCTGGAGCTGAGCGGGGACTTCCCGGCGTGGCTGGAGGCGCAGGGCGTAAACGCGGAGGTGGCCCGGGCCATGGACTCTGAGCTGGGCATCCGAGACTACGGGGTCCTGCGCGCCTGCGTCAGGGACGGCCTCGTGCGGGCCGAGCTGCTGTCCACGGCGCGCGACCGCCTGCCCTTCGGCTTCTACGCCGTGCTGCGGCAGGTGGTGAAGGCCCTGCAGGGCGCTGAGCCCCACGACGCTGGGACGGCGCGCTGGGACGACGCCGTTTCCTCTCCTGGCAACGTGACTCTAGGAGGCCTGGTGGACGTGCTGCTCGCGCTGTTCAGCGGCTTGAGCCGGGAGCTGCTGATGTCCGTGCAGAGGTTGGATGACATGGACAATCATAAATATGTAGTGGCTTCTGCTTCATCAACAGGTTCAGTGAATTCTGTTGGCATGGAAGAGGAAATACATCCATGTGAAGACAATGGTAATAAATAACTCAATTATTTATGCAGTTATGTTTTTTTCATTGAGAACTACAGGGCAGTGCCTTAATTTCAATCATGTCACTCTACGCATTTTATTTTTATCGTAACTATATTACAATAATTGCCCCTCTGCTTTCGAGTGCTGGGCAATACACATTCTTACTTGGCAGTCTTGAAATGCACTTGTTTAAATTGCATGTTACCTTGGCATTTACACTGCATTATATTCTAGCCACTATTGACATAATTGCACGCAGTTTGATTTCATTTAATTGTTTTGACTTGGATAGAATCCATGATGGATTGCAATGCATCCCTTCGCGCCAAAATGTCACGGGTTATTTTGCTACATTGTTTGGGCAATACAGTCATATAACTCATCGTTTTCCTGATTTCAGCTGTGCCTCTGGTCGTGCAGGTATCACAGTAAAAGGAGCATCTGCGGGTACCAGGATAAATCTGTTTTCTAAACGTTTTTCACAGTAGTTAATGCCCCAGGTCGGTGACCTGAGGTTAATTCCTGACCATGATGATGAGGATGTGTTGAGCTTATCCTGGCCGGGATTTCACTTTGTAACTTTTTTAGTCATAACCTGGGTGTTCTTCTTAAATCGGTGTCACCAGCTGCTTTACATTAAACCACGTGATACAGCAGGGAATGCTACAGTTTAACTGTCACAATTGATGCAATGGTCGAATGATGTTTAAAGTTATAGTGAATGTAATTAATACCTCTTTAGAGCTGCTTTTTGTCTTTATCTTGTTGTCCTTCCCTCCCACCTCTGATTAGCACAGTTGGCTACATATGGTGCAAAAGAAGTTCAACATAATACTAAGGTGTAATATTACTTGGTCTTCTAATTAATATTGTTAGTAATGCAAGTTTTAAGGTCAAAAAAGGCCATTGTCATTCATTGTTCTCAGATATAGGGAAGAAAAAAGATAATTGTTGCAATAACTGCTCAATGTTGATGATTTGTTTTTTTATATGTCCAGCAAAAGGAGAAAAGAACTCGACCACAGTCACAAATGACTCCAAACCAAACTCGATTGGGAAGCTTATTAAAAGCGAGCCCCGTGAAGGTAAATTTATTTTCTTCATTCAACAAGTTACACCAACCACATTCTGTGTTTGCCATGGATTCAATTGGCTTGAGTCCAGTTTCAATTCTGTGTTGCGTGCGTGCTTGTACCTGGATGTTATTCAATCACAGTTATGTTTTCCAGTTACCAATGCTAACATGAGTTGTGTGCTGCTAACTAAAGAATGGGAGCAAGGCTCAGTTGAACACACTTCATGTTAGCCCCCTGTTATTTGTAAATTAATGTGTATGTACAACATATAATGCACTGTTAAATGGTGAATAAGAGTAGCGAACTTTATGCATAAGAAACCAATTCTGCACTCTACTGAGATTTTCCCCTTGTGTTACGTGATAAGGCATCACGTGATGAGACAGAAGTATCCATTCAGATCTCTCGCAGAGCAGTGCAACCATTCTGGTTTGCGAACAGCCTACAGAAGCAGATATCCCAGAGGTACCTCCGAGATGCCTTAACGTGACCATGGTCGAAACATAAATGGGTATTACTTTCACAACCACCCTTTTAGCCAGTGTAATATTTGACGCATGACAAACTGACGTTTTATTTATTTTCGGAGCTGTAATTTAGCCAAAGTAATTTCAGAACCAGAATTAATATCGTGATTTTTTTTGTGTGCAGTCATTAGTGACTGCGCTGACACCAGCAGCTTCAATACACTTGAGAGCCTCGTTTAATCATGGGCAGCTGCCTGCAATCGAACCCAGGATCGCAGTGCATTTCAGTAGTCTGATTTATGAGTCACTCGGCAACCTCTCAAAGGACTTGTGTTCTCTTTTAATGGATTCATTTTAGAATGCTAATGTTGCAATAACATACAGTTGAATACAAATTCTTCACATATATCTTACACTTTAATTGATAAAGATGTGAATAACATCAGTACACATTCCACAATTGCATTTTGTAAAAAAATAAACCTTTGTACATATATAAAGTTTAATTGCAGTGCTTAACACGTGGTAATGAACTGCTTTCTTTTCTCTGAAGGTGATCATCTCTTGGGCTTCCACCCACATGTCGTCCAAAATAATACCACGCTTCCTGAATCAGGAGCAAACCTTGCATGTGCAGCTAGGGATGAACCGCACGTCTTACCACGAGCGCTGTTGGAAGAAGCACAGCAAGAAGAATCGGCTGCCACCTCTGTCACCAAGAACACATCCACCCAGCAACTGGAGATCCGAAAAATAAGGAACGTCATGACAAACCAGAAGCAGCCGCCCACTGTGAGTGAAACTAGGTCCCACGAGTTTGAACTTGAAGCCGATCCTGTACGAAACCCTCAGGCTGAAAGTTCTGGAGTGAAGCCGCATTGGTGCGTGGTGTGTAAGAGTAGCTTTTTGTCACCTAGCGAACTGGAGGCCCACCTGTGCAGGCACACCGGCAAGAAGGTGCACCGTTGCGAGGTGTGCGGGCGCGTCTTCTTGCAGGCCACTGGTCTAACGATCCACCTGCGCACGCACACGGGCAAGGCGCCGTACACCTGTGAGGTGTGTGGTGATGGCTTTTGGCAGTCTAGCGACTTGAAGATCCACTTGTGCAAACACACGGGTGAGAAGCCATACCAGTGCGAGGTGTGCGGGCGCGGCTTTTACCGGGTGTTTGAGCGGAAGGTCCACATGCGCACACACACGGGGGAGAAGCCGCATATTTGCCAGGTTTGTGGACATAGATTTTTACGTTCCAGCGAGTTGAGAATCCACACACGCATTCATACCGGCGAGAAGCCTTATGTCTGCAAAGTGTGCGGGCATGAATTCTCGATCTCCAATGACCTGAAGAAGCACCTGCGGACGCACACGGGCGAGAAGCCGTACTCTTGCTCGGTGTGCGGGCAGTGCTTCGCTCAGCGCTCACATGTGAAGAGTCACGAGCGATCAAAGCATTGCTTAGGGGAATCCCAGAAAGATGATTGAGAGGTGTCATACTCACGTGGATTATCTCAAATGTATGACATTTATCCAAGACCAATTAAAGGTAATTCAAAAATCAATAAAGGCCTGCATAGGCTTCCATAATAAAAACACAACCGATTAAATAAGTGTTAAAAATGTAAAGATAAGATTTTCCGTTGTGATGTTTAGTCGCCTTTTTTGGTGTTCAAATAGGATTGTTTTAATGTGTATGGTGAGTTAGAAATAAAATATGGTGATGTCCATTGGTGAAGTTCGGAATGAGACTTGATTCTGATGGACAAACCACAGGTTACCAAAGAAATGATTTTTTCCTGACAAATCGACAATTGAAAGTGTGGTGGTGAAGTTAATGTGAAAAGAGCAAACAGAAAAAAATGTCTGAAACCACAAAATACATGTCAGGGGAGAGGAGAAATATAAAAAGAGACGAAAAATCCAAGCTGACAATTGAATCTCAGACCCACTAATAAATCAGAGAACTCAATTATTGAAGACCGCAAGTAATGGGAGCATGAAAGCAGACAATGGGAGGGTGATAAAAACAACATTGGAGGAATGTTATGCAGATCTCTACAGCAAAACAAACTCATAACCTGGATGAGGAGGAAGTTACAGCTGTCAGTTAAAGTAACATCTGCCCTTTGCTGAATCAAGAAGAGGGAGGGCGGGGATTGGGGGGAAGACCCCCGGACTGGATGATATATCTGTAAACGTCATCAAGCGTCGAGACCAAATTGTTGGAAGAAAACTATTGGATTGTTCGCTTATTGTTTATACTGAGATGAAATGCTACAATAATGGAATGATGGCTCAGTCACTCTTACGAAAACAGGTGATGAAGTTTACTTGAATAGCCCACAGACCAATTAGGCTCATGTATATGTATATAAGTTCGCAATAATAATGAGAACAGAATAATGAAATATTGAGAAACCAACTAACCATGGGACGACCAGGATTCTGGAAATATTTCTCTAACATCGATGTGATACAAATGAATGGACCACTGAATTATTTCAGACAGCGCTGGCATGGCAGGTTTAGTGGGGTTCAGGTAAGGGGAGAGAGATGGGGACAACCTCTACCAATTTGGGATGAGGCTGCATAGGTGGGGGGGGGGATGTACTGAAGAAAGCTGGTGGGAGAATGGGCTTGTCATCTGCTTGAGGAAACGTGGCTGGCTAAATCGGGGAGTTATCAAAGGAGATAATGTGAGGTGCGTGGTTCAGAGTAGAATAGGCTCAGCTGCGACGCGTGTGTGGCAGTAACGAAAACGCGTGGCCAAAATTGCCACGCGGATAGGATCATGTCGTAAAGGGTCCTGAATAAAGTTTTGGCTGTTTAAGAGCTGCTGGAGGTGTCTGTCCATCCTTTTTGGTTTGGGGTGCCACTCCCATATACCCTTAATCATATTTTTGGAAAAGACCATTGCATTTAACTTATCTTTATTCCCCGTGTTTGTGGCTGATGAATGAGACACGGAGAACCAGAAGAGAAGGGCGTCACGGTGGCGAGATGCTAACTACATCCTCTGGTATACAGGGGATCCTGACCCTGACGCCTGTATATTTGGAGTTTGCTGGTCTCTTCCCGTGGTCGCATGGATTTTTCTCCGGGTCCTCCGGTTTTTCGCCTCAACATTTAGAATCAATATCCGTTGTCAGTATTTGGCTACTATACATTTCCACGTGAAAATACACTTCGTTGAGCTGTCATTTGTAGTTGTGCATCATACGCCCAAGGTGTTTTCAACAAACTTCCAGATTACTTCAGCGCAAGCAAGACAGTTGAGTTTATAGTGTGTTCACCTATACAATGCCAAAACCACCTAGGTGATCGAAGTGCACCTGAATAGCCAATTGCCAAAACATGACCCGGCAGCTGTCTTCCTTAGAGTAACCTTGGACAGAAGTCTGACATTTCATCGGCACCTTGAGAAGACCACGAGGAAGTTTTGTTCATGGAGAACTCTCTGCTGGATTTGCTGGCTGGCTCAATGTGGGGCGCTGGCACCCAAAGGCTACATATGGCAGGCCTCTCGCTGTGCTTAGTTATCGCAGGATACTTATTGTGTACCCATATTGACTCAGCTAAAATGCAATTAGTTCACACTTACTCTTTGGTTCTATTGGGTAAAGTCACGTAGGTGACTTTACCCAATAGAACCAAAGAGTATGGATCCTAGCAATCACGAAAGCTTTAAATCTAGTTCACACTTGCCAGTCTGCTTTACATATACAAGGTGGTTCAGATGTCTTATGACCCCCCCTGCCTCCCCGCAATTAATTGACCCCAAACATGTATTCCTTTTCTGTTTTTAAATAAACTTTAAAAAAAATTACGTTTCAGATATTAAAATGGGTGGGGGGGGGGGTCTCAAGACATCTGGACCACCCTGTATATCCCCCCCTCCATTTTTAAAGACCACGGGCATGAATGGGGGGAGGGTCTTGACGCGTTGTTTGCCGTGGTTTTTGAACGGTCCGCGTTGTGTCTACACGAGCGAGTTGCAAATGACCGCGATCCCTAAACCATTGAATTTGCTGCCGAGGAAACCGGAGGCGAGCAAACGAAGAGGCCACGTGAGCGCGGACCCAACGGTGATGCCAGATCGGAGATTTCCACTCCACCCCCCCTTCTTTTTTCCTAATTTTTAAAGATTTAATTTATTTCCTTGGGCTGGGGGGGGGGGGTGAGGTGTTGTTGGACTATTTCACGCGGAATATTTAAGAGGGGTTTTTTTTTTCTTTCCCCGGAACGTCGACAATTTTCTCGGGGAAATTCAGAGTCGTGACGTAGGGCTCCGCTGGTCCCAGGTCTCTCACCGAAGCCGCGTTGGCTGCTTGCGGTTTTTTTTGCCGAGCGTAGTCGATTGAAGAAGCCACCGGTGTGTGTGTTTGTGTATATATCTTCATATATTTACGTCTATATAAACGTCTGTTTAGAAAGCCCTTTGAGAAGTTGTTGTTTGCGAGGTTGCGACATCGTTTATGGGTAGGTAAAGCAAAAGGGCTACACGGTCATTGATAGTCCGTTAGAACTCGTGGGATTTTTGTTACCTTCAGATCTGGCATCGTTGCGCCACGAACTCCCAGAATTTCGCCTTTTGATGTTCACGGAGCCTCCAAATCAAGTCGACTCGGCCTCATCTTTCATCCTTGAGGTCGGTAAAGCGAGTACTCATTTGTGGTAAGTCAATGATCCCTTGTATAAAGGTGTCAGTTTTGGTGCCAGATAAAAGGGATAAAAACCCTATTACTACTACCGCTGCTACTAAGTCGATGTTTGTTGGCAATGTGCGACTGCTTCCCCACCCCAAACCAAACCAATCATCTTGCCGACGCGAACGTCCAGAGAGAATGAACGCTTCATTCGGGACCCCCCAAACAACATCGCACCCCTCCTGGCTTTGACATTCCTCCTCCTCCTCGTCGTCGCACAGACCGATGGCGTAAACCATCAACCGCGTCGGAACCTCGTCGGAACCTCGTCAACAATCCATTAAATGGTTCAACTCAACGATAAACCCGAGCCACGCGGTCGCGTTGCGTTTGTGGTCGACGCAAACCCAAAAAACGATGGGGCCCTGTCGATCTAAATTCGAAGTTTTTTCGTGACTGCAGGGGAATCCACACTGTCTGGATTCTTTCGATAAAGTCAACGCGGGTAGAAAAATAAATTAAAGCACGACGTTTCGGGCGCGACACAAGCGGTCCGTCATCAAGTTGGGACAACCACAGCAAGAAATAAATTGCTAAAAGTGGGGGAGAGAGGAAAAAAAATGCGTTTCTTGCTGTGGTTGTCCCAAACCTGATGACGGACCGCTTGCGTTGCGCCCGAAACGTCGTGCTTTAATTTATTTTACACCCACGTGACTTCATCGAAATAGAACCAAAGAGTATGGGGCCCTATCGTGAAAAACCACTTTGTATTTTTCCATTGGAGGAGGAATGGCAAAAACTCGTCTCCACCGAAGCCAGCAGACCTACGACGTTGACATTTCTTGTTTTAGCTCTTTGCGTTTTTGCTCCACGCATAGTTTTGTTTGGAGTAAATCATCCGCCGTTAGCAATTATCGATCCACTGCCTGATTGCAGATGTGTCTCAATTCCCCTTGATTGGACCAGGAGGGGTGAAATTAACGGCGCTTCGAGGTGCCAAGGGTCACCGCTTGACCGATACGTGCGGTCATTTTAAGTACACCTGTAGTAAACCTCTTTATCAGTGCATAACCTTATTACAGACCAATTTTAGACCTTATTTGTCAGTCACCCCGTGCCCCTTATAAATCGCAACGTTTAATCTTACAGAGTCCCATCACAAGGGAGAAACACAAATCAACAGTAATTCAGATTTTATTTTTGTTTGCCCGTATTGAAACGATCTTGATTTGAAGCTTTGGTGGTTCTTTCGGTAAAGTCACGTAGGTAGCAATACAACAATTTTTTTTGTTTTAATCTATATTTGTTTTATTTTATACCTACGTGACTTTACCGAAAGACCCAAGGAGTACGTATTGAAACGGTTGTACGCCGTATGGATCTGCACGCACATTCCTTGTACAAGAATAACGGGTAAACCGTATGGGTTGACGGGTATGTGAATATGAGAAAAAAAAAACAACGTACAGTAATAATCTGGGCGAAATATAACGATGATTTGATATACAAAAATGAGGCAAAAGAAGGTGAATTGCACCCTCTAATTCTAAATGTTTAACATTACGAGATCGTTGATGGAAAGGAGCGTGGCTTAATTTAGGCAACAAATTGGCTTAAGAGCAGACAAAAAAACACTTCTAAAGAGATTTAGCTGTTCAAATGTGTTGGGGGCAATCCTAACCATCAATGTTTCTTCATACTCTGCTTTGGTTGGGGTTGAATATGCAGTAGATGCAGTTGAGAGGCCGAGTGATTTCAGAATCTACGGACATCAGTTCGAGGTAAAGGCCAGACCAAACGTATTCTTCAATAGCACTAGGTACGATTCGGTGAACGGTTGGTACGTCTTCTGGTGAGAGGATCTTGATCTCAGATATACGCAACAGAGTTGCGGAATATACTCCAACGAAACAATGTTTTATTTCACCAGGTAAAGCCCACTGATCTATGGTAGCTCTTTTTTCAGAAGCGACCTGGCCACAAATATGGCTCAACGAAGTGGCTTATCATGTGGAAATTCATACCGGCCAAATAATATACTTATTTGCAGACACATTGAAAGACAAATGTGATCCAATGCTTTTCTCTTCGTTCCTTAGATACTGATCCTATGTTTGACCAAATAACTCAAAATGCTCCCAATCTCATCAGATTTAAGAAGTTAAGCAGTATTAAAGTGTGGCTAGTTGCTTGGATGGGTTTTTTTCAGTTTTTTTCAGTTTCTTAATTTTGGTATAGCCCTGTGAGCCATTCGGCTCTTGAATCGGGTGCACCCACAACAAACAAAAACACGAACAAGAAAACATCTTAAAGTGACTATGACTGTGCAAACAGAAAATCCATGAAAAAAACAGCAAAATATTCCTGAAAAAAGCACCGTACACCAACGCTGTGTGCAAAAAATCCCAGTGGGATGCAAGTCAAACAACAACTACAAGAAAACTTAGATTAAGGCCATCAGTCTAACTCTGTACTACAACAAAACAAACATGTCCAAACCAAAAAGCGTTTTCGAAATCACAAAAAAATAAAGCCATAATTGCAACGTAACAGTGATCATAGGGACTGTGCCTAAACAGGTTGTCATAAGCTATAGGGGTACACCTGGGCAGAAGGGTGCAGTACAGAAAAAGCTCCAGCCATCGCCAAGATGCACTGGTCGAATAATCCGCATGACCAACATGATATGGGGAGGTCCTCATTTATTGGATAAGCACCATCATGGGAGTCTCCTTGTTGTCAACGTGGATTTTTGAGAAGATTCTGCACTTTGATTTAAAAAAGAATGCACTACTTGGTTAATCTTTTTTATTTCAAATATATAAGTTCAAATCTAAAATGTATTAATCTCCAACATCCCATCAGAATGGCGTGCACGGTGACTGCCCCATTGCTGGGGCAAAGTGGGAACTTCTCGGCGTGGCTGGAGGCGCAGGGCGTGAACGCGGAGGTGGCCCAGGCCATGAACTCGGAGCTGGGCATCCGGGACTACGGGGTCCTGCGCGCCTGCGTCGGGGACGGCCTCGTGCGGGCCGAGCTGCTGGCCACGGCACGCGACCGCCTGCCCTTCGGCTTCTACGCCGTGCTGCGGCAGGTGGTGAAGGCCCTGCGGGGCGCTGAGCCGCACGATGCTGGAACGCCGTGCTGGAACGATGCTGGCGCCGCTTCCACATCCTCTCCTGGAGACGTGATGCTGGGAGGCCTGATGGACGTGCTGCTCGCGCTGTTTAGCAGCTTGAGCCGGGAACTGCTACTGTCCGTGCAGAGGATTGGGGAATTGGATGGAGTTAAACATCCCACAGCTTCAACTGAAATATCCTATAGTCTTGAAGACGAGACCATTGAAACGAATCATAATCCGAGTGTGGAAAATGGTATGAAATGCATCGGCCTATTAATCAACATTTTATTATTTGAATAAGGTTGACTGAGCGATGAAGAGTATAAGATGTTAGGTAAATTCTAATGAGTATTTAAAGTTGCACTCTTTGCTATCATAAGCTTTTGGCCCAATAAAATGAGTTCTATCAGTTTTTTGCTATTAAACTACATGGTATAATATACACAACACTCTTGCCTCATAACAAGCCACACGATTCTCTAGTCAGCACGACATTACTAAACGAGTCGTTTGACATTAAATATGCTCGTTTTGATCTAAAAAAATCTTTGACGTGGTATCTGAATTTACAGTTTACAAGTAGAGACTTAGCAAGGCCATACTTGCGGATGATATTTGGCCATGCCAGTCGGTATGAATTGATGATAACCGTCACTGGGAATCAAATTCGGGTTTCCACGTTCATAACTAATCACTGCAACAACTCGACTGGATGTACAGTAAAACCTTGGATTGCGAGCATAATTCGTTCCAAAGCACTCGTATATCAAAGCACTCGTTAATCAGTTGTGATCATGTGACGCTCGGCAGACAAAGCGTATACGTACTAATCGTATTGCAAGACCTCGCTCGTTCATCAAATTAATATTTGTTTAAAAATTTTGCTTGTATAGCAAAACACTCGCAGACCAAGTTACTCGCAATCCAAGGTTTTACTGTACTATGTCAGTTGACCCTTTCGGTATTAAGAGGAAGGGGTAATCTGTCACAAGCAATTATGCAATAACTGCAATGTTGATTAATTTGTTTTGCATTTGTATATAGACAATGGAGAAGATGGGTCAACTCTGTACCCAAGTGACCTCACATCCGGATTGGCTGTGAATCACATCAAAACGGAATTCTTTGCAGGTAAACTCTTTTCTCAATTCAACAAACACTTGCTTACTCACTGTCGAGTTCTCTAGGTGCAGTTTCCAATTACCATTTTTACGCTGCCTCCAAACATCCCTGCGTGTGTGCTTGTTGCATCTCATTTAGTTGCATTTTGTTTCCTAGATTCCGAAGGTGAACATAACTTGGGTGACCACCCTGACCTCTCTGGTCCAGACCTCTGTCAGCAACCACAGCATGAAATGGGTGAAATGCATGGTGAAGAAACAGCTGGCACCTCTGGCTCCATGAAGACTGAGCAGCAACACTCACATTTTCAGAACGATATGGACAAGGTCACGGAAAACTACAGCCAAAATACCATTTCCATCAACGAGGGAGAGCCGTGCGATTTTAAGCTTGACAATCAGAATGCCCCAACTCCTCGACCAGGATGTACTGGAGAGAAACTGCCACTCAGTTGCGAGGTGTGTGGGCGTGTGTTCTCCAGGTCCAGCAATCTGAAGGGCCACCTGCTCACACACACGGGTGAGAAACCACACCGCTGTGATGTGTGTGGGCGCAGGTTTTTGCGTGCCAGTGTCCTGAAGACCCACCAATACGTGCATACGGGCGAGAAGCCGTTCCGCTGCGAGGTGTGCGGGCGTGGCTTCCTGCGCGCCACCGAACTGAAGGTGCACCATCGCAAGCACACGGGCGAGAAGCCATACAGCTGCCAGGTGTGCGGGCAAGGCTTCATGCTGCCCAGTGTCCTGAAGATCCACCTGCGCACGCACACGGGCGAGAAGCCGTGTATATGCCAAGTGTGCGGACATCGCTGCCTGCAGCCCTGCGACCTGAAGAGGCACATGCAGATGCACACGGGCGAGAAGCCGTACTCTTGCAGGGTGTGCGGGCAGTGCTTCGCTCGAAGCAATTACATGAAGAACCACGAGCGAACACGACATGGCCTGGAGAGATCACAAAAAGATGTTTGACATTGTCCCCACTTGCATGTCTCGTGCATGATCTGTACCCCAGGTGACCCAGCGATAGTGAGCGGCTCTCAATCAGAAGGTTGCGAGTTCAAATCCTCGGTTGGGGGTTGACTTGGCCCATCCTTTGTTCAGGGCACGTTAAAATGAGTACCGTTCAAATGTGTAGCACTGCATACACCCCAGTGTTGTATGGAGTGGCCAATGGGTGTAGCCTTCACATTAGCCGCACTCCCCATGCTTTGGGGTAACTTAGTGGTCTTTGACCACCATACTTGCACTCAGCTCTTGTGCCTCCAAGTTAGCTGCTTGTGTGCGGCATTGAGTACACCCTGGTACATTGCTAAGGGGCCGTTCATAAATGACGTCATGCACCTGGGGGGGGGGGTCAGACATTTGTGACGGGGGGGTTTGAGAAATGTGACATCACATCAAAATGTGCAACTTTAAATAAATATAGAATTCTAGATTTGAAGCTTTTGTGACTGCAAGGATCCATACTCTTTGGTTCTATTCGGTAAAGTCACGTAGGTAAAAAACAAAACAAAATCACGACGTTTCGGCCACAACACAAGTGGCCTTCATCAGGTGAAGGGACCGTACTCCAACGCTGTCCTCTGGACAGTACGGTCCCTTCTGGACAGTACGGTCCCTTCACTTGTGTTGTGGCTGAAAAGTCGTGATTTTTTGTTGTTTTGTTTTTTACCTACGTGACTTTACCGAATAGAACCAAAAAATATAGAATTGTTATAACAATACTTTTGATTAACTTTCATTATTAACTATTTGATTATTTAAATTTACTAAGGTCACCTTTTATTTATTTCATGCTCTATGGGAGAATGGAGAAGCATACATTTAGATTTTTTTTTAAATGATTGTTAGTTCAAAAAAATTTATTCTAATCATTCTACCAGTGCTTTTCATTCTGTGGAATGAATATATGATTGTTATAATTGTTCTCTCCATTTTGCTTCGTTCTACTACAAAGTTTCAAGTATTTATTTATAGTTATAATTACTTTTAATATTTTATAATTATAAGATAATTTCACGCCTCCTTTTTAATACGTGTTGTCTCCTACAACATCAGAGTGCAGCGCCACATTAAATACGCACTACAATGACAATAGTTTAAAGCGATTTGAAGCATGTTTTATTTTCAAAATGGAAATATGGTTTTGGGGGGGGGGGGTCTGACTTTTTGTGACGCCGTGTGACGAAGGGGGGTCAAAAATCGTCCAAAATCGCGTGACGTCATTTATGGACGGCCCCTAAAGTATAAACCAGGTAAGTGTAGCCGGCAGATGGATTTCTGCCGGTGACTGGTACTCGGCTGGTTCTTCCTAGAACACGAAGACTGTCAACTTCCAGTGGTGGGTAAGTTGTGGGATGCTGTCAACATCCAATGGGCACATTCTTTTTTTCAGCTCAGAGGAATTTACCAAGAAGTCTTCAGTGCCCAAACACTCCGTCAAATAAACTTACACCATTGTACAAAACTGGTCGTTGCGTAATTAATCCGCATTTGTGCCTGTTTTAGCGCATTCAATTTTATCACGCAAATATCTGTTGTCAACGGGGCTGTATTCACAAATAAAGTTTTAAGAACGCTTGCAATTATATTTTTGAGAAATAATGGATCGTAATCCTTGGTTCGACGGTTTCAATTTGAGCACATGCCAACGTTGGGCAATGTTTACTGGATTTCAGTCCAGGATTCAACGTTTACAAAATTAATCATGGGGATTTGTGCCATTCCCAGTATCTCGTGTGTATTAAAAATGCCGGGTGATCAAACGGTGGTGGGTGGTGGGTGCGTGTGGTGGTGGGTGGGGGTTCGTGTGGGTGGGGGGGGGAGTGCGTGGGGGGGTGAGTGGGGGTGCGTGTGGTGGTGGGTGGGGGGTGCGTGTAGTGGTGGGTGGGGGGTTCGTGTGGTGGGTGGGGGGGAGTGCGTGGGGGGGTGAGTGGGGGTGCGTGTGGTGGTGGGGGGTGGAGTTTGTCACTGCATGCAAATGACCACGGTCCCTAAGAAAAAAAAACTCGCGAGTGACACGCCGGAGCCCCCGAGTGGTACCAGATCGGAGGTTTTTTGCCTCCACGGTTACTGAGGCGATACGATAACATTTGTGTATGTTTATACATATTATTGCGAGGGTAGCTTCAGCCTTAATTCGCCAAGCCTGTACGCACGCCCAAAATGTTTCTGCCGAGCTGCTGATGGGACTTACAAAAAAAACATTTTTCCGACGTTTTTTTATACGAGTGAAAAAAAATGTGTTTTTGTTAGCAATAAATTCGTTCGAGAGAATTAAAAAAAAACAATAACGCCGTTCTAAGTTGTTATTGTACTTGAGGCCAGAGGTTTTTTTTACCTTCAGCTCTGGCATCGGCCGCAGCTTTACCGTGTGGCCGAGGTTTTCGACGGAGGAGGAGCAGGAGCAGCAGCAGCAACAACAACAACAGCAGCTTCGTCTTGGCCCTCCATCTTCCCGGGGGTCGATAACGTGAGTACTCATTAACGACACAGTTAATGATTCCCCCACACCCATCGTCGTCATAACGTCGAGCCGTGTTCAATCCACCGCTGGATGAAGACCTCAACGGGACCGAGCCGCCGCCACTCGGCGATGCCATCGGTGCCTGTGGCACGCGAATGCGGAATTGCCATCGGTTTTGTTTGTTGGGTTACATCGAAGCGGGGATCTAACGTTTTCCCATTGTGTAAGACGCTCAACAACAACAAAAAGCCCCGCGGGGTAGTTGCTGCTGTTGATGATGATGATGTTGATGGTGGTTGATGCAATGCAACGCGTGGATTCGCGTGCGTGTGGGCGCACTCGGCTTCTCCGAATCGCCAATTCGCATTCCGATCTTGCCGATGTAAAGAAATATTCGTGCACTCTGTGTATGCGTGTGTGTGTGTGGAATACGTGCGTCCTGTATCGCGCACAACAGAATTGTCGGCTCATTGCGTTGCTTGACGTTACCCGGCAACGACGCGAACGATTGCGTTTGCGTCTTAAGGCGCGTTCGATGGAGTTTGGCGTCGAATTCGGAGCCGTGACCCCCTTCCCAATGATCATCTGGCAGGTCACCCGCATTGGTTCGGGCAAGCCTGACTGTTGATAAGCCACCGAAGGTCGAAACCGGTCCGTGTTTTGGTGATGATTACCCAATGCCGATGATATGCGTCTCCGAAGGCAGTGAATCCGATGGGGATATGTAAAATATATTTGGGGGGGGGGGGGGGGGTGTTGTTTTGCTAAGAGGTGGTAAGTGAAGGAGGCTTCCTCCTTCGTGTCTTCTGTCCAACCTATACGGTTAGTCTTTTCCCAATATTCTGCACAAGCTACCGCGTCTGGTGTTGGCACTGCCAAATGGTGAGGTGTGCCATTATTGTGTGGTGGTGCTGCAGGGCATCTCCTGAGATGGGCCATGATTTGCTTCTCCCAACAAGCACCATTCGATTTAAAGCTTTCGTGACTTTACCGAAAGAGCTAAGAATATGAATAAGCACCATTCGGTTGTGCAGAAGCCCCCCCCCCATCCCATTATTTCATGAGAGAGTTGCATCTGCGAAAACCCACTCTCAGCCTGTCGGTTCCGCCATGTGAGCCATGTGGAATTGGAGGCGTTTTCTAGATTTGAAGCTTTCGTGACTGCAAGGATCCATACTCTTTGGTTCTATTCGGTAAAGTAACGTAGGTAAAAAATAAAACAACAAAAATTGTGATTTTTGTTGTATTGTTTGCTAATGTATTAGTATATATAACATGCTGTTATTGGTGCTTTAGTACGTATCTTATGGACAAATCGCCCATAATGGGCCCAATCCCACAAAAGTAACTAGGTTGAGCCTGGAAAAGCACTTGGAGCAATCCCAGGTGGCCAGGAAAACTCGAAACCCAATTGCATACTGGGTAAAAAAAATTACCAAATTGAAAACATGTCTATAGCAGCCTCGCTACATCGGTACCATCAAAACGAAAAGGTGATATGGGCCAATCACAAATGAAACTGCTTGGAGAGTATATTTTTGTTTTTGAGGACAAATCTCCAGATATAAGTTGATCACCAATTGTGTGACCATACTTCACCATGCTGGTCAGTGCATGTTGGTGAAGGGAGTACAAATTTTCTCACCTCTTGCAGAGTACTTCACTGGTGTAGGTGCTCCTAATCAGCGTTCTCAGGTCTTTGAACTCTCAAGCTTCCTAGCCATATTTATGGCAGTGGGTACATTTGTGAAGGAAAAATGGCTGTACATTTCTATATTTGCTGGAATATATCAATTCTTAAAATTTGGGGCCCAAGGCATTGCAGCGAACGAGTCCTTTGAAGGTTAATATGCAGATTTGGGGTCCATCATAAAAATTATAGGGAACTATCGTTAACTATCAATACTATGGTTGGCAGCAGAAGGCATTGCAGGAACATCCATTGGTGTACTGTTGTTTTTATGCTCCCATATCTGTGCTGCTCGCCTCCAACTACACCGAATGACCAGCATGGTGATGTATGAGGAAATAACAACTGTGATCACCACACCTTAGGCCCCCATTCAGCAGTGGATTTACTAAAAGTTTTGTACACGTCTGCCCTTTAACAACATGGGCAGACGAGGAGAGTCATCTTGTCTACAATGTGATTTGAGAGAAGACTTGATTTCTTGAAGAATGAATGCTTGAAGTTTGGTTGGTTTAATAAATTATATATTTTAAAGTACTTATCCCTGCACATGTCAGAATGGCGTGTAAGGTGGCCGCCCCATTGCTGGAGCCGAGCGGTGACTTCCCGGCGTGGCTGGAGGCACAGGGCGTGAACCAAGAGGTGGCCCAGGCCATGGACTCGGAGCTGGGCATCCGGGACTACGGGGTCCTGCGCGCCTGCGTCGGGGACGGCCTCGTGCGGGCCGAGCTGCTGTCCACGGCGCGCGACCGCCTGCCCTTCGGCTTCTACGCCGTGCTGCGGCAGGTGGTGAAGGCCCTGCAGGGTGCCGAGCACCACGACGTTGGGACGCCGCGCTGGGACGCCGCCACCTCTCCCGGCGACGTCACGCTGGGAGGCCTGGTGGACGTGCTGCTGGCTCTGTTCAGCGGTTTGAGCCGAGAGCTGCTGGTGTCTATGCAGAGGCTCGCCGAGTGGGATGGAGTTAAAAATCTTACAACTTCATCGGCAGCAGTTTCTGAGAGTCTTGAAGATGAAACAACTGAAATGAATCATAGTGTGCAAAATGGTATTAAATGCACCAGCCTATAAATCCATACAATGTCATAAATGAATATTGTTTGGCAGTGGTGTTGGGTAGATCCTCATTGGGATTTTAAGTTGCCCACTTTTCTGTCATAAGTCTTTAATTTACTAACATTAATCCCATACTTTCCTTGACATTCAATCACATGCTACAATGTTACATCAGACTCATACTATTTATCCTGGAGGAATCCGATGAGCTATGAAGCTCTTTTTCACAGATGTCCATACATTTCTCCCCAATAACAGGACACATTTGAATCATGTACTGTAGTTGACATTTATTATCATAGTTGGCACGACATAAGTAGGTGATATCCACAATTGTTTGAGCATTAATATGCTCAGGTGTTTTGATATTTCAAAAGCATTTGACACATCTTAATTTCTCATTTACAAGTTTGGGTTAAGCATCAAGGTTAGTGGCTGGTTTTTATATTTACTGGAGATGAAACAATTAAACATGGTAATATATCACGTATTTTTTTCTCAAGTCTACGTGTGTTTCCTCGATTCAATATTTTGGCATTTACGGTGTTGTTTTTTTGTTATTTTATTTTCACCTACGTGACTTTACCCAATAGAACCAAAGAGTATGGATCCTAGCAGTCACGAAAGCTTTAAATCTAGAATTTACGGTGTTGTTTTCCCGTGTTATAATTTACAACCATTTGTAAATTCATAGGACCTTTTTGCCAGGATCAAAGTATGAAAATAAGAATAGGTTTTACCCTTTCTGGCAATAAAACAGGTGTTAAGATTGTAAAACACTAAACAGATACCTTTTGCAAGGAATTAAGTCTGCATTAACCACACGTACTTGTGAACATGCAAAAAAATGTTCTGATAATATATGCATCGTCTTTGAAAATGATTGTCTTACACCAGAGACGGCCTTCTTTATGGCCTCGTCTCACCAGTATCACCACAGAACGCCAAAAGGCGAACAGCACAAAGTCGATGCACATATCAGAGCATTTCTAGCTCGGTGAGCAGCTATATAATGGGACCCTTTTGCCAGTTTCAAAGTATGAAAAATAACAAGTTTTTACCCCTTCTAGCAATAAAAAAAAATGTGTCAATTCACTGCCGGATGAGGGCCCTCCCACACCCTACCAGTTGTGGAGGTTGTCTGGTTATACAGTAAAACCTTGGATTGCGAGCATAATCGTTCCGGAAAGGTGTTTGTAATCCAAATCACTCGTATATCAAAGCACTCGTATATCAGTTGTGATCACGTGACGCTCGGCAGTACAAAGCGTATACGTACTACTTGTATTGCAAGACCCTCGCTCGTTTATCAAATTAATATTTAAAATGTTTGCTCGTCTTGCAAAACACTCGCAGACCAAGTTACTCGCAATCCAATGTTTTACTGTAGTTCATATTGGTCACTGTCGGTTGTTAATGGGGCAGAAGGAAGAACAGGGACCCATCACCGCTATTGTTAGCCTTGACGGAGAAACTCACTTCATCAGGTTGCTGATATACTACAGGTCATGTCATATTTGCCAAACACTGATACAATGACTGCTTACAACGTTAAATAATTTGTTTTGTATCTGTACAGACAAAGCGGAAGGAAGTTCAACTCCATTAAAAAATGATGCCAAATCCAGCTTGACATTGAACCGAATCAAAAACGAGTCCTTTGAAGGTAAATACTTTTCTGGATTTAATAAACACAAGTCACATTTAACAACGGTGGTCTTTTCTTTAAGCACACATGCCAATGATTTCATGGCCTTTGAAATATTGCCTCCATTATGGGGTATGCACTTGTTTTGACTGTAATTTCGTCATATTTCGGTTTGTTTGCTGGATTCATTTGCTGATTTTACATGTCCTGTGCTACTTTCTCGAGCTTTGGAGCAAAGCTAATTGGGACGCACTTCAAATGAACCTCTCTGTGTGTGCACGAGTTAATTTGTAGATGTGTAAAGCAGGTGTTCATGTATCTCTTGAGGTCATCCAGATTAGCCCTGGGTCACCTCCCTAGAAGGATTTGTGTGATTTATATGACTATTTACGTGAATATTGACTGTATTGAGTGGGCTATCTTAATTTAAATGCTATGTTTTCATTGATAGAGATTTGAACATTTCTTAATTTCTTTATTTTCACGTTTAATTAATTACACTTACGAATTTTGTATGTCAGTACTTTAACCAGTCAAAATGCTTTGTTTTCTGTTGGAAGGTGAACGTAATTTGAGCGGCCACTCTGAACTCGTCATCCAAAATGTGACTTCATTGTCACCTTCGAGCAAAAGCCGTGCAACCACATCTCGTGCTGGGACCTGTCGGGAGTCACAGCAGGCGGCAGGTGAAATGGATGATGACGAAACAGCTGGTACCTCTGGAGCCAAGAGGACATCCCAGCCGTTGACTGAGCAATGCTTTTTTTTTACGGGCGACACTGCTAAGAAGAGTGTCTCCGTATACCAAAGCGAGAAGCGCTCCATCTTCAGCGAGGGAGAGTCACGTGATTTTAAACTCAAGAAACCCGATGCCTTAAAAATGTCTCAGCCAGAATGTACCGGAGAGAAGTCGCCGCTCAGCTGCGAGGTGTGCGGGCGTGTGTTCTCAAAGTCAAGCAGCTTAAAGGTCCACCTGCGCACGCACACGGGCGAGAAGCCGCACCGCTGTGACGTGTGCGGGCGCGGGTTTTCACGGGCCAGCTGTCTGAAGATCCACCAGCACATGCACACGGGCGAGAAGCCTTTCCGATGCGAGGTCTGTGGCCGTGGTTTCTCTCGCTCCAGTGACCTGAAGATGCACCTGTACACGCACACTGGGGAGAAGCCGTACAGCTGCGAGGTGTGCGGCCACGGCTTCCTGCAGCCCAATGTCCTGAAGATCCACCTGCGCACGCACACGGGCGAGAAGCCGTACAGCTGCGAGGTGTGCGGCCACGGCTTCTCGCGGCTCAACGTCCTGAAGATCCACCAGCGCACGCACACGGGCGAGAAGCCGTACAGCTGCAAGATCTGCGGGCGTGGGTTCTCGCATCCGAACTACCTGAAGAAGCACTTGCCGATGCACACGGGCGAGAAGCCGCACAACTGCGAGGTGTGTGGCCGCGGGTTCTCGCACCTAAACTACCTGAAAAAGCACCTGCGAACGCACACGGGCGAGAAGCCATACTGCTGTAAGGTGTGCGGGCGAAGCTTTTTGCATCCCAGCTACCTAAAGAGCCACCTCCGGATGCACACGGGCGAGAAGCCGTACAGCTGCACAATCTGCGGACAGCGCTTCTCGCAAAGCTATCACATGAAGTCTCACGAGCAAACGCAGCATGGCATGGATAAATCGCAGCAAGAGATGGATTGATCGTATCTCGCATAAACTACATGGCTTATCGAGGTGCTCAAAATGTATGAAATGTTATAAAGCTGATTTAGTTTGTAGGAAATCGCTGAAAACTTTGAAAACTAATTATACACGCAACTGGTAACGTGTCTTTTAGATGTATACATGTTTTGTCAGTCCACTGCTGGATGAGGGTGTTACTTTACGGTATTCACCACGCTGGTCAGTGCGGGTTGGTGAAGGTGTAGAGCATAGACATGGGAGCATAGTATGGCACACGAATGGACTTTCCGGCCTTTAGTACCTGTTTTACACATGGTGGTTACCCATCCTAGTACTATCCAGGCTCAACTCTGCTTAGTTTTAGAGGTATGCCAGGACAAGGCACATTTTGGGTCATTTGGTCATAAGGATGTTAATAAGAAAGTGCTTTTCCAAGGAAATGTTTGGTCGCACTACTGTTTTGCCTTTCCCCTCGACACTTTAACACCCTCATAAAACTATCAAAGCAATCCCGCTATACCCCTAGCCTCCATGTGTACTTGCTTGGTTTCAATGACACTGTTTACACGTACAGGTACAACGTGGCATATCCATCTCGCTTAGCACTCAGGTATAGGCAGATAATTTGAAAATGTCAGGTATGTGAACATCTAGAAATATTTACAGTTAACACCATACACATTTAGGTTCCTGGACAAAATGAGGTGCAAACTGCCTTACACATGGGAAAATGCTTAGAAGTGATGAAGAATACAATACTCTATGGTATACAATATAAGACAAGGTGGCTCCAAATGTTGAAAATAGCTAAACTCCAAGGGGTTCTAAACAAGGAGTATTACTCCTTTATCCATCCGGGCAAAGAGTGGATGTCGACCGTTTCTGTTGTAACACTGTCCAGTCAGTCGATGGTCATAAGAGACTCGTGGGTTTGTCAGATCGGTCGTGACATCGGCCTAATCGTGCAGACAGCCTTTCTACAATACTGGTTGCCGCAACAGTCCTTCATCGCTTACTCGTCCCTGATGATGGTGATGATGTGAACTAACTGGACGGTAACTTACACTTAATGGCTTCTCAATGATTAAAGCAGTCATTGAATTTTTGTGTACATGATTTCTGCCATGTTAACCAATGTTTGGACATGCATTATTTTTGCTGCCTCTGTCATCAGGGCATCGCTTGCTTTTTCTGTAGCCGTGATAGTCATGGCCGATGCCATTTTCTCGGAACTGGGTATGGGCGGTTGATTGGTCAGGGTGGATATGTGAAGGTCAGGCATGTGATGTACTGTATACAGATCCTATTGTAGGCAGGGCTCTGTGTGTAAATAAAGAATTGTGTGAACAGTATCAGTGGTCACTTTTTGTTATTTTGACGATTGTTTAACAAGGAAAGCGTCTACCGAGTCTAAAAAGTTCCAAGACGGTCCGGCTAGGTTTTCACAGTAGAGTGCGACAATTGGTATATTCCCCAATTAAGTAACTGTTTTGTAAGTAATTGTTTCAAGTTTGACAATTCATTATTTTCTTGCTGAAAAGTATAACATTGACATTCAAATATGTTTTCTGAGAATTGGATTGGGATATTTACTTTTGGCGACATCCAAGGTCCACAAAATTAAATGTCCCCGGTTTTATTGTGAATAATACATGTATGTACAATTAATGTTTACATTGGGGATAATTTGTCCCAATTTTTTTACCATGTTGGTACAGCGTGATGTATGTAGACCACGCTGGTGGCCAAAGCTACGAGTTGGGGCCCCCCTTGACAACCACCATAATAAAACATGCATTTAGATAATGATTTACCTGCTGTACATTTCCACGTGATGAATCACTTTGTTGAACTATCATTTGTGGCCAGGCCACTTTTGAAAAATGATTTAATAACTCAGTGGGCCTTACCTGGTAATATAAAAATTGTTCAGTTTTATTTGTATATTTTAAAAAGTGATTTCTTTATCTTTCCTATACTTTGCACTCCTTTCGTCTTTTGTATTGTTATTGTGACGTTATTACCGGCCCCTATTGTGAAAAAGAGCTTTATAACTCGTCTAATTGCTCCAGTATAAATATTCTGATTCTGAATTGGGGGTAACAAGACATCTAGACCACGCTGTAATTGAGGAGATATCTCCTTTGAATGGCCGATGTTGATGTCGAGCAGGGGTGGGGAACCTTTTTTTCTGCCAAGGTCCATTTGGATAATTATAACATCATTCGCGGGCCATACAAAATTATCAACTTAAAAAAAATAGCCTTTAATATTTGGTCAAACATTTAATTAACTCGCCCCTAATGTGATGGCTGGAACTGCTTCTCTTTGGTGAGGCTTGTGATGATGTTAGCTGGTATTGATGATGTTGCTACTCGCAACTGCTTTTCCAGGTTTTGCTCCTAGATTTATTGAATTTCGAGTCCCGCCTGCGGTTGCCTTGGCAGGGCCACACCAAATGATTTTGCGGGCCTCGTACGGCCCGCGGGCCGGCCGTTCCCCACCCCTGATGTAGAGCAACAGACAGATGCACATTAACATTGAGGTGGTGGGCTCAGATAATTGCCGCAGGAATATCGGAGTGGTGCATCCCTGTGGTGACGCCTCCTTTTTCGTATTTGTCAATCGGTCATTGAGTAGTTACATGTTAAAATTAAACTAAATTATGTTTATTTTACCAGGTCAGACCCATTGAGTTACATAGCTCTTTTTTAGAATCAATCTGGCGACAAATGATAGCTCAACAAAATAAGGAAAAAACGGAGGTCCCAGAGGAGAACATGCAAACTCCGAATATATTTTTCTATTGCCTATTCAATTCTGGTTTTAAATCAACCTGACACACAAAAATATGACGTTTTAGAGAATGAAATTGAGGAGTCACAAGACATCTAGACGACGCTGTACATCGGATTCCCGGTCGTGAGTTTAGCTGCCCGTGGTCCCCAACTCGGTTATGCGCGGTTGAAGAAGCTGCAGGTGGTGAACAGTTCCAACATTGAGCTGCGACCAGATCCAATGTTCTTGGTTGCACAATTTAAGGACATTTAACGTTCACCGTTGTTACGTTACGTTTGAGACAGCTTTTGCCAAGTTAGACTGATTGCTGCCTTTAAAGGGCCACTTAAGCCGCTACGGTTTTATTGCCGAGCTCGCGAATGGGCGATGAGTTGGGAGTCATGTTCTGTATTTGCATCACAATGAAAGCACAGAAGTTTGGTACCGTGTTCATGAATCTGGGATGGAGCGAATTCTCTTCGTTATAGGACGCAGCCTGTCCTTTGAAGCAACGATTCTGATGGTGCCTCTTATAATCCGGTAGCTGTGTGTACCGTGTGCACAGATTGGTGTAACCCATTATGAAATCATCATCATCGACATTACAAACTTATTGACACACGTTTGTGGGGGGCTGCGACTGACATACCGGTGCGCCTTATAATCCGGAGAATGCTGCAATTCCACGACAGTTTAAAAAAAAAAAAAACCCAGACTTTGGGTTTCAATAAAAGGTTTTAAACCTCCAGATCTGGCATCACCACAGCACCGCCAGACGCACGTGGTGGCTGTTCCCTCGCTAACCCGGTTATACACTCCCCCCCCCCCCCCAGTTCTTGATCGGTAACAAATATCCGAACCGCTTCTTCTTGATCGATTCGGTACTCCTCGGTGCAGTGCGTAAACGACAGCACCGAGGGAGACAAAGGCGGCCGGGCCGCTGTGCTGGCCACTCCACGCACCCTCGTGTGTCGTGGCCGGGGCCCTCGGACTGTCTGCTGAGGCTGCACGGGAGAGGAGGAGGAGTGGTGGGGGGAGAGGGCTTCTTTGTTTTCGTTTCTTTAGAACGTGACGAAGGAAGTTGTTGCGGTGTCTTAGCCTGGCGTGGATTGTACTTCTCGTCATCATCATCAATCATCTTGGGGCCGATACAGTGAGTACTCGTTTGTGAAAAAGTCAAACGTTGATTGGCTCCTCGTCACGTGGAATGTGAAATTGCCACGACCGTCCGGGGAGATGCTGAATCTCCCGCATGTCCCTTTGCTTGATGGGACCGTCAGACGTCTCGATTGTGACTGGATTCTCAACCCTGCGGTGATGATGAGCGGTGGCGCATTGGTTAGCGCAATGCGCGAATGAAATACAACCTGAGTTCGATACCCGGCCACGGCTAACATCAGTGGGCAGTTATAAAGGTACCGTATAGGAAAGAAGTCTGCAGTTTCAATTTTTTTCCATAGCGCCTCCGATTAGCACGGCTGGCTGCGGTACGGTGTGAAATAAGTTCAGCATCCATAAAATCGGCTTTATTATTTTGTCGTATGCTATTGGTCCCTTTTGCAGTTTTAAGGCCTACCATATCTCACAAACTGACATGTGCATTACAGTGTTGTAGGTAGCCTATGGCAAAATCACCCAGGATTTGGGTGGCCAGCACAACGCAGGGCCGCCTTTGTCCCCAAGTAGCGATGCTTACACACCGCACCAGGTGCTCATTTGATGCAGAGTTGACCTAGGCAGAGGCCCATGACCGGTTCAGATGATGGTCACCGCTGTTGGCCGTGAGCGAGAATCCAACTCGGGTCACGGCCGGGTTCGCAGGGCGGCGCGCTAACTGCTGCGCCACCGCTCACCCAACCATGTTTGGCAGACTGTAGGCTGCAGGGCAACTTTTTAAGCAGCAGAGGGCAGTGCGGCATTGCAAAGGGTGGTCCAGATGTCTTGACCATTTAATCCTCTTAAACGTATATTTTTAAGTAAGGTTTATTTAAAACAGAAATGAACATGCAAAGGGGGGAAATATTAGTGGGCAATTGATTGGGGGTCACAGGACATCTCTACGACCCTGTACAATATTTCGATAATCAAGCATTAATGCTCTCTCACCTTCAGCAATCCACACTGAGACCAGTGTGGTGAAGTATGGGCAAACAAACCCCCATGAGCGACACGGCATGAGGAGGCCTTCCAGCATTAGATTAACTCGTAAACATACCCCATTCTAAATTAACATGTCCCTTCTACTCATCCCCCCATCAGGATGGCGTGTGCAGTGGCCACTCCGGTGCTGGAGCCGAGCGGGGACTTCCCGGCGTGGCTGGAGGCGCAGGGCGTGAACGCGGAGGTGGCCCAGGCCATGGACTCTGAGCTGGGCATCCGGGACTACGGGGTACTGCGCGCCTGCGTCAGGGATGGCCTCGTGCGGGCCGAGCTGCTGTCCACGGCGCGCGACCGCCTGCCCTTCGGCTTCTACGCCGTGCTGCGGCAGGTGGTGAAGGCCCTGCAGGGCGCCGAGCCCCACGACGCCGGGACGCCGTGCTGGGATGCCGCCGCCGCTGCTGCCACCGATTCCACCTTCTCCCCCGGCGACGTGACGCTGAGAGGCCTGGTGGACGTGCTGCTCGCGCTTTTCAACGGCTTGAGCCGGGAATTACAAATGTCTGTACAGAGACTGGATGACATGGAGCATCAGAAACATGCCGTGGCATCTCCTTTATCAGCAACTGCTGCCACTTCTGAAGATGCAACAGCACAAATGCATTCTTGCATAGCAAGCGGTAATGAATGTGAACTTATAAATCAATGTTGCATTTTTGGCGATTGTTTCACAGAGGAATGGAGATGATGTTGTTGATCATGTGAGGAAAATTGGGACGGTGGGTTGGAACCGAGGTGTTGTGGTGTGTTCTCTTACGCTCCCCTCTGTCTCCTCATATTCTCTTTGGGTTGGACGCCTTCCATTTTCTTCCTCTTCTCTTCATTTCATTTCATCGTGGTCCCGTCTGTAGAGCATTGCAATGTTCGTATTCTCCAGTAAAATCTTCTTGTTGTGCAGTATTCCCTCGTTATTCACGAACTTGCTATCCGCAAATTTGGCAATCCGCGAATCACATCTAGAACGCTACACGTCTGCATCGAGAGAGTAAGAGAAGTAAAGTGATGAGATAAAGTGATGAGAGAGGAAGCTTATTTACATATTTATTCAAAGCGAATATCATCCGCGAAGTTTGCTATTCATGAACATATCCAGAGTGTATACCTCTTGAATAACGAGGGAATATTGGACTTTAGTAAATTAACCCTTTCCCATTCCGAGACATCTGCAAATTGCAGGGTGGGTCCTGTTCACCGCTGAATTTCGGAACACGTAAGCGGTTAGCGTTAATTTTATTTGGAGAGCCATAACGCTGCTGTTTTTAAAGACGTTGCACTCACCACATAAAACTATAGCGACACGACTGCACTCTATGATAGGTGGTGCCAAACTATGCCACATTACCTTCGATGGGCCCTCACTTTGTTTGAAACGGGAATTACCATGATGAGATCCTGACCGGGATTGGAATTTGCCGGATTTGTGGTCGTGATCTAGGTGCTCTCGTCACGTGAGCCTTCTTTACACAGCAAGTTGTATTGAACAGTACATTTTCTCCACATTAGAGGGATACATTTGACACATTTGCACTTTTGATTGTTCAAGTTCATCATCCTAATCATCAATAGCCAGATTCTATTCACTTGTAATAATGCATCCCTTACGTCATCTTCTTTCGCAGTCTTGCGATACCTTAATCCTTCTCTGCAGTGATAATCTGTACGGTAATATTCTATACTTTGGCTGCCAATATATCAAAAGTATCATACATTGGCCATCATCCCTTTAATCATGATGTGTCCTGGCCCAAGCCCACTTTATATAATGATGAATGTGACGTCTCTAATATGCATCCATTTCTTTCTCGTGCTATCTCTCTCTGTACGAGAATGCATTTCTCCACACTTTTATCTACTTTTCATATTTTAATCTTGATTTGAAGCTTTCGTGACTGCATGAATCGATCATCAGGTGATGATGGACGCTTGTGTTGCGCCCAAAACGTCGTGATTTATTTTATTTTATACCTACGTGACTTTACCGAAAGAACTAAAGAGTATTTTCAGTTTTTGTTCCGTTTGCTTTGTTGCAGTCCATGTTTCCGACCCATGTCATACCACACAATATGCACTAATTGAAAACTTTCACCTTTTTGGCACATTGGTATGTTACTTTTCATGATCAAATCCATGTTCCAAAAGTATTCCAACCTTCCTTTCGCTTGCATCTTAATATCGTCATGTTGAACCTTGTTCACCTTCAGTAATTGCCATCCATATACATACTCTGTGTTCATCAGCTCCAATTTCTTCCTATTGTACAGAAAACGTGGTGTGCATGACTTTTGTCTTTCTCATATTTTAGTCCAACTTGGGTTTCATCTCCATCAGGTGATATGACTGTCATCGGCAAATATGAATCGGTTATGATATCTGTATTTACTTTCACCCCTTTCTTTCTCTGATCCAATTTTTGGAAAACATCTTTTAATGTCGCTGTGCTTATCTTTGTTTCAGGTTATGGGGCACGTAAATGACACTTGCAGGTCAACATTACTCATCATTTTGACTTGCAGTATATTTGGGATTACAGGTGAAGGGGAGATCCAATGTCAATTGAAAGTGTTTTTTTCTCAAATTTTTGTTTAGAAAAAAAAATGTATGCAATGGTTCTTAATCTGTTGTGGCTTTGTGTAGACGAGGCAGAAACGATTTCAGCTGCAATCAAAGAGGAGTCCGAACCCAAATTGACAGCAAGTCTTCGTAAAGCAGAGCTCTTTCAAGGTATGGTTTTTCTTTTCTACAATGAACACAACACCCCTGCTGCCATCCTTTCCGAGTTCCGCTTTCGCAATTTCTGAGTACAAATCACCAACCAAAAGTTGTGTTCACGCTTGTGTCTGGACATCAGTCATGTTCTCTTTATTTCTAGATGCTGTTGCTGATTTGAATCAATCTCTACTGCTTCCACAAGTACAGAAGCAAGGCTCAGTAGACCACTCTGCAAACGAATCACTTGGTAAGTGTGAATTACGTTCATATTTTTGAAAAAGAGGTGGTCTGCAATGGTAACTCAAGACTTTTAAAATGTACGTCGCAGAACTGAGGCCGCTCCTATTTCGGTCCTTTGCTTATGCCCCTGGTTACCTCTTCCACTAAAAGTATTCTACATCTCATGGATATGGTATTATATTTAAAAGGGTTCCTATTAAAAGTCTGGATTTATAATAGCAATGACAGTTATTTACCCAGGAAAGCCTCACCAAGTATCGAAGATTTTGATCAGGCAAGTCCTGCATGTAGATGTTTGGCTGGTGCTATGAACGAGTATTTGACTTCATGTGGGATGAAACCGGACGAACCCCATTACCCAGAGAAATGCCAAGCATTTTAGGGGGTTACACTCAAGCCTTACTCTCCCAGTGACTCACAGTGCCACGCCTATAACACCTGGTAAGTTCTCGTGGTCGACATTCAGGGCACAGACTGGTTAAGCTTCCAATCTAGGGTAATTTGGTCATATACAATGCATTTGGTAGTTTTGAATGCAGGCTCGTTTAAATATCGCACTATTACGAAAATAAGTTTGCACATTTAATACATTTCGTATGTACGAACAGCTACAGTGCAAATTAAAACATTTGTATTATGTAATTTTACGTAAACGTTTTTGTCTGGACTAAATGCATTGCGCTGGTTTTTTTATGCTCCTGAAGGTAAACCTCACTTGGACATCCACCCCAAATTCATCATCCAGAACGTGACCTCACTTTCAAATTCCAAACCAAATCCCACAGACGCTCATCCGTGTCTGTGGCCAATGCAGGAAGCGAGTAGGACACTCAACGAAGACACCGAGAACGGCTGTCTCTCGATTAATCATAGCCAGATGCCCTCCGGTGAGGGCACGTCGTATGAGCTTAAATCGGCAATACCCAACCACCTAGAGACGCCTCGGTTGGAAACCTCTCAAGATAAGCCGCACAGCTGTGACGTGTGCGATCGTAGCTTCACTTGGCCCAGCGAGCTCACAATCCATCAGCACGAGCACGCGGGCGAACAATTGCACCACTGCAGGGTGTGCGGGCGCAGGTTCCTGAAGTCCAGCTACCTGAAGGTCCACTCGCGAACGCACACGGGTGAGAAGCCCTACTGCTGCCAGTTTTGCGGGCACAGATTTTCACGGTACGGAGTGCTGAAGAGCCACCTTCTGACGCACACCGGTGAGAAGCCGTACACCTGCAAGGTGTGCGGCCGCAAGTTCACGCAGCGCTCCAACATGAGGTCCCATGAACGGACGCAGCACGGCACGGGGGGATCATGAAAAGGCGTTGAGTGATGGGGTCCTGCACTGCCTAATTAATGCAGTGACTTTCAGCGCTGGGTTTTGAGGGGGCTCCCAAAAATGTATATTGTACTGTTATGTAACGGTTCAAATTAAATGCTGTAGCACTGTGATAAATTATCTCGGTAATTTGGTAATTAAAATTACAATGACTTTGTATTGATAGCAGTTATGTGCCGACATTAATATAGTATTGGACTTTTTTAATTAAGATTTAGTTTTACTATATATCACATAAAAAACAGAATGGAAGTAAACGTAGTAAATAAAGGTGTTGTGTTTGGCATCATAGGGCATGGGTAGTGGTGGTAAAACAACAGGAAAGAAGGAATTGAGTATGCAAAGAGAGGCCTCCAAAACTCTAGGTCCCCATCAAATCATATCTGGCCCTCATCAAATCCTATCTGGCCTTGGTCCCATGTACGTGGATTATTGTCTCAGAATGTACAGTGTGTATTTGAAATAATGTGTACCAGGACTGCATTTAAATGGGGATATTTTAGAGGACCGACGAAATTTGGGAAAAAGTAAAAAATCACATTCCCAAAGCTTAAAAATCGAACAGCATGCAAAGCGATGCTAACTTGTTCACTGCGTAACCACGCTTAGGGGCCGCCCATAAAAGACGTCACGCACCTAGGGGGGTGGGGTCAGGCATTTGTGACGATGTGTGATGAGAGGAGGGGGGGGAGAAATGAGACATGTAAAAATGCGCAACTTTAAATAAATATAGACAACACGTTCTACTTAATTAAAGAGACTTTTTATAAATGTTTTCTCCTACAACATCAGAGTGCAGTGCACTACAATGACAATAGTTTAAAGCGATTTGAAGCATGTTTTATATGTTTGGGGAGGGGCGGGGCACAGCTCTGTGACGTCATATTTGATGGGGAGGGGTCTGACTTTTGTGACGCCGCGTGACGATGGGGGGGGTGGTCAAAAATCGCGTGACGTCATTTATGGACGGCCCCTTTAAAGAAATGTCACGTGCCAGGCGGTCCCATTTTAGTACTGTGATATTCGGGAGCATTTTATCGTGCTTTCCAGAATTGGCTTGTAATTTTCATTGTTTTTTGTACCTGGCATATTAGTGTATTTTTGTAATGTATAAAAACTATTTGGTCAAGCTTTTCAATGCATACACTTTTATTTGCACTCAAAAGTATAACATGAAAAAATTTGACCCCACAATTAAGCTAATTTTACGTGCTCAATAAAAGTGGGTGGCTTGCATAAAGAAAATAAAACGTCGAACGGAATTTGTGATTTTGAAAATAAATGGGGGCGGGGGGGGGGAATAAAATGTACGAGTATTAATAATACAATTTTAGTTAAAAACACGAATAGGACCACGATGGGCGGGACCTGGACCGTTTTTTATGAAATCTGTGTAGAAATGTTCAGCTCATTAGGCTTTGTAGATCCGAAGATATTAAGCCTCGAATATTCCAAAGAATATAAACAGACAACACGGCAAGTTAAATAAAAGTATGTAAAAAAAGGGCTATATTTTGTCGACCTGGCAACATGACACTTTGGTTTGAGAAAGCAGTGATAGCGGGGCACCCTACATCTGAATCGTCCCAGTGCAGAATATCAAGAACACACATTTTACAGACGTGCGTTTAGAGTCGGGGTTGGGATCAAAATACCAAGAGCCATTTCTTATGAAATCGATATTTCAAGAGCTCCGCATGCATTACAATACATACATACATGACGTCACGAAGCAGTCGATAAAGAGTCACATGCGGCTCCTGAGCCGCCGGTTGCAGACCCCTGGTTTAGGGGCCGTCCATAAATGACGTCACGCGATTGTTGACGATTTTTGACCCCCCCCTCCCCCGTCGTCACAAAAAGTCAGACCCCCCCCCTCAAATATGACGTCACAAAGCTCTGGCTTCCCCCCCCAAAAAATATATAAAACATGCTTCAAATCTCTTTAAACTATTGTCATTGTAGTGCGTATTTAATGTGGCGCTGCACTCTGATGTCGGAAATTTTTTTTATCAAAAAATCTATTTATTTAAGTAGAACGTGTTGTCTATATTTATTTTGATGTGACGTCACATTTCTCAAACCCCCCCCCCCCCCCCTTGTCACACATCGTCACAAATGTCTGACCTCCCCCCCCCTAGGTGCGTGACGTCATTTATGGACGGCCCCTTAGAGTATTTGACTACTGCTATAAATGTCCACATGATGAGTCGCTTGTTGAGCTATCGTTTGTGGCCAGGTCGCTTCTGAAAAGGAGCAACAGTAGCTCAGTGGGCCTTGCCTTCTAAAATACATTTTTTTGTTCATTTCAAAATCTATTCCATGGCAGATTAAGCTCTTTTACAGATTTGGACCTATGTATGACACTGGATGGAAGTGGAATCCGCTTGAAAGGTATAAACAGACTGGGGATGTTTCAATTACAGTACTTATTAATGCATTCAGATTTTTAGCAACTGCATGCTAAAAAAGCTGATTATTTGAAAGCCTCATTTTTTGTTTTTTTTTAATGTATTGGAATGTTCATCCTAACGAGGCTTGAGTTATTTTTATGTTATATTTGAGTGTGTGATTATAGCATTTGATGTTTACTTCGTTGCTTTCCAATGCATATATACTGTCGTGTTTTGTATGTGTTCGGCCAATTACGTGAGTAAATAGTAATGGAAAAACGTTGGGAGTATCTGTAAGTCATCATTTTGTTTCATAACAATATAATTTGCAGCCCGTTGTTAACCTTACTGCTGGATGAAGGCCTCACCACCGTGTCAACTTCCCTGCATTGTGGAATGGCTTCCTGTACGTGAATTATTCAAGGATGATAGTCGATCGATAAATTCGACTTACGGAACTTTCAGAGATACGAACAAACCTGGTCGGTATGTCCAGTTGCCTGTTCAGACCGAGAGTCGTAAGTTCAACCGCCGTGGAATAGATGGCGGTGGTGGCATCTACATCAACAGAACGTGAAGAACCAGTGGCATCTGCATCTACAGGAGATTATGCAACTTGTAAAGCCATTCTCCATGTTTAGTGTATATGCCGTACAACATGTTTGGAATCGACAGAAGTTAATTTGGACTTATGAACAAATCGACTTACGAACAGACCTCTGGAACCTAACTCGTTTGTATGTAGAGGAGTTCCTGTATATGTATTCATTCGCGATGATGTTTAAGCAGAGGCTAGTTATTCGTGGATTGTCTTGGAAAAGAGCAACTCCATGCTCTTTACTTTTTTCGGGATGGAGGAAATGTGCGGATAATCCCATGCATAATAGATTCACAGTGTTTCATCACGCGCGTCCCCGCTGATAAGAGTTCTAAAAAAAATCACTTTTAACATTTCACTTGGGGCACTCTTGGTAATCGTGAAACTGCCCCTGACCTACTGCTGCTGAAACAAAGTAAGTTGTTACTTACATTGCCCGTGCATAATTTGTGTTTTTAGATGATTTACCTTCTTAAAAAACAATTTGTCCACGTCTCGCACCCCCCAGAAAGGCCACCTCGCACCCCCAGGGGGTGCGTGCACCCACAGGTTAAGAAGAGGCACTGATTTATGGTAATAAACGTATAGCTTAAAGCTTTAAATAGAAAAATAAACGTATAGTCAAATATATATTTATGAAAGAATATGAATAGGTTTTACCCTTTCTGGCAATAAAACAGGTGTTAACATTCATAATAAAGGTTTTTGGGTTAGATCGCGTTATTTATAAATGTGTCGTAACCCTCCACCACCCGACACGGACAATCAGCAAAAAAGTGTCACGTTGACAAAAGACAAATAGTTCACTACTTTAGCCCACCGGTGTGTTGAAGAGTGAATCCACAACATTTACAGTTTTAGCACGACGTTTCGCTGGTAATTACAAATAGAAACATTTTGCAAGGAATCAAATGCTGCTTTAACCACACACTTTACTTGTGAACATGCAAACAAAACATGCTCTAATAATATTGTTATCCATTGCCCCTTCGCACGTGAAGGGCTCACAAGTGATATCATCCCATCTATCCCTCTACTTAAGGAACGAAACAGGAGGATTTCGCCACAAATCTGGCTGTCCGCCTGATAATGCTAGTTGTAATTACTGGTGAAACGTCGTACTCTGATTGTAAATGTTGTAGATTTGTTCTCCCAACACACCAGTGTGCTGTACTAGTAACACCTCTGTTTACGTGACAAACTTTACTAATCGGCTGCCTGGTGGTGGTGGTGGGTTTCACGACACATTTCTATTTACGCGATCTAACCCAAATAAACAACTATATTATGGATGATATTGGTCACGAAAGCCTCCTGCGTGTTAAACTGTCTTCGAAACCTATTGGTCTACACCAGAAACAGTCTTTAGGGGCCGTCCATAAATGACGTCACGCACCTGGGGGGGGGGGGTCAGACATTTGTGACGATGTGTGACGGGGGGGGGGGGGTTGAGAAATGTGACGTCACATCAAAATGCGCAACTTTAAATAAATATAGACAACACGTTCTACTTAATTTAGACTTTCTAATAAATGTTTTCTCCTACAACATCAGAGTGCAGCGCCACATTAAATACGCACTACAATGACAATAGTTTAAAGCGATTTGAAGCATGTTTTCTTTTTTAGGGGGGGGGGCAGAGCTTTGCGACGTCATATTTGAGGGTGGGGGGCCTGACTTTTTGTGACGCCGTGTGACGATTGGGGGGGGGGGGGGTCAAAAATCGGCCAAAATCGCGTGACGTCATTTATGGACGGCCCCTTATTTGTGGCCGAGTGTCAGACCCAGAGAACAACGCAAAAAGGCGAACAGTACAAATACAATGCCACCACGTGTCAGAGCATCTGTAGCTCGGCGTGAGCAGCCACACAACGGGATTCCTTTTTTTGCCAGAATACAATCAAATGCATATATTCTAGATTTAAAGCTTTCGTGACTGCTAGGATCCATACTCTTTGGTTCTATTGGGTAAAGTCACGTAGGTGGGTAAAGTCACGTAGGTGTTATTTTATTTTCACCTACGTGACTTTACCCAATAGAACCAAAGAGTACAAATGCATATATTTAGCAATCAGCAACAGAGCGTTTAGTAGCCGCAGATGTGGCCCAAGGGACAATGATACATTTACCCCTCCCCCACCCCTCCCCCATCTCTCCCCCATCTCTCCCCACCTCTCCCCCCCACCTCTCCCCCCCACCTCTCTCTACCCCCCCACCCCTCCCCTCCCCCACCTCTCCCTCCCCCACCCCTCCCCTCCCCCACCCCCCCACCCCTCCCCTCCCCCACCTCCCCTCCCCCACCTCTCCCCCTCCCCTCCACCACCTCTCCCCCCCACCTCTCTCTACCCCACCCCTCCCCTCCCCCATCTCTCCCCCCACCTCTCCCCCCCACCTCTCTCTACCCCCCCACCCCTCCCCTCCCCCACCCCTCTCTACCCCCCACCCCTCTCTACCCCCCCACCCCTCCCCCTCCCCCACCTCTCCCCCCCACCCCTCCCCACCCCTCACCCCTCCCATCTCTCCCCACCTCTCTACCCCCCACCTGCTTATTAAATCACCGCGGTCCCTTACGTCAGGAATTCTCCCTTTTGAGTAAACGCGAGCCGACCAAAATCTTCATCGCGCCTTTATTTTTTATTTTTTTTTAAAGAAACGTGTTGATGGTTTATTTGCCTCGCATAAAGGGACTCGCGAGAGAATGTCCAAGTAACAATATGTTTCCTCGCAACATTTAATTTCCGCAGATTTTAAAAAAAAATTTAAAACCCCCCAGATATTAAAACCTCTCTAAAGTGTCATTCGACGTTTCGGGGTAAGCGCGCGCGCGTTCGTTTTGTTATTTGGCGCCAACGCCGCACGCGGCGGGTGGCTGCGCCTCTGTTAAAAGCGGTCGTGAACTTTACTGTTTAATAAGAGTCACGGACGTGTAACTAGTTTGTTTAATCCACTGCTAGATGACACCCCCCCCCCCCCCCCCCCCCACAATCATCATATCAAAAATCGATATTTATACTGAAGGAATCCGATGAGCTATAAAGCTCTTTTGCGCAGACGGCCGATGCTCACGTAGAGCAACAACTGCAGTATATATGTTTTTGTTTTACATTGAGGCGGTTGAGGCAAAGTCATTTGAACCTTCGCCGCTAATGTTCACCGATAGTAATGCACAAACAATGTTTTTGTTTCATGTTTAAACCCACTGCATGGTTGTTTCGAACCATTTTCAACATACGGATTTCTATGGCGAGATGTTATCTCCGTCGCCCGGTACACAGGGGGTCATGGGTTTGATTCTGACCCTGACGCCTGTTGTATATTTGGAGTTTGCGTCTCTCTCTCGCTCTCCGTGGTCCTCCGGTTTATCCCCCCCACTCATTTAGAATAGACATCACCACGCGTTTTAGAGTATTTGGCTGCGATACGTTTCCACATGGTGATAAGCCACTTGGAGCGATCATTTGTGGCCAGGTCGCTTCTGAAATAGAGCAATGTAGCTCAGTGGGCCTTTGTAAAATACAAAAAATATAGTTCAGTAAATAGTTTAGTTTATGTATAGTTATTAATCGTGTTTAACTCTTGCGATTTGAAATTGATCTTGGAGCAGACGGGCATGTTCATGGGACTAAAGCATAATGATGGTGTGTATGGTATTGTTTATGTAGGCAGGGTGGTGGCATCGTTTGTTTAGCAAACCTGATTCTTTTGATGAGTCCCCCAAGATCGAAACCGGTTCAGAGTTTGCTTACTTAAACAAATGCTGCTCTTTGATATTGTTTCTATGATTTCTCCATGCATTTTCCTTCAGGATGGCGTGCGCAGTGGCCACCCCGGTGCCGGAGCCTAGCGGGGACTTCCCGGCGTGGCTGGAGGCGCAGGGCGTGAACGCGGAGGTGGCCCGGGCCATGGACTCTGAGCTGGGCATCCGAGACTACGGGGTCCTGCGCGCCTGCGTCGGGGACGGCCTCGTGCGGGCCGAGCTGCTGGCCGCGGCGCGCGACCGCCTGCCCTTCGGCTTCTACGCCGTGCTGCGGCAGGTGGTGAAGGCCCTGCGGGGCGCCGAGCACCACGACGCTGGGATTCCGCGCTGGGACGCCGCCGCTTCCTTTCCCGGCGACGTGACCCTGGGAGGCCTGGTGGAGGTGCTGCTCGCGCTGTTCAGCGGCTTGAGCCGGGAGCTGCTGCTGTCCGTGCAGAGGCTGGATGAAATGGACAATCCCAAATATGTAATGGCTTCTTCATTGCCAAGTGCTCCCAGACCTGAAGATGGGACACTGGAATTTGACCATGGTAATAAAAGCATCATCATATCAAAAATATTTTAACTTATTCTCCAAAGATTGCATTGCATGCTCTCTAACAGCACAACTTAACTATTACCAGGTGATGAGTTAACGTTTTTTGAGACATGTACGATATGATGGATACAACTAAATTGTTACAAACGTGTATTATACTCACGAATAGGATGAACAAGTATAACTAAACAATTTGGTGGCCTTCATTTATTTACTGCTGAATGAAGGTCTCTCACAGGAATTGTTTATCATGGTAGTCTCGAGCCACACAGCTGCACTTTGTCATCCCCCGCCTATCTCTGCCAAACTCCCTTTTCTCACACTACTTCCCTTCACGCACTCGCCGTTCCAGCAACCAACACTTTTTATCAAAACCCCTCGTCAACCTTAATCGGTGGGGGGAGGCATCTATTTTTTTTCCTTTGCTGCTCCCAATGTCTGGAACTCCCTTTCCCCAGCGTTCCGTGCTGTCAACTCCCCCGCCTCTGTTTAAGTCGAGACTTAAGACTTGAATTTTATCCTCATCTTACGACTGACTTACCTGTCTGTAATTTTGTATTCTTATTTTGTGATGCTCCATTGGCAGTGGCGCACAAGCACTATAACACAAGACTCGACACATTTGTGAATAACACTGCCTCAAACGGAAAACTATATAATAGGTCATATTTAAGGCAACTACCATTATTTATGTGATGTGAAGGAGGGTCATTGCCTGAAACGTTATGATTGTATATGCTATGACCAAGGACGATTGCCCAAAATTTCGCCTATTATATACTTTTCCTGCTTTGAAATTTCAGTACAAGGGACATCCATGGCTAAAAATGCAATCCTGGATTTAAAATGTTTATCAGGAAGTTATACATAATGAGTAGCATATTGCAGTGGTTTCATATGTTATTATGTTGTGGCTTTTAAATTTGTGCAGATGAGCCAGACCTAAGATCATTTTCAGCCATGGATGAAACCAAACCCAACAATTCAGTGGTGCAGATTAAAATGGAGCCTTTGGAAGGTAGATTACAGATTTCTATGATTCTACAAATGCTCGGCACATTTGTCATGTGTAGTGAATTTGGATATCTTGTTGCACTGTTTGCAAACGAATATAGGATGCTTATGAATATTTACTCTGATGGTATTTATGTCCTGCCTTTGACCGAAGCATCTGGAATTCACACAATTGTGCCATATTTATGAAGCGAAGTAGGGATGATTGTAAGAATATTAGAGTAAAAATGACATACATGGCTTCATGTAGAATTATTGTCTCAAACTGTCTCTCGTGAAACTTAACATGTTGAGTATATGCAGAAGTTTTTACATATGGCATTATTGTGGCTTTGAATTTGTGCAGATGAGCGAGAAGAGAGATTGACTCCAACCATGGATGACACCAAACCCAACATTGCAGTGGTACAAATTAAAACGGAGCTTCTGGAAGGTAGAGTACAGATGTTCAATGGATTCCATGAAGGCCTCAACTTGATGCGCGTGTTGTTTGACATATGTCACCACCCTAGTCAGTGTAGGTTGGTGAAGGGGGGGGGGTTGGCCCACGATCGGTTCAGATATCACTGGCCTTTTTATGTTATCTGTGGCCAATAATCGATCTCAGGTTGTCGAATTTTCTGGCGCGGTTGTCTCAACCATTGCGCCACAGGGTTTTAGAATAGCACGATACATTGTTTTGACAGGTTTTATATTTGCCACGTAACTGAGCTAGTGCTGTTTTTCTGCAGAAGGTCAATGTCTCTTGAATGGCTGTCCTGAGCTCATCGTCCAGAAAGCGAAGACTCCACCAGATTTGAGAACAAACCTTGCTCGCACAGCCGCCGCCCACCCGTTTGCGTGGCCACAACCGAACGGCATTATAACAGATGGTGAGGAAATGGCTGCAATACCTTCCTTCCAAACACTAATGCTGCAAAAAGAATAATATGCATGCACAACTTAACGATGACCATGTTTTCAGCCGTTTATCAAGCAGTTTTCCTAATTCCTGCCTTGATAGTGCAGGTCTTCTGTTAAAAAGGACATCCGTGGGTACAAGCAAATTTCTGGTTTTAACTTGTTATGTCATGAAACTACGTGTTGAGTGTATGCAATGGTTGTATGTATGATGTTGTGGATTTGAATTGTGCAGGTGAGCCAGGAGAGAGGACATCACCAACAATGGACGACACCATACCTAACCTTGCAGCCGTACACATTGAAATGGAGCCTTTGGATGGTACAGTGCAACTTTTCCATGATTCCATTAAACCCTCAACATGACGTGGGGGGTTGATATATTATATTACCCTGGTCAGTGTGGGTTGATGAAATGGGTTGACGTGGGATCAGTTCAGATAGCGCCCACCTTTTATGTTAGCTGTGGTGAAAAATCAAACTGAGATTGACGGATTTATTGTGCACTTGCCTCAATCACATCACTGCTGGGTTTTAGATTATATTTATACGTTACTACAGATGTTATATTTAGCATGTGATGGTAAACTGGTGCGGTTTTTCTGCTTCAGATGAATGTCACGTGGACGGCCGCCCTGAGATCGTCCATAGGGCGACATCACCACCAGATTTTAAACGAAATTTTGTGCACACAGCTGCCGCCCACCCATATGCGTGGCCAAAACCTGAAGCTGTTGAAATGCACGGCGAAGAAATCGCTGTCATTCCTTCTTCCCAAACACTGACGCAGCAACAGCAACTTGCATTTTCTCAGAGGGAGACAATTGTGAACGCTGTCTCAACGAACAACAGTGCGATGTCTTCCGTCCTCGAGGATGAGACGTTCAAGTTTAATCTCAAAGCGACTCAGCCAGAGGTTGCAGCTGAAAAGCGTCACCGGTGCGAACTGTGCGGCAAGACCTACTCGCTGGCGTTCAACTTGAAGCGCCACACGTACGTACACACGGGCGCGTGGCCCTGCCGCTGCAAGGTGTGCGGGCACGGCGTGTTGCGCGCCAGCGACCTAAAGGAGCACATGCGCGTGCACACGGGCGAGCGGCCTTTCTGCTGCAACGCGTGCGGGCAGTGCTTCACGCGAGCCTGGCACCTGAGGTCTCACGAGCGCACGCACACAGGCGAGAAGCCGCACCGCTGTGGCTTGTGCGGCAAGGAGTTCACGCGATCCAACGGGCTGCGGTTGCACCAACGCAAGCATGCGGGCGACAAGAAGTAGGGTGGCGGAGATGGGTAGGGCAACGCGTGCTTTTCCGAGCCGACGTCCGTGATCGACGACGATGCGGCGTTTTTAACGTTTTTAAAGAGGAGCGTTCGTTTTAACCAAGATGAGAACCAATCCCTGGGACGAGGCCATTCATGTTGGAATGCTTGTCTCTTATTTTTAAGAGGTGGTTCCTTTTGAGACATGGGACATCGGAAAGGTAACCAAAAGACGTCCGAAGATTTGGAAAGAGTGAGAAGGGTTTTGGCTTGATGGGTTCAAACTTGGTTACAAATAAATGCCATTTTTTATTACATGTAGCCATGGTACACAATCGCAATATTATGACGACATTCGTAGCCACTTTTTTTTTCAATGCCTTACGCAAACGTATCTAAATATCATCAAAGCATCACTGACTGGTACATGAATCATGTAGAATTTTCACAAGTTGTTTTATGGTATTGTGCTCTGAAAAATGTTAGTTCATCATCATCGTCGTCAGTCATGATCGTATAGTTTATACAGATCATCGAATTGTACAAAATTATTGTGAAGTGTTTTGGTTATAATTGCAGTTGCAGAATAAAATTACACTTAAGTATATCGACCTTTCTGGACCAGTGGTTTTTGTTTCAATAAGGCCAAAACCAATGGTTGGTTATGACTTAAAGTTGTCAAACAAATGCTTGTTGTGGTGGCTGTGATGGTGGTGGCTGCTGTGATTGTGTTTGGCGGTTGGGTTGGTGGTGGTGATGTGGTAGTAATAGCTGCAGAGAAGGTACAATTTAAAATGAAGATTTGAGAATTAACTTAAATTGGGAAACTCACACTCGTAATTCGATCAATATTTTGATATACAGTCGGTTTCCTTTGAAACCATCTCTTAATGGTATTTACAGTATACTGTACCGTAATGTGCAGTACCAGATTGAAACATGCGTTTATATTATTTGGTTGCTGTACATTTCCACGTGACATGCCATTTTGTTGAGCTATCATTTATGAACAGGACGCTTCTAAAATATAAGTTAATAGCTCAGTGGGCTTTACCTGGTAAGATAAACAAATATATAGTTACATTTTATTTGAATATATATTTTTAAGTGATGTGTTTACCTTTCCTATACTTTGCACTCCTATCGGGTTTTTGTATTGTTGTAACGTTTTGACCTGCCCCTACTGGACATCTGTGAAAAAAGAGCTTCATAGCCCATCGGATTTCTCCAATATAAATAAATTTTCTAGAGTTTGCATGCTCTCCCCGTGGTTCGCGTGGATTTTTCTCTGGGACCTCCGGTTTTTCCCTCCACATTTAGAATCAACATCTCTCGTTTAGAGTTATTTGGCTGCTGATATAAATTTCCACACGATCAACCACTTTGTCGAGCTATCATTCGTGTTAGCAAGGTCGCTTCTGCATGCCTGTCAACCCGTACGGTTTACCCGTATTCTTGTACAGGGAAACTGAGTTTTCAGGTCCACACGGCGTACAACCGTTTCAATACGGGCAAAAAAAATCTATTTAATAACATCGTTTCGTCTATTTGTGTTTCTCCCTTGTGATGGGACTTTCTAGGATGAACGTTGAGATTTAGAAGGGGCACGGGGTGACCAATAGGGTCTTAATTGGTCTGTAATAAGTAAGCGCACTGACGAGTGGGTTGACAGGTATAGTATAGTGTATAATGTAGCGTGAAGTGTATTGTATAATGTAGTGTATTGTATAGGATGACCGTTGAGATTTTCAGGGCACGGGGTGACCAATAAGGTCTGAATTGATCTGTAATAATCAGGTAGGCACCGATAAGGTGTTGACAGGGCATGCTTCTGAAAAAACAGCTCCATATAGCTCAGTGGGGGAGCCTTAATACCTGGAAAAATAAAAATTATTCTATGGAATCGCCAGCGCCATCGATTCATTTGTACTGAAATCGAATTGGAATCGATACCCAGCTGGTTGACTTACGTGGGTAGCGTGAGGTTTACTGTACCGTTTACAGTAGGGTAACAACCAGCATCTTTTGCGTTATCACAGCTCACGGCTGACTTTTTTTCCCTCCCCCCGTGTGCCTCTGATAACTCCGACAATAACCGTAAACGCAGTAGAGAATTCCCCGGTGGGTTAAGGTAATGCAGGGGTGGGGAACGTCCGGCCCGCGGGCCGTATGAAGCCCACGAAATAATTTGGGTCTCTGGCCCTGCCAAGGCAACCGCAGGCGGGACTCGAAATTCAACAACTTCTAGGAGAGCAAACCTGGGAAAGCAGTTTCGAGTAGCAACATCATCAATACCAGCTAACATCAATACCGGCTAACATCATCAATACCGGCTAACAACATCAATACCGGCTAACATCAATACCAGCTAACATCATCAATACCAGCTAACATCAATATCAGCTAACATCAATACCAGCTAACATCAATACCAGCTAACATCATCAATATCAGCTAACATCAATACCAGCTAACATCATCAATACCAGCTAACATCAATACCAGCTAACATCAATACCGGCTAACATCATCAACACCGGCTAACATCAATACCGGCTAACATCATCAATACCAGCTAACATCATCAATACCAGCTAACATCATCAATACCAGCTAACATCACCACACGCCTCGCCAAAGAGAAGCGGTTCCAGCCGTCGCATTAGGGGTGAGTTCATTCAATGTTTGACCAAATATAACGGGATAATTTTGAAGTTGATAATTTTGTAATGGCCCGCGAATGATGTTATATAAATGTCGAAATGGCCCTTGGCAGAAAAACAGGTTCCCCATCCCTCTTAACTACATTAGAAATAGTGATTATTAACTACGTTATACTAGCGGCTGTTCTGCATTGTAAGAGGTGGGGATGCGATAGAACCTGCAATAGCCCAGCTCGACTGCAATACTGTAGAAGAATCGAAACGGTGTGTACAATGCTGCTGTCACTAACACGACTGTAGCGGCTATAAAACATTGTGTGTTGAACTTCTTTCGCGCCGTACGTAGCCAACCGCGTTAATCGGAGGTGCAGCGTTGAGTCCATGAGCGTTGTTTGTCCCAGGGCAGTGTGTTATGTTGAAGGAATAACTGGGACAATATGTTTTAGGATGAGAGCATGATGACGACGATGAGAGGGCGGGAAAGGAGCTTCATAACTTCGATATTTCTCAAGAATAAACAGATTCTGATCAATAAAATATTCCGAAGAGAGAAGGAAGGGAGCGAGCAGAAGTGAGCTGGACGAAGCGACGTTTGTTTTCGGAGGAGGCGGGGAGAGTGCATTCAGAATGGGGGTGGCCACGCAGAAGTCACGTGATTTACGGGAGGCTTGAGCTGATTTAGATCGATTATTTTCGGTTCAATATGTGTTAATGTCTTGGCTGTTCAATACACTCGCACTTGCCCATACAGTCACAATAGCTGCGTCGCGTGTTCACGTACGTGTAAGGCACAGTGTTATATGACAGGGACTCGGAGAGCAATTAGAAAGTTGGATGCAAAGCCGGATTAGGTACAATTATTTTTTTTCCCCTGACCGTGGTATAGATTTAAAAAGTCGAATTAAACACGGATCCTTTCCTTTTTAAAACGTGGAGTGACTCTATATCTCTGGCCTCTACGTGTGCTGTGAAAAAAGGGCCATTGCCCAAAACGTCGCCTGCTGTAAAACAAAACAAATTCGTTCACGCAGTGTTATTGACGAATGTCTGCAGTCTGTTTTTTTGTTATTTGTGCATGTGCACCACTGGCATTGCGGTACAGTTTCGCCCATTAACTTGTTTCATGTTTTTTAAAGGCCGTCGCTCAACGTTATCGGACGTCCGTCGCAGGCCCAAGGCGGCCAAGAGCTGTGGAAAGTATGCCCCATTGCGTGGCGTTGGGCTGTAGCAACAGCTCCAGGAAGGTCTTTGAGGACAAGGTCTCCTTCTTCAGGTTCCCGTACACGGACCCAGGCCTCTTGAGGCGCTGGTGCCTCAACATCGGCCGAAAGAACTGGTGGCCGAGCCGCTTCTCCCGCCTGTGCTCCGACCACTTCACGCCGGACTGCTTTGAGGCCAAGTTCTACGACGACAGGATCCGAGCCATCGACGAGAAGGACCCCGTCAAGCATCTGAGCTCCAAGACGCTCAAGAGGGGCTCCGTGCCCACGCTCTTCCTGAAAGCCCATGCCCGAGCTATGGACCGCAGACACCAAGGGAGACCCTTGCGCGAGTGTGAGCCCTCAAAGGTGAACGGTGCCGGTCTGTTTGGATTTTAATGGGCAGAGTAGGGAGAGGTTCCCACCCTAAACTCCAGTTGGCAGATGCTACCTTTCCCTTGCAGATGCGAAGAAAAAGAAGCAGGATTAGGCACTCATGTCCTGAGCCCCAACCCTAGCCATGAACCCCTGACCCCTCAACTCTTACCCCTGAACCATGAACCTTAAATCCTTATCCCTAAAACCTAATCCTCTATACCCTAACCTTGAACACTAAACCATATATTTAAACCCCTGAATTCTGAATCTTACCACTGACACTTCGAACATTAAACCCTAACCCCAAAATTGTTAGCCCTTACTCTAAACTCTTAATCCTAATCCATAAGATGTATCTCATATCCCTAACCCCTTAAACCTACACAGTAACATAAGTAAGCGTCATTTCCGAATGTTTCATCACCGATCCCCAAGAAAGGGCTGTGATTGAATACAAATAAAATCTTTGTATACAAATTTGCATGGACAAAAGTGCCGTAAATGCTGTTTCTTTACAAATACAAGGCCAGTAGCTTGTGAAAATGTATAAACAAATTAATGCATTGTAAATGTTGTACAATTTATTTCTGCCCAGCCCATGAAAATGGCGTGCGCGGTCGCTGTACCATTGTTGGACACGACCGGAGATTTTGCGGCGTGGCTGGAGGCGCAGGGCGTGAACGCGGAGGTGGCCCGGGCCATGGACTCGGAGCTGGGCATCCGGGACTATGGGGTCCTGCGCGCCTGCGTCAGGGACGGCCTCGTGCGGGCCGAGCTGCTGTCCACGGCGCGCGACCGCCTGCCCTTCGGCTTCTACGCCGTGCTGCGGCAGGTGGTGAAGGCCCTGCAGGGCGCTGAGCACCACGATGCTGGGACGCCGCGCTGGGGCGACGACGCCACTGCTGTCTCCTCTGGCGACGTGACGCTGGGAGGACTGGTGGACGTGCTGCTTGCGCTGTTCAGCAGCTTGAGCCGAGATCTGCTGTTGTGTGCACAGAAGCTAAGAGCCATGGATGATCAACAAGATCCAGCAGATTCTCCTTCATCTGTAGGAGCTACAAGCCCCGAAGACATACCAGAAATGGATCAATGCAACGAAAATGGTATAAAATCCAATAAAATAATGTTTTTTCAACTTTGATTTTCACATAAATAAATTATTCTAGCTTGCTTACATTCTCACATTATAGACTGCAAAAGTTTAAGACAAAATGCATGCCCTTAGCTAATCATGGTTAATATTTTAGTGTCTGCATGTTCTTGAGCATTTGGTTACCTTAAACTCGTGGTGGAAGTTCCAAGTTACTATGTTGAGAGAACATTTATCTGTACATGCTGGCTACTAATGACTTTCCACTGAGATGCATAGTAGTGCAAGTATGACTATAAAATATATTTCATGAGGTACAAACAGAATTCTGGTTGTTTCAAGACAATTTCGTGGAACTATACATGCTAAGCATATCCATTGCAAATACATATGTTGCTGTTGCTGCTGTTATGGCTTCTGATATGTATATAGATGGGCCTGAAGTGAGCTCGGCACCATCCATGGAAGACAGCAAAATCAATTTCACATCGGACCAGATTAAAATGGAACCCTTTGAAGGTATACATTTCATATGATTTAACAGCCACTCAATTTGACAAGGAGTTGGTTTGGTTGGTTCAACTAAGTTGCTAACAACTGGGTTAATAAATGGCGCCCAAATTACTTGTGTCTGCATGTCATTCGTTCACATTTGTCGTGTTATTTTCTAGAGTCCGTCGCCGAGTTTTCCAATGCTGTTCTACTTCCTCAACCATCAGAACGTGAGCCGGCAGAGCACACTTCAAGCGAGCCTCTCGGTAAGTGTGAGCCATAGGACAACTCAAACCAAGAAAACGTGTATATATATGCGGACGTGTACAAGCCTTTTGGTCAATCCACTGCTGGATGAGGGCCCTCCCAAAATGCGATTCATGGGGATTTATTTGCTCATACCTCACCGTGCTGGTCAGTGCGGGTTGGTGAAGGTGGGGAGCATAGACATGGGAGGATATAAGTATGGTACAACAATAGATGTTGCTGTCCTGCCCTCTGCTGTCCATCACGTAGCCCTGTATGTTCTCACGTCTTTGGTCCCTGACTTCACCTGTCCACACTGACCAGCATGGTGAAGTATGGTCAAATAGCCCCCACAACCGACATGGCGTGGGGCGGCCCTCATCAGCCAGGAAGACGCAGCCACGGTACGTATCTACAATATACTTATTTTATGTTTTTGCTTGCAACTTTTAAGTTGAGAACATTTTAAACGAAAACTTTTAACAGGCGTACTGGTACTTTGTGCGATCCTCTGCTTGCTTACCCCAGCATTTCATTCGCTGAAGGGTCTCTGCCAACTTTAGCCTCTCGAGCCGGTGGGAATATTTATGTCTGATGGTGATTATGATCGCCTTGGTGTCGTGGAAATGTGTCACTTGTCAAATAAAAAGCTTGCGTGCCAGACTTGTCATGAGTAACCCTTTTGCTTATTTAACAGGTATCCTGGTATAATACCATATTTATGATTAACAAATTAAATATTTATCATAATCTTGAAAAATAATTTTCATATAGTTTTTTTATAAACCATTGTATGTAGGCCTGCATTTATTATACTACACTCATATTCATTAGCATGTGAACAGTGCCCCGTTTGGAGGCCTTTAAAATAGATGAATTTGGAAGTATTATTTCCAGCTTAACCCAAATTTTGGCTTCGAGAGGTTTTCCTGTCCGTCACAGAGAGCGTTATAGACAGAGATATAGAGGAAAGTGTGGCAAACGATGTTCGCTTAAACATATTTTTATGTTTGGAATGATGTGTCTTCTGCTGAAGGTGAATGTCTTTTGGACGAATCGCCTGAGCTCATAATCTCCAACTTGACCACAATGCCAGATGCAAGAACAAATCTTACTTGTATAGCCGACACCCGCCCTTATCCATGGCCGTACCCATCTTTAGGTGAAACTAACAGTGAAAAAGACTCAGCTGCCACCATCTCTATCACCATTAACACTTCTCAGCCATTGACGCAGCAGCAACGCTTGTTTGCGTTGAGTGACCCAATCAGGAGATCGGTCTCGGCAAACCACAGCCAGAAGCCTTTTGCCGATGAGAGCGAGACGTACGGGTTTCAACTTGAGAAATCTGATCTAGAGAGGCCCCGGCTAGAGAGCACTGGAGAAAAGCCGTACCGCTGTGAGGTGTGCGGGCAGACTTACTCGCAGATTTGTGGCCTGAAGCGCCATCTGCGCATGCACACGGGCGAGAAACTCCACCGCTGCGAGGTGTGCGGGCGCGGATTCCCGCAGTCAAGCAGCCTGAAGGTCCACCTGCGCACGCACACGGGCGAGAAGCCGTTCCACTGCGACGTGTGCGGAATGCGCTTCTCACAGAAAAGTCACGTGAAGACCCACCAGCGCAAGCACATGGGGGACACGGTCTAACAGCGGTGTAACAGCGGCGCAATGCGTTCAACGGAATCTTTTGAGTGTCTTGCCTGGTCGATGAATTGCCTGGTACTTTTTCCATCCCGTGTCACCGATTCATTGTGCAGACTTATCATGCCCGTTCACCCGGGAATGGCTCACTGAGTCTCGATACTTTTTAAGGAGGGTCCTGCCAAGTTTTGACAGCAGCGGGTGGTGATGCTATGTGTAAACCCAATTGAGTATTTTGGAGAGAATTTGTAAGCATTGACATGTATTTTGGCTATTAATACCAGTTAGATTGTATGGTTTTTTTAAGCTATGGGAGGAAACTGGTTAACCCAGAGGAAACCTATGCAGAACAGGGAGAGAACAAGCAAACCCCACACAGAAAAGCGCATGCGTTGGCACTCAAACCCAGTCGCTTCTTGTGAGGCACGACTCTCACCAGTACACCGTCCTGCTGCCAATTGTCTCCAATGTCACTTGGAGCTCTTGCCACGTAAAATCTGTAAATGTCATCCCTCTGCGCTCTTTGGTTCCATCACATCAGCGGTATTATTTTGTATTTGCAATGTTTCCAGGTCCCTCAAAAAAGGCCGTTCAGCCTTTCTCTCCAATGCCGTGCGGAATTCAAGGCCCAGCCAGTGCAGGCAGCAATCCTTGATGATGAATGCGATGATTGGTCTGTAGACAGACCTTGTTGGCATGTCTTGGCATCTGTGACACACTATCGCTTGAAGAGAAGTTGCACGGTCACAATTCATGTTCAATTGACGTTTCTCTGAGGTCTGCTCACCAGAATGTTTACAACAATTAGGAGCACGATATGGAGTCCTAAGTGTTCAGTCATCTTGGAGCTGCTTGTTTGGGCCATTACATCTAGATGTTTATTGCGACGAAAATACGCAACAGGAGCATTTTTCTACGTTTCTTTTTTAACCTGCGGGTGACTTGTTCAATGCATTACGTCTCACCTTATGCCGTAGCTATCCATTTTGTAGGCGGTGCGACTGTACGGGGGCTTAGAGGCCGCCGGTGCCTCGGTGAAATTGGGCAAAGGGGATAAATTGGACAGGGGCCATAATTACGTTCCTTGCACACCAGGGCCAATGCCAATCCGGCTTACACTACTGCTCCCACCTTAATCACTCTTCTTTGCGTTTGCCGTTTAAGTGTGATTGTGAATAAACTTTTCAGTGGTGCTTCCCTTCAAGCGTTGTTATTACCTTTGCCACTCGGTTGATAGGTTTTAATTGTCAGTTAAGACTTAAGGAACGCCACATCTGACAAAGAGTGCATGGCAACAATTTGGTCACGATTGCCTGGGAAAGATCCATGTATGCGAAGAGCCCTTTTTTTCCAATTCACTCATGGATGGTCTTTCCCCACGCCATGCGGGTCACGGAGATTACCTGCACTTGACTTTGCTTCAGTGGTTCGTGAAGGTGGGGAGCAATTGAGATCGGAGCCTATAAGGTGCAGTACAGCAATACAGTAGTATATGTTGCTGCGATGGCCTCTATTATCCCCAACGAAGCCTTGCTGGAGATGATATCAACTTGTTGGGCATGGTGGTCGTCCATCCAAGCACTATCCAGACTCGGCTCTTCTTCGCTTCCGAGATCTGATAAGATTGTGTGCGTTCCGGATAATTTTGAAAGATCTATACAGATGCACAAATCCAATCGTATATAGGGAACGTAGGAATTCATAAAACTGAAAAGGTATCCAGTATTCGTGAGACCTCAACACTTGTGAAGAAGTTTGAGGCCCAATCAGAATCAGAAAGGGTTTTATTCGCCATGAAAGTTTGCACAGACAAGGAATTTACTTTGGCAGGAAGGCGCATACATTCAACATATAGGAATCTTAATATAAAGTAGCTATAAGATACAATCTAAAAATACAAATAGGGTAACAAGTGTAAATATGGCAAGGTGTCATTTTGTAGATAAAATTTTAAAGTCAGTGTAAGCCCTTGGCCTTGTTGAAGAGGCCTTGTTGAAGAGGCCAGCAGCAGATGGGAAGAAACTGTTTTTGTGGCGTGAGGTTTTGGTCCTGATGGACCGCAACCTTCTGCCGGAGGGGAGTACCTGGAACAGAGAGTGTCCAGGGTGGGAGGAATCGGCCACAATCTTTATCACTCGCCTTATGGTCCTCGAGGTGTGCAGGTCCTCGAGGGTTGGTAGATTGGAGGCAATCACCTCAGCAGTGTGGATGATAAGCTGCAGTCTGCTCTTGTCCTTGGCAGTGGCAGCAGCGTACCAGACGGTTATGGAGGAGGTAAGGATGGATTCAATGATTGCTGTATAGAAGTGCACCATCATTGTCTTTGGCAGGATGAATTTCTTCAGTTGCCGTAGGAAGTACATCCTCTGTTGAGCTCTCTTGGTGAAGGAGCTGATGTTCAGTTCCCACTTGAGGTCCCGGGAGAGAATAGTGCTCAGGAAGCGGAAGGACTCCACAGTTTTGACTGGGGAGTCACACGGTGATGGGGGTGAGTGGGGCTGTATTCTTCCTGAAGTCCACAACTATCTCAACTGTCAATATTTTATTTTTGATTGCAAATAAAGCTTTGTTATTACTGTCTTGATATATAAACAACACTGGACATCTCAGAAAACTACTGGACATATGTGAAAAAGAGCTTCATAGCTTATCGGATTCCTCCGGGATAAATAAAGATTCCGATTCCGAATTGCCTCAATTTGAGATACAGTGGTATAAACGTGCACGTGTTTTTTTTTATATATATAAGCGAAACTTTTAAACGCCGACAAGTCATGTGGTATATTCCGTGGCCCCTCCACAGTCAAATACGTAAGCTAGAGAATACGCAAAGACCTTATTCGGCGATGCTGCTGCGTTGGTAATGGTGCACATATAACGACCTCCTTTATAGCCTTATCTCACCAGCGTTTGTCTAGAGAACACATTCGTTGATCACAGTTTGGTCTGAATAGGAAATATATATCATGTACTTCTACTATTGTAACGCGTTCCTATACCTACGCCTTCATCAACCCACATAGACCCAGCGTGGTGAAGTTATGGTCAAGTAACCCCGACGACCCGCTCGGTGTAGGGTGACCCTCATCCAGCAGTGGATTGACACGAGAGCTGAACGTGTTGTTACGTATGTATTCATGTTGTATTTCATGGGTCCCACATGACACCAGCCGCCAAGCTGTTATACTCTACAAACATTGATTCGCGAATTCCATAGATGTACAAAAGGAGAGGTGACTGCAGGTTCCTAAGTTCCAAAAGCAACATGAGAGTACAGCGTGCCCCAGTTGGCATCATCGGGAATATCTTCACCTTCCTGAACTGCCCACTGGATGCTTCTGGTCAAGCAAATATAAGCGTATGTTTCTTTAAATTAGCAACTTAACACCTGTTATATTGGCAGAAAGGGTAAAATAAATTAGTATATTTTGATGCTGGCAAGAAAGGTCCCATGATGTAGCTGCTCACCCAGAGCTATAAATGCCCTGATCGTGGCATTGTCTTTGTGCTGTTCGCCTTTTGGCGTCCTCTGGTTTTAACACTGTTTGAGATTAGGCTCTAAAGAAAGCTGTCTTTGGTGTGGACCAATCAGTTTCATAGACAATGCATATATTACCAGATCATGTATTTTTTTTGCATGTGAATGCAAAAAATATTCCTTGCAAAAAGTTTATGTTTGGTGTTTTAACATCAACACCTGTTTTATTGCCAGAAAGGGTCAAACCAATTGTTATATTTCTTTAAATTAGTTATCACACAAAGTGATATATTACATTGTTATAGATCATTATCATCACCGTCCATGCGCAGATAGCACATGAAGCAATTTGTCTCCACTTACCTCTGTCTTGTGCCAATATGCTCAAGTAATGGGCACATTTTTCTGGCACCAATCTCTTATGTCGTCGTGTTATTATAGATAGATAATATATGGCAAAATCACCCGGAGTTTGCCCGACTTTGAAGCTAAGCGTGTGGCCTGACCCTGGAGTGTTTTTGGATGGGCGAGCACCAACCACGCATGACACGTGGGTCTGTGTAGGCTTGCAGGACGAGCAGTAGGTGGCAGTTGCGACATTGTACTGTAGTTGTATGGTTCCCAATCCACTGACCAGCGTGGTGAAGTATGGTCATGACACCAGCGTGGTGAAGTATGGTCATGACTGTGTACGGCATTCCTGTGCCTCTTCGTTGAGCTATCATTTGTGACCAGGTCGCTTTTGGAAAATAAGTTAATGGCCTTTTGTCTGAAATGATGGGGGATGGTGTAGTTTTATTTGTGTCCGTTTGGGGTGATATTTGAACTTTTCCTGTACGTTGCAGTCGTCATTATTTTGTTTTGTATTGTAAGGATCTTGCCCCGGCTGGACAAAACGAAAACAAAAGAGTCGAGTAATAGAGCCTCCCTGGGCTGAGGTGCGTGGTGGGAGAGACCGCGGGAGCGTTAGGTGTCACTGGGGCGAGCCAAAATATGAGTACCGATTTTTTTTGGGGAAGTCAGTACACACAGAAGTGGCCGTTTTAAAAATATATATATCTTGCTACCAATTTAAAGCTTTCGTGACTGCAGGGATTCATATTCTTGGTTCTTTCGGTAAAGTCACGTAGAAGAGAAATAATAGAAATAAAACAATATCTGATAAAAAATGAAACATAATATATTATGTTCATAATATAATATATAATGTTCATATTATATTATGTTTTTATTATTATAAAAATAAAAAAGATATTATGTTTTATTTTTATTATTTTATTATTTCCCTTCTACGTGACTTTACCGAAAGAACCAAGAATACCTTGCTACCGTTATGGGAATGTGGCATCGTCGTTGCTGACTCAAGGCGACTTGGCCCGTGCTGTTGTGATACGATGTGGGGATTTCATGAGTCGGGACGTCTGACCGCTTGTCACGGATGTGCAGTCGTGCTGGGTCGTGATGATGCATTGCGGAAGAGATCTCCTGTCGCGTACAGGTTTGGGCCTTGCACATTTTTAGAGCGATGCAATTATTGTAAAATCATAAACCATGGGCCACAACCATAAAGCATTGGCCAAAAAAAATTCACTTGTTGGTGCCACCTTTAACCATAAAAGGAAATTATTAAATAACCTTATTTAAGAAGTATTTTACTGCATACTCCACTTTTACTATCCACACAGAAGCTCATATTACTAAATATTTCCGCCTCTAGTGGTAACGAATTCTGCTTTAGCTCATAGAATACGTATTAGGAATGTGATTTATATATTTTTTTAAATCTGAGACGCACCCCGCAAATAAAAAAACACAAGCTCTGAAAATATATGCAGACCATGTTTTTTTGCACTCCTGTCATTTTTTTGTATTGTTGTCTGGTTCTTGCCCCGGCTGGACAAAACGAAAACAAAAAGAGCTTTACAGCTCATCGGATTCCTCCTGCAGTCTAAATACATCACTCTTTTTAACATCACTAGCCCCGCCCACTACTTTATAACATCACTAGCCCCGCCCACTACTTTATAACATCACTATCCCCGCCCACTTCTTTATGACCTTTTGGGCTACACCCATTTCAAACCTTTTAAAACAGTCTTAAAGAAGGCAAAGTTGTGAATATGTGTGTCTGTTCAAAATGTGTAGCGTACTTCCCGACATGCAACAAACTGGAAATTTGCCATGCGGGTTACTTTCCAGACTGTGTACACCATGCAAAAAATATAAAAATACACTTTTTTTTAGGGGGGGGGAGCTCAATAATACACATTTTTATTGCACGGCAAGTGAACTGTGACGTCAAATCTGTCACGTGACCCTCACATGTGTAAGCGTAACGCATTGTAGTGTAGTGGTTAGCGCGCCGCGCTACGAACCCGGCGACCCGAGTTCGATTCCCGCTCACGGCCACCACCGGTGACGATTATTTCAACCGCTCCTGGGCCTCCCCTAGGTCGACTCAGCCTCAAACGAGTAACTGCTGTGGTGTGTGAACATCGCCACTGGGGAGACAAAGGCGGCCGGGCGTGGTGGATCCAAGCCGGGTAGTACAGCTAGTACTGTAATAAAATAGTGTATTACTGTACTCTGGTACTTTAGTCAGCTGAACTCTACTCGGATCGCCGCGGTCCCTTCCGTCGAGGCAATGAACATTTTTGTGGTCAAATCGCCACGGGCCCTACTCCGGCTTCCGCTATCGGCTTTAGTTTAAAGCGACAGTAACAGCAACGTGAACAGCAACAACGTTAAGAAAAACAACATCAACAGCAGAAGCCAACAACAACAATAGTTCCTTTCACAAGATCAACGCGCTGAGCCAACAGCCATAATCACACCAGGCAAGAGCCTATCGTGACGGCGGTCTTCCTTCGTATGGCAGGAGGGAAAAGCGACTTTTGTTATTTAAAAGTGTTATAAACAGTAGTTGAATGCCAAGTATTTTTTTTTATCAACCAATCCCGAGTGCCAGTAGGCAGCGGCAGACGCTGTGTGGATCGCAGCTGCACCGCCAAGATTGTTTCGGAATCTTTATTTAGGCTCGACGAATCCGACGAGCTGTGAAGCTCTTCTTCACAGATGTCCAGTGCGATTTGTTCCACGGATGATCCTGTTTAGCCAGTTTCCAGGCTGTTTGGGCGCCGCGGTGGCGAGATGTTAATTCCCTCTCCCGGTATACAGGAGGTCGTGGGTTCGATCCTGACGCCTGCTGTATATTTGGAGTTTGCGTGTCTCTCTTCCCGAGGTCGTGTGGATGTCTCCTAATCGTGGCCAGGTCCGCTTCTGAAAAAAAATCGCTCTATAGCTCAGTGGGTCTTAGTAAAAACAAAATTGAAAAGTTTAGCAGACAAAGATTCAAATGTTGAATCGTGACGATCGAATTGTCTGTTAGGTGAATTTTTACATATGCCTAATTATTAGGTTATTCAGTTTCCACAATTTCTCTGCACGTCCCACCAGGATATGGCGTGCGCGGTGGGCTCCCCACTGCCGGAGCCGAGCGGGGACTTCCCGGCGTGGCTGGAGACGCAGGGCGTGAACCAGGAGGTGGCCCGGGCCATGGACTCTGAGCTGGGCATCCGGGACTACGGGGTCCTGCGCGCCTGCGTCGGGGACGGCCTCGTGCGGGCCGAGCTGCTGGCCACGGCGCGCGACCGCCTGCCCTTCGGCTTCTACGCCGTGCTGCGGCAGGTGGTGAAGGCCCTGCAGGGCGCCGAGCACCACGATGGTTCTGGGACGCCGCGCTGGGACGCCGCCGCCGCCTCCCCCGGCGACGTGACCCTGGGAGGCCTGGTGGACGTGCTGCTCGCGCTGTTCAGCGGCTTGAGCCGGGAGCTGCTGCTGTCCGTGCAGAGGCTGGGCGACGTTAATAATTGGCAGTCTGTCGTTGCAGCTCCTTTATCAACAGCTGCTGTCACATCCGAAGATGTGGAAGTGAAAATGGATCATGCGGAATATGGTAAAAAAGGGCTCATTGCAAAATTGACAATTTGTCTCCGACTTTTACGACTGAATTCTTTATCAAAAAAATATTTGCGAGTTTATTTCGCAAAAAACTATCTGGTTTCATCATGTCCTTGGTAGACGTACAGCATACATGTTTTGTGCGTGCAGTACATTTTATATATCTTGTTTTGACCTCTGATATGTGCAGTAACATCAGAAGACATCTCAACTCACAGCTTGGATGACAACGCAAACAGCCTCACAGAAGACCAAATTAAAATGGAACCCTCCGAAGGTAAAGTTTTACTCGATTCAACATTATGCACATGACTGGTGTTATTAACTGTAAAATTATCATTCACGGGTGTTTGTCAAACTACCATGGACATCATGTCAAACGCCACACGGTACAACCCAAAAACATCAGAACTATACTGCACAACTGCAAAAACCTAGATATTCGTATTAATTTTCAAGTGCAAGTTTAAGTTTTTTTCCCACAATCGCAGGAACCACATTGTGCGTACGTGTAAACAGTGAAAGTAAATGTGAAAATCTAATTCCGTATACTTAACATTCATCAAACTGGCGTGTTTTGCTGCTGAAGGTGAACAACATCTCTGCGTCGGTCTCCCTCAACTCGTCATCCAGAACGTGACCTCAATCTCCAATTCAGGAGGAGACCTCACGTGCGCGGCAAATGATGGACCCTACACGCCGCAGCAGACAGCAGCTGAAACACACAGTGAAGAAGTTGCTGCTTCTGTTGACGGGGTTGACGAGGAAACGTCTCGATCACTTGCGCAGAGAGACACGACCAGGAGGAGGATGTCGGCAATCTACAGTCGGATGCTCTCTGTCGACGAGGAAGAGTCCAACAAGCTTGAAATAAACAACCCCAGTCCCGTAGTGTTACCTTTGCCAAAATGCGCCGGAAATAAGACACACCGGTGTGAGCTGTGCGGGAAGAGCTACTCAAAACCCTACGGCTTGAAGCAGCACATGCGAATTCACACGGGCGAGAAGTTGCATCGCTGCGAGGTTTGCAGGCACCCCTTCCTGCAATTGAGCAGCCTGAAGATCCACCTACGCGGTCACACGGGCGAGAAGCCCTACAGCTGCGACTTTTGTGGGAAGTGCTTCGCCTCAAATGCCCAGGTGACGACGCACCAGCGAACGCACACGGGCGTGAAACCGTACTGCTGCACGGTGTGTGGCTACGCCTTCAAGCACCTCGCCTCCCTGGTGATCCACTTTCGCACGCACACGGGTGAAAAGCCGTACAGCTGCAGGGTGTGTGGGAAGGGCTTTGCCAAGAGCAGCGCCATGAAGATCCACGTGCGCACGCACACAGGCGAGAAGCCGTACAGCTGCACGGTGTGCGGAAAGCACTTCTCGAAGAACAGCTCTCTTAAAAACCACCGGTGGAAGCATAGCGATGACAATAAATGACTCGTGTGCGATGGCTTTTAAAGGCAGAATCAGAATATGCATTTATATTGGAGGAATCCGATGAGCTATGAAGCTCTTTTCACAGATGTCCAGTAGGGGGCGGGTAAGAATGTTATAACAACAAACAATACAAATACATAGTAGTGCAAAGTACAAGAAAGGTAAATAAATCACCCAAACACATACAAATACAGTACAACGAAGCCATCTCCATCCTACCAGACGAAGCCCACTGAGGTATTAACTTCATTTTAAGAAGCGACCTAGCCACAAATGATAATCAACATCGCTTCACCCTTTTTTATATGGCATTCAAACACTAAGCAGGCATCAGGTACGTCGTGGTTACGCAGCCAGGAAATTGTGCTGAAAAACGCAAACAATATCGCTTTGATAATATATACGTTGCCATTGAAACTAATTGGTCTGTTTCGATTTAAAGCTTTCGTGACTGCAACGATTCATCTTCTTTGGTTCTTTCGGTAAAGTCACGTATTATTTTATTATCATTCTACGTGACTTTACCGAAAGAACCAAAGAAGATAATTGGTCTGTTGTCTCAAAAGCACTTGTTTGTATGTATGTTGAACTTCTTTCGCACCGTACGTAGTCAACCGTGCTAATCTTGCGGCGCGGGGAAGGAAAACAAACGAAACACAAATCAGTTTCTAAACAAATGAGTTTTCAATCGAGATCATTTGAAAGTACATAGCTACAGTGGCTTCCTAATATTATTTTTAAAAAACATGTTTTTTACATTAAGCTGCTGGAGGAAGGGCAAGGGAAATCTTCAGCCAAGCATGCTTTGGATTTACTGGTAGGAACCTCCTGGTTACACCAGCAGCTCACAGGGGATTATTGTGTCCGTCCGTTCGTCGTGCATCCAAAAATGGGAGGGGTGGGGCTGGGTGGAGAGGGGAGGGTGGGGAGGGGCTGGGTGGGGAGAGGCTAAGTGGGGAGGGTGGGGCTGGGTGGGGGGTGGGGCTGGGTGGGGAGGGGCTGGTCACCCCGTGGTGCCCTTATAAAACTCAACGTTTAACCTACTCACGCCGGCTTGTGCCCGCCCTCACAGTCGGGCGTATTTGCGGAATACACCACGTGGTGCCGCCGTTGTTGACCCTGGCCATTGACCGAGCAACCCAACGTTCCTACCAGCTCCCTCAGCAGGAATGTGTTAAAAAACAGCTTCACTTTCTCCCAAGGGGTGTGTGTTTGTTATTCATCTATATAATTTCGGCAAATTTGTGGCTTGCCATGTTACAGCACCGGCATTATCTACTGTATTGTTTAAATGTATGCTTATAAATCAATAAAGTAGATTGTTACGAATAGCTGTCAATATCTTTTTTATGACAATCTTGTTATTCAAATCATAAAATAATAACTTACAGCGTTTTGTGAGTCCACTGCTAGATGAAGCCCTTCCCATGCTGTGCCAGCCATGCGGGTTGTTACTGGTAGGAACCTCCTGGTTACACCAGCCCACAGGGGATTATTGTGTCCGTCCGTTCGTCGTGCATCCAAAAATGTGAGGGGTGGGGCTGGGTGGGGAGGGAGGGGCTGGGTGGGGAGGGGCTGGTCACCCCGTGGTGCCCTTGTAAACTCAACGTTTAACCTACTCACGCCGGCTTGTGCCCGCCCTCATGGGCATATTTGCGGAATACACCACGTGGTGCCGCCGTTGACCCTGGCCATTGACCGAGCAACCCAACGTTCCTACCAGCTTCCTCCACAGGAATGTGTTTAACCATACTTCCCCATGCTTGTCACTCGATAGGTGAAGGGATGGTGTGCTAATCGGAGGTGCGGGGGAAGGACAACGAACCAAGCACAAAAGGCAGTTCCTCATGGTGGACAGGACCCGGTTGACGCTTGATCTATCTCTCGTCACGAAAGTTAGCCCAGCCCATGAATTGAAGTATCGAACTTTCCGGATTCAGAGTGCAGTGCGCCAATCACTGCACCACCGCAGCTACAGTAAAATAATCTTGAAATTATGCAATTGAGATACTTTTTATACACCTCCACTATCTCAGGTCAACTCGGCTTATACTGTAAGGGGCCGTCCATAAATGACGTCACGCACCTTGGCGGGGATGGGGGGTCAGACATTTGTGACGATGTGTGACGAGGGGAGTTTTAGAAATGTGACGTCACATCAAAATGCGCAACTTTAAATAAATAAAGACAACACGTTCAACTTAATTAAATAGACTTTTGAATAAATGTTTTCCCCTACAACAGAGTGCAGCGCCACATTAAATATGCACTACAATGACAATAGTTTAAAGCGATTTGAAGCATAAATGTTGATTTAAAGCTTTCGTGACTGCAGGAATTCATATTCTTGGTTCTTTCGATAAAGTCAGCATGTTTAAAAAAAATTTGGGGGGGGGGCAGAGCTTTGTGACGTCATATAGAGGGGGGGTCTGATTTTTTGTGACGCCGTGTGACGAAGGCGGAGGGGGGGTCAAAATCGTCCAAAATCGCGTGACGTCATTTATGGACGGCCCCTAATTGAAAATCTGAGTGCAGAATTTTACTCACATAAGTATGCATTCGTACATTTAGCTTAAAATGAGTTAGATTTTTTTGCAATAATGTGTGTTCCTAATTGAGTAAAAGTAAGGTTTGTAACATGTATTAGGACGAATAAAAAACAATGTTCACCTCCAAAAATTATCCCACTCTAAACTAGGTGCTGAACATAAACAACCGCTAACCCGCCCATACTGGACACCTGTGAAAAAGAGCTTCAAAGCTCTTCGGATTCCCATACCTGTCAACCCCTTATCACTGCTCTACCTTATTACAGACCAATTCAGACCTTATCGGTCACCCCGTATCCCTTATAAATCTCAACGTTCATCCTCCAAAGTCCCATCACAAGGTAGAAACACAAAGGGGCCGTCCATAAATGACGTCACGCACCTGGGGGGGGGGGTCAGACATTTGTGACGATGTGTGACGAGGCGGGGGGGGGGGTGAGAAATGTGACGTCACATCAAAATGCGCAACTTTAAATAAATATAAACACATTCTACTTAATTAAATAGACTTTTTAATAAATGTGTTCTCCTACAACATCAGAGTGCAGCGCCACATTAACAACGCATTACAATGACAATAGTTTAAAGCGATTTGAAGCATGTTTTATTTTCAAAATAGAAATATGATTTTGGTGGGGGGGGGGGCAGAGCTTGGTGACGTCATATTTTAGGGGCGGGTCTGACTTTTTGTGACGCCGTGTGACGAGAGGGGGGGGGTCAAAAATCGTCAACAATCGCGGTGACGTCATTTATGGACGGCCCCCTAAACATCGCAGCGGGTCAAATCGCCGCGGACTCCTCCTAATCCACGGCCCTCAACGAGGGCGCCCCGCTCGATCGTCGGCCCTCCTGCCAGAATGCGGCATTCAGTTAAGCGAATTAAAAAGGGTGTCATTGTTAAAACAATAACAACGACAACGACGACATTCACGCGCTTAAACAACAACGACAACAACAACAGTATCGACATCATCGCCATTCACCGGCGCTAACGACTCCCACGGGAGGTGAGAGAGAGGTGGGGGGGGGGGTGGAGGATTTGCGATCTGAGCTGAACGCGTTGCGACTAACAAACAGTGCGCCTCTAAACACACGAGGTTTGTAAGCTCGTCAAGTTGTCCGTGCTTTGCGAGTCGTAACTTATCATCGTCGTCATCGTAAATCGGCGTCACTAATCCGTATCCGTCACACCCATTATCAGTACCACTGATACGTCTCAACGGGCATCCTGCATCGTCCCATCACAAGTCAGAGAAACACGAACAAATAGACGAAGCAATTAAATACATTGCTTTATTGACACGGCTGTACGCCGTAATCGACCCTCAAAACTCAATTTTCGATGTGCAATAATACGGGGTAAACCGTATGGGTTGACTTTGTGTAGTGTATAGTGTACTATATAGTGTAGTATATAGTAATGTAGTGTATAGTGTACTATATAGTGTAGTGTATAGTAATGTAGTGTATAGTGTACTATATAGTGTAGTGTATAGTAATGTAGTGTATAGTAATGTAGTGTATTAAGTGTAGTGTATAGTAATGTAGTGTATAGTGTAGTGTATAGTAATGTATTGTAATGTAGTGTATTAAGTGTAGTGTATAGTAATGTAGTGTATAGTGTAGTATACAGTGTAGTGTATAGTAATGTAGTGTAGTGTATAGTAGTGTAGTATATAGTGTAGAGTAACGTAGTGTATTGTGTAGTATATAGTGTAGTGTATAGTAATGTAGTGTATCGTGTAGTATATAGTGTAGTGTATAGTAATGTAGTGTATAGTGTAGTATATAGTGTAGTGTATAGTGTAGTATATAGTAATGTAGTGTATACTATAGTATATAGTGTAGTGTATAGTAATGTAGTATATAGTCTAGTATATAGTAATGTAGTGTATAGTGTACTATATAGTGTAGTGTATAGTAATGTAGTGTATAGTAATGTAGTGTATAAAGTGTAGTGTATAGTAATGTAGTGTATAGTAATGTAGTGTATAGTGTAGTATATAGTGTAGTGGTAGTGTTTAGCACAGGGCCGTCAATAAATGACGTCACGCGATTTTGGACGATTTTTGACCCCCCCCCCCCCTCGTCGTCACACGGCGTCACAAAAAGTCAGACCCCCCCCCCCCCCAAATATGACGTCACAAAGCTCTGCCCCCCCCCTCCCAAAAAAATAAAACATGCTTCAGTCGCTATTGTCATTGTAGTGCGTATTAAATGTGGCGCTGCACTGTTGTAGGAGAAAACATTTATTAAAAAGTCTATTTAATTAAGTACAATGTGTTGTCTATATTTATTTAAAGTTGCGCATTTTGACGTGACGTCACATTTCTCAAACCCCCCCCCCTCCTTCGTCACACATCGTCACAAATGTCACCTTATTACAGACCAAATCAGACCTTGTTGGTCACCCCGTGCCCCTTATACAGTGAGGGAAAAAAATATTTGATCCCCTGCTGATTTTGTACGTTTGCCCACTGACAAAAAAATGATCAGTCTATAATTTTAATGGTAGGTTTATTTGAACAGTGACAGACAGAATAACAACAAGAAAATCCAGAAAAACGCATGTCAAAAATGTTATAAATTGATTTGCATTTTAATGAGGGAAATAAGTATTTGGCCCCCTCTCAATCAGAAAGATTTCTGGCTCCCAGGTGTCTTTTATACAGGTAACGACCTGAGATTAGGAGCCCACGCTTAAAGGGAGTTCTCCTAATCTCAGCTTGTTACCTGTATAAAAGACACCTGTCCACAGAATCAATCAATCAGATTCCAAACTCTCCACCATGGCCAAGACCAAAGAGCTCTCCAAGGATGTCAGGGACAAGATTGTAGGCCTACACACGGCTGGAATGGGCTACAAGACCATTGCCAAGCAGCTTGGTGAGAAGGTGACAGTTGGTGCAATTTTTCGCAAATGGAAGAAACACAAAAGAACTGTCAATCTCCCTAGGCCTGGGGCTCCATGCAATATCTCACCTCGTGGAGTTGCAATGATCATGAAAACGGTGAGGAATCATCCCAGAACTACACGGGAGGATCTTGCCAATTATCTCAAGGCAGCTGGGACCATAGTCACAAATAAAACAATTGGTAACACACTACTCCGTGAAGGACTGAAATTCTGCAGCGCCCGCAAGGTCCCCCTGCTCAAGAAAGCACATATACATGCCCGTCTGAAGTTTGCCAATGAACATCTGAATAATTCAGAGGACAACTGGGTGAAAGTGTTGTGGTCAGATGAGACCAAAATGGAGCTCTTTGGCATCAACTCAACTCGCCGTGTTTGGAGGAGGTGGAGGAATGCTGCCTATGACCCCAAGAACACCATCCCCACCGTCAACCATGGAGGTGGAAACATTATGCTTTGGGGGTGTTTTTCTGCTAAGGGGACAGGACAACTTCACCACATAAAAGGGACGATGGACGGGGCCATGTACCGTCAAATCTTGGGTGAGAACCTTCCCTCAGCCAGGGCATTGAAAATGGGTCGTGGATGGGTATTCCAGCATGACAATGACCAACAAAACACACGGCCAAGACAATAAAGGAGTGGCTCAAGAAGAAGCACATTAAGGTCCTGGAGTGGCCTAGCCAGTCTCCAGACCTTAATCCCATCGAAAATCTGTGGAGGGAGCTGAAGGTTCGAGTTGCCAAACGTCAGCCTCGAAACCTTAATGACTTGGAGAAGATCTGCAAAGAGGAGTGGGACAAAATCCCTCCTGAGATGTGTGCAAACCTGGTGGCCAACTACAAGAAACGTCTGACCTCTGTGATTTCCAACAAGGGTTTTGTCACCAAGTACTAAGTCATGTTTTGCAGAGGGGTCAAATACTTATTTCCCTCATTAAAATGCAAATCAATTTATAACATTTTTGACATGCGTTTTTATGGATTTTTGTTGTTATTCTGTCTCTCACTGTTCAAATAAACCTACCATTAAAATTATAGATTGACCATTTCTTTGTCAGTGGGCAAACGTACAAAATCAGCAGGGGATCAAATGCTTTTTTCCCTCACTGTAAATCTCGACGTTCATCCTACAAAGTCCCATCACAAGGGAGAAACTCAAATGTAGACAATTTTTTTTTTCTGTATTGAAACGGCTGTACGCCGTATGGAATTAAAAACTCGATTTTCCTGTGCAATAATACGAGTAAACCGTATGGGTTATCATCATCATCATCGCTCAGCGTCAGTAATCGTAGCTCATCAGAAATCATCAGCATCATAACTAATTCGTAATCGGTAATCGCCATAACTCACCATCCCCCATAATTTTAACTCTCTTAATTTCAACTCATCATTAGTTATCGTGGTGGGCGATAAGGTGTCACGGTGTCACAGTCGTAACACTCGTGCCCTACAGCAAGAAGCACCTGGATTCGATTACCGACTGGGGCGCATTTCTGCGTGGAGTTTGTAAGTTCTGGGTTGGTTACCTCCAGGTTCTCTGGGGTGGGGGTGGGGGATTTAACTGGCATTGGTCAAACGTCCCAATGCTGAAAAATAACCTGAAAATTACTCATTTAAAATGTACACATATCAACATCACCGATTAGCACGACTGCCTACATACGGTGCGAAAGAAGTCCAACGTACATACTTCCCATAGACTAACACTGCCCTTAAGCTCAACGCTGAACCTCCTATTAGCACGGTTGGCTACGTACGGTGCGAAAGAAGTTCAACATTCATACATAAAAAAAACTTGGCAGGATCCTCCTGAAAAAGTCTTGAGGCTTTCATGGGTAAACAAAAGAAACAAGGTAAGCTAAACTCATCATAAGTAATCAAAAATTATAACTCATCATCAGCTTCAATCATTGAAGGACTCTAAATCGTTATTAACAATGTACCATCAAACATCAGTATTCTTCAAATGTATGCTGAACGTCTTTCGCACCGTAGGTATCCAGCCGTCACGTTTTCTTGCCAGCAACAACGAACGGAGACCTCGGTAATGTTGCTCGCCGCCGATCCAAGTTCAGATCCCCCTACTGGGATCACGCTGCTATCAGCATCCTCGGATCTCGGCCAGATCCGGAAGAACCCTGGCGAACAGAGTGGAGAAACGGGGACGTCTAGAATAAACACATCTGAGACTGAAACATCGCAGTCCTCCTGGCTTTGCCATTGCTGGACATCTGTGACAATGAGCTTCATAGCTCATTTGATTTCTCCAGGATAAGGATTTTGATTTTGAGACTCAAACATAGCACCTCCTTGCTTTGACATTCCTCGAAGACACTCGTTTCAGTTTCATTTATTTAATATAGCCCTGTGAGCCATTCGGCTCTTGAATCGGGTACAACCGCAACAAACAAAAACATGAACAAGAAAACATCTTAAAGTGACTACGCGCAGCAGAAAAAATCCAGGAAAAAACAGCAAGTCTTCCAGAAAAAGCACCGAATATCAACGCTGTGTGCAAAAATCCCAGTGGGATGCAAGTCAAACAATAACAACCATAAGACAATTTAGATTAAAGTTATCAGTCTAACTCTGTACTACAACAAACAAACATGGGTAAACCAAAACTTTTAAAAATCACCAAAATAAAGCTATAAAAATAATGTAACAGTGATCATAGGAACCGTGATTGAAATTTAACAATAAACGATATGTACATAACATGTACGACCAAACTTTGCAGCCATAGCTGGCTGCATGAGTCACTCCATAACAGCAGGGGTATCAGTATCAATGCACCTTTAAAGATCCTGTAACCATTAACTGCATCAAAATAACAGCAGACCGCTGAGCAAATCCTCATGAATAGAATATTTAAAACAAGCGACTGGCCATGCAACCCAAACGATGGAACGTATAATAAACCATTGTTATCCACATGCATTCAATTGCGGAATAGCAAAACTGCACAAACTCTCTCCTCAAGCCCCCTCGTGGCGATCAGACCTTGACATTGCCATTTAACTCCCGTAAATACTGCTATACGCAAGAATAGAATTTGCATTAATCATTCATCGACATTATCAGTCATTTTCTTTGCTTCTTTCGGTAAAGTCACGTAGATAGAAAAAAATAAAAGTAAGGAGGATGACGATCGCTTGTTATTTTTATTTTATTTACTTTAATTTGTTTCTATCTACAGTGATTTTACCGAAAGAACCAAAGAACATGAATTCCTGCAGTCATTAAAGTTTTAAGTCAAAATGTATCAGTCATTATTGAAAACGATCTATCTGTCACTTATCATTGATTATAATTATCATGACCGATATTAATTATAATCACTATCAATCATACATCTGCGGTCAGTAGGCTAAATAATACTTTGTAGAAAATCAACGGTTCTATGGGTTGACAGGAATGCAGAATTTTGGCTCAGGTCCACAGGGGTGATGTTGTGGTCAGAGTGTCCATCTCACAATATTAAAGTCCCAAGTTTGCATCTTGGTCATTGGTCGATTTAGTCCATCATCTGGGTCCGATTAAATGGGTACCACCTTGCGAGATTATCAACAGTGGTCAGCCCGTGAGAGAAACTGGCCCTCGCCATGGAAACGTGGAATTTTCACCAGTATCTCAGGATTGCAAACGGTGAAGTGTAGCGCCCCACAGTTATCTTCATGAGGGAGATATTTTGACTCTGACTTGACTTTGGTGAAGCTGTTATACTTTACACTTTAATTTCATGATATCACAGTCTCCTATATTCAGTTATTTCTCTGCAATTTCCATCAGGATGGCGTGCGTAGTGGCCGCCCCAGTGCTGGAATCAAGTGGGGACTTCCCAGCGTGGTTGGAGGCGCAGGGCGTGAACGCGGAGGTGGCCCGGGCCATGGACTCCGAGCTGGGAATCCGGGACTACGGGGTCCTGCGCGCCTGCGTCGGGGACGGCCTCGTGCGGGCCGAGCTGCTGGCCACGGCGCGCGACCGCCTGCCCTTCGGCTTCTATGCCACGCTGCGGCAGGTGGTGAAGGCCCTGCAGGGCGCCGAGCCCCATGACAAGACTCCGCGCTGGGATGCTGCCGCCACTGCCATCTCTTCTGATGATGTGACGCTGAGAGACCTGGTGGACGTGCTGCTCGCACTGTTCAATGGTTTGGGCCGGGAGTTGTTGGTTTGTGCGCAGAGGCTGGGTGCTGTGGATGGTGGGAATATTACGGCGACCTCCCATTCGACTACGGATGATGCCAGTCCCAACGACCTGATGGATGACATGAATCACCATGTGGAATATGGTAAGGTGATGGGGCCATTAAGTGTTCTGATTTCAAAATGCCTGTATTTAAACAAGGTATTTATCCTCTGAAGTTTTTGTTCAGGTTATACCACATGTTGTTCGGCATAATGTTTGACATTCCATGATAGAGGTTTTTTTTGGGTTAGATCGCGTAAATATCTAAATGTGTCGTTAACGGCACATTTAGATATTTAACGACACATTTATATATTTACGCGATCTAACCCAAAAAACTTCTTATGGATGATATTGGTCTCGAAAGCCTACGTGTTTGACATTCCGCTTCACATGCTGGGAGCTTATGCAAGAAATGAATTCATTTCCAGAGGAAGCTTTCGGCACTGGAGAAAAATGTCGGACATCATGCCAAACATTGTGTGGTACAGCCCAAAAACGCATCGGAGACTTATGCAACAACCGAGAAGACATTCAGAGGTTACTGATGCGGTGTTTTTGTTTCGAACAGAAGAGGCGGAGGAGACCTCAACTCGCGTTGTGGAGGATTCCAGCACGAACCTAGCAATGCAGCAGATAAAAACAGAGCCGTTTGGAGGTGAGGCTTGAGTTTAAAATCATGGTTTAAACACCACAAGCTCATGTGCAATGATGCGCAATCAGCCGCATACAAAATAAGTCCTAACCAAGTTAAAATTAACTGTGATATTTTCTTTGGCTCTGAAATCAAGTACTTGTACACCTCAGACTTTTTTTTCAAATCCAGTTTTCTCATGGCCCCACCGTGAATGTAAAGTGTGATTTGTAAGTACAAATAAGCCCATCTCCGCACTCATCTCTTTTCGATGAACGTTCATTGCCCAATACTTTAGTGGCGTAGCGCAGTGGACATATGTGTGTACGTATATATGTGACCTTCTTTCGCACCGTGCGTAAACAAATGTGCTAATCAGAGGTGCGGGGAAGGACAACAAACTAAACACAAAAAGCAGTTCTAAAGAAATTAACTTTCAATCTAGATGATTTTAAAGTGCATAGCTCCAGTGGCTTCCGAATATCAGAAGGAAGACCGTTGCAGACGGCCACAAGAGATTTAATGGGTTTCTCCTCCACCCCCCCCCCCATCAAATTTCTCCCCCGCTTATTAGCCCGGCACCTGGGCCCGCTTACGGTCTATGGATCCTGGTGCAGACAGCCTGCATGCTCAACGATAGCTGTACCACTGAGCCTATAATACCTTACAGTGTATTATTCCATTTTAAGGTTGAGGTGTTGACGAATGTTGGTGAGAGCTTTCTGTGTTTGTGCTCTAGTGCCGCTCCAAATGCAGTCTGTTAACTTTTCGTCTAAATGTCTAATGTTAATTCCATGTGCTCTGAGAGTTATAACAATTACAAAGTCCTCTGCTGAAAAGCACCTTGGTTCTGTGCCATCACGGGGCACTCACCTCACAATCAGAAGGTCGAAAAATACACATTTTGCCAGGATTTGACTCAGTCCATCGTCCTGTTGTGGTTGAAACAATTTTGAACCACAAAGTCTGGAGTTTACAACAGTGGCTGTCTCTGCAATAGGGTTGTGGCATTTTCACCACTGGATTAGGGCCGTAACGGAGATGTTCACGGCCGCATGTTCGAGTGGGAATAGAATTGTACAGCACAACATTGCGTATTAGACGAGCTATGGACTTAGGTACAGGTGGATATGTGAAAACCTCGGATATGTGATTATCTATAGAAAATGACAGTTGCACAATGAGCAAATACATTACTGTGTTAAAAAAGACCCACACACTGCTTTAAACACGGGGAAACTATTTACTCTGCTTTTTAAGTACGTGCAATTTAATGTATGCGACATTACGAATGTGCGAAAAGTCCGATTGTGAACATATACAGAAAACGAACGGGGGTGTTTAAATAGTCGGGGCAGGTCGAATATGCGACATACTGTACTAATATTTTACGAAACACGTTGTAAAGCAGCATTGATGACAAGTGTTGTCTTTTCTCAGACAAGGCGGAACAGACCCCAGCCCACACGTTGGACAACTCAAGTCCCGATCAGACCATTGACAGAATCAAGACAGAAACACGTAGAGGTATTAGAGAGCCACTCGTATTGGTGTGTCATACCGCATGCCTGCTACAGAACACAGCACCACAAACGCCGGTGCGCGCACGGAGAGCGATACCGGTGTCAAAAGTTGTCCCGTTTTGAATTATACTTGAACATGTAAAGCCTGTTGTCAATCCACTGCTGGATGGGAGCTTCTCCGTGCTACGTGGTTTGTGAGGGGTATTTGGTTAGTGTGGAGTGGTGATGGAATGGTGCACAGATGTGAAGGCATATAAATACAGTTCGACATTTTATTTTGTTGCACTGCCCTCTGCTGACCTCTGCTGACCATCATGTAGCCCCACAGCAGCTTATATCAACCTGCTGCGCATGGTGTTTGCCCATACATGCACGACCCATGATCTCAACCCTCTTTGGCTTCTGAGATCTGATGAGATCCGGGTGATTTGGCCACAGGCTAGAAAATTGTAATTGTACTGATGTTAATGGGATAGGAAATTATTTATCTGGCTGGGTAGGTCTGATGGTAAAGCTCACAGTCCGCATTCGTTAAAGTGAGTACCACTTTGTGGGATGGTGCCACGGTGGCGAGATGTTAACTACCTCGCTTGGTATACAGGAGGTCGTAGGTTCGATCCTGAACCTGACGCCTGTATATTTGGAGTTTGCATGTTCTCCCTGTGGTCGCGTGGATTTTTCTCCAGGTCCTCCATTTTTGTTTCCACATTTAGAAACATTCGTTCCAGCATTTAGCTGCTATAAATATCCACGTGATAAGCCACTTCATTGAGCTATCATTTGTGGCCAGGTCGCTTCTGCGACAACGATATAGCTCATTGGGCCGTACCTGTTAATGTAAAAATTGTTAGACTGTTGTGGCCCCCACCCTCCCACCCGTGATAGTGGTTGCGGGCTCCAAAAAAATGAGTGCTTCTCAATGTTCATTTGAGCATTAAAATGGTAGCAAGGTAGAGAATCTTACAATTAAAGGTCTGCTTTATGAACAATTATAATGCCATGTGTTTACCCAGGAAAGCTTTGCCGAATATCAAGACTGTTTTTTACAGGGGGGGGTCTTGCTACATTTGGATAGTTGGCCAGTTCCACAAATAAGTGTTTGGCTTCATATGGGGAGAAACCCGGAGCACCTGGAAAAACGCACCATGCATAAGACACTCAACACTGCTGTCTCCTGGCGAAACCTCTCGGCTCTTTTTAACGTAGAATCAAATACTGTTGAGTGAGTGCCAATTTAAATTCCTGCGTTGATTAGCGCAAGGATCTTTCACATCCGAAACAATTATTGTGCCTGGCAGATGAACGTCCCGTCGAAGCACGTCCGGGCAACTTCGCCGAAGGCGTGAACTCTGTGCGTGATGACACCACCGATGTCGCGACGACATCTGTGGGCGCCGTCGCCAGAAGCCACTCTCCGGGACCGGCAGCAGTAGTGCCGTTGCACGCCGAGCAGCCATCGGCGATCAGGCCCGGCGATCGGGAGGCGAGCTGCTGCAGGCTGTGCGGGCTTACCTTCGCACGGCCGTGCGGCCTGACACGGCACCAGTGCCCCCACGAGAGGCCGCATCGCTGTGACGTTTGCGAGCTGCGCTTCTCGCAGCACGCCCACCTCGAGAGCCACAGGCGCACGCACACGGGCGACAAGCCATTTGGCTGCGACGCCTGCGGCAAGCGTTTTTCGCACAGCACCAATCTGAAGATCCACAAGAGGACGCACACGGGCGAGAGGCCCTACATATGCAATGTGTGCGGGCAGAGTTTCACGAAGAGCAGCACCCTCAAGAACCACCTGCACACGCACACTGGCGAGAAGCCCTATGCCTGCGCCGTGTGCAAAAAGGCGTTCTCGCAGAGCGCCACGCTCAAGACGCACATGCACACGCACACGGGCGAGAAGCCGTTCCGCTGCGAGATCTGCAACCGGGGCTTCACGCAGAATGCCACACTCAAGACGCACCTACACGTGCACACGGGCGAGAAGCCGTTCCGGTGCAAGATCTGCAACCGGGGTTTCACGCAAAGCTCCAAGCTGAAGGTTCACCTGCGCCTGCACACGGGCGAGAAGCCCTACCGATGCAAGATCTGCAACCAGGCCTTCACGCAGAGCTTCAACCTGAAGATCCACCTGCACACGCACACGGGAGAGAAGCCATATCGCTGCAGCGTGTGCGACAAAGCTTTCTCGCAGAGCTCTACGCTGAAGACTCACCTGCGCCGGCATGCGGGAAAGAGCCCCTACCAGTGCGGCGTGTGCGACCGGGAGTTCTTGCTCAAGGCCCACCTGAGTGCCCACCAGCAGAGTGCGCATGCGCGCGAGGGGGAAGTCCTGACGGTGCAGCCGATGTGACGGCACCCAGTGACGGACGGGCATGCCGTTTGTGGCTGCACGTGGTAGAAGGGGGATCTTCGTGTTGTGCTCCCACCAGCATTCCTTGGCCGTCGTCTCCCTACGCCAGACTATTGACTGGTCCCTGAACAGATCTCGCCTTGACGGGCATCGTTAATCAAACGAGAATCAAGGGTTTAGCTCGAGCGATGTGTTTTCGGATTGTATCGACAGGAGCTCTTCAGGTCAGTTCCTGAGAAATTTCCCATCGTAAGTAGAGGACTACCTGTATTTAAGAGTGGGTTAGTGCTTCGAGGGTTGTTCACCATGCAAAACTGCAGAGTCACGTTGTCTTCAGCAGAGGGCGCTACAGAATAAGTAATATTTAAAAAAAAACTTTTTAAAAACACGCTTTAATGAAATGTACCGTACTAGTAATGGAAGAAATCCACGACTCCAAGAAGTGGCCCCGAAGTTTGCCATAACGTAAGGAGACTGTGGTGATTTACAGCCAACGTCAGTTTCGCGTGGATAATTAGACCCAACCGAAACATAACATCTAAAAAATAATGTTTAGAAATGTTTTTACATTTTTTTAATGATAGAATATAGTATTGTCAGCAGTATGACATAAGTATACCAAGTTTGCGGTCGATACCACATTGGGAAGTGGGTTAAAATTGAGTTACAAGATTTGAGGATACACCGACAACAACACACAGTTAAATTAAAAAGCGTGTAATAATAATACAAATGCACTCTGCTCCCTCGTATACTGTATGCGCCTCGCCTTCACCAAAAGCAAATTCACCAGTATGGTCAAGTATCGTGGAAAACCCCCCCATAGCCCACACGGCACAGAGTGGCCCTCATCCAGCAGTGGATTGACAAAAGGGCTGGATAGGTAACGGGGACAATCTGTCCATCGGACAATCTGGGATCACAAATTGGTGCTTATTTGATTAACCTTTCAACTCTTTGGAGGGAATGGTGGTTTGAGCTGATTCAAATTGTGATTTTAACTCACGATTTTCCGATTGCCAATCATGCGCATTAACCACAGCACTTCCTCGCTCGGTAAATGTGGAATATTTAACTTACAAATACAAAAATCAGTGTTACAATGTATTGTATCTGTACCCATGTATTAAATCCGGGCATGCTTGCTAAATTTTATTATTTTTATTTTGGGGCCGTCCATAAATGACGTCACGCGATTTTTGACGATTTTTGACCCCCCCCCCCCATCGTCACACGGCGTCGCAAAAAGTCAGACCCCCCCCCCCCCTCATCTGATGTTGTAGGAGAAAACATTTATTAAAAAGTATTTAATTAAATAGAACGTGTTGTCTATCTTTATTTAAAGTTGCGCATTTTGATGTGACGTCACATTTCTCAATCCCCACCCCCCTCGTCACACATCGTCACAAATGTCTGACCCCCCCCCCCAGGTGCGTGACGTCATTTATGGACGGCCCCTTTGTCATAATGTCCGTGTTTTCCAGTCTGCTGCACACTTTGCGCTTTAGGGATTGTGGATAACCTTTTATTTAAGGCTGCCTCTGACCAAATCACTCGGAATGAGCCCAAACTTGTTAGATATTGGAACCTGTGCCTCTATCGCAATGGACCACAAGCTTGCAACACTACATGCCTGATTGTTATTTGCAGGGCAAGATCTCGAATTAAACTTGCAACCTCGTCTTTGATTTTTTTTCATTACGTGATGCACTTTGTATGTGGGGACCTGAGTTACATGACAGTGGAAACGAAGATTTTGCTGCATTGTTGGTGGTAACGCATCTGCAAAATTGATGGCGAGAAAATCAGATGTTGGCACAAACATGATCTCACTTTCCCTCTCTATCACCACCTGCACAAATCCCACACATTTGTATAATCATCCCATCAGGTCCACAGAGATGCTTATTCTGCACTTGACCCGCAAGTTCTCCTATAGTTTGCACAGCACGGTGCTGTGTGTTCTTGTCGTACCTGTTAACTTAACACTTGTAAACTTGTGTTGTATATAGTGTAACAACAAAAAGTGCATGCCATTAAAGCGAACTGTAGACTTAAATCGGTGTGCGCTATCTTACCGAGTGGAAGACCTTAAGTCAGACGGTAGGATCAAGGTAGTCCATGGACCAGAGCACAGATATCGGTTCCACTGAAGGCTGTAAAACTTTTAGCACGACCGATTTATTTTGATACCTACTATAATCACCCAGGAATGTCTGTCCTTCACGCTCGTGACGTCACACCACATCGACCAGCCCCCCCTAATTAATATTCATGAGCAGGTGACGTCCTCCAAAAGCTCCCCCCCTCATTAATAATAATGAACATGTTACGTCCTCCAAATGGACCCCCCCCCACCACTCATTAATAATCATGAGCAGGTGACGTCACTCCACGTGGGGGGGGGGGCGAGGCGCCTCCTCCCCCCTCAGCGTCAACTGCCAACCCTCACGTCACAGGCAGAACCCTCACGTCACGTGATCTCCGTAACGCTGTTGAGACATCAAAGTAAAAAGGACGTCATGATGAACAAGGGATTATAACCTTAAAATGAAATAGGTCTGTGTCAACGCGCCCTTACAAACTGCACACGCATTGATGCAATGAATATATCACGTCGCGGTCTGATTTTCGCTTGCATGTTTCAGATTTACTGCAATACACCCGTGCTTGGACGGGCTAAAGGCTAGTTGCTAATAATGAATTACTTGATAACCCACTAATTTTAAATGGTTATCACACAACCCACTGTTATTATTCAAATAAAGACATTGTAACCATTCAAGCCATGCCACCTCAGCTTGTCTGGGATCATGGATTAAAGCAGACCATGGCGGTCGGGTATCAGCTGCAACATTTCTGCAGTCGCTATTGGAAGATGAGAAGCCATAGCGAGGCGTCTTCATAATAATTCGCCAAGGTCAGTCCGCTGCTGGATGAAGGCCTTCCCAGCCGCCACCTCTCATGTTCCTGCAATGTAATCTTCCCAGCACATAAACTATTATTATGCTTGTTTACCTAGGAGGGCCTCACTGAGTCTCAAGACTCTTTTTCAGGAGAGTCCTGCTAAGTATTCACAGTATCGAAATCAATGCTGCGATGGGTGAGAGAGATTTGTTCATGAAGCAATTCAGATCTACAAACACAGACACAATTTCAACCGAGAGGATGGTTTCAAATTAAGCAACCATTGGAAAGATGTTCTAAATCGAACTAAACATTAAACTAATTTCAATGGTACAGTATATTTTTCAAGTAGTGGTACCCCAAACTTTCGCAGCTCTTATAAATTCCCTTTTCACACCATCAATAGGTAAACTCCCCCCCCGCGCCAAACGGCAAGTCCACCGGCACGTACACCACCTCTTTTCTAAAATCCGCCAATCAAATGCTAATTTTTATGCTAATTTCTTTGTCAGAACACCTTGTTTGCTCGCACACAGTTTAAAGGTCCGCTGTCTGAGCGTGGTTGTGTTTCGCTAAATTCTCCTGTTTGATGAGTACTAGGTGCATCGGTGAATGTATATGCTCTGACTTTAACATAGCTATTTCTGTGACCAGTTACAAGCTAATCACTCAGCTATTTCAATGCTAAATTCTATGCTAATTCCTTTGTCAAGGCGCTTTGTGTTTTTGTTCTCACACAGCTTAAAGGTCGTGATCTAAGCGTGGCTTCTCCCACTCCAGCGCTGTCCTCCAGACAGTCTCGTCCCTTCACCTGATGAAGGCCGCTTGTGTTGTGGCCGAAACGTCGTGAGAATTTTGTTATTTTATTTTCACCTACGTGACTTTACCCAATAGAACCAAAGAGAACGTTTAATTTCGCGTGTTTGTTGTTACAATAGCGCAAACAGTTCTCGTCGGGAAATACGATGCGCTAATTAGAAATGCAATTGAGCGACCGCTCCGAGATTTTGCACAGCGCACGATACGATTATCGTGGACTGACTCTATATCGTACGGCGGCCACGATATGTCGCGGATTGTGCTTAAATCGCCGCGGCCCCTAAACTCGCAGACTTAATAAATAAATAAAATTTCCGCTGTCCCTGCGGGGAACGCGGAGCAGGAGTTTGTTGATGCGGCTCGCGCGGTCCTTTGTGGTCTTCGTCGGCTTCGTCGGCTTCATCTTCCTTTACTCGCTTCGGAATTGAATCTTTACGAGAATGAAGTGAACGAAAGCTCCAAGGGAGAGGCGTACGACGACTACGGCGGTAAGAGGCCGCGGTGGGCGGCCGGGTTGGGCGAAGCGACGGGAAGGGCCGCGTTCATCGGCGCCGCCGTTCGGTTCCGATTCGAAATGAACGACGTTCACTTCTCGCCCCGATGGCCGGGCTGTTGTTGTGTGTTAGTGTGTCTGTCTTTGTGTGTGTGTTGCACCTGGGTCTGCCCCGTGACCTGCCAGCGGGCGTTCGACACTTCACGTGGCCTCAGGGTGCACATAGCCTGGCACAAGCGTCGTGGTGACGTCACCTCCACTTAGTGGCGAATGGCGGTTGTTGTGTGTGTGTCTGTATGTGTGTGTCTGTATGTGTGTGTCTGTCTGTGTGTGTCTGTATGTGTGTCTGTCTGTGTGTGTCTGTATGTGTGTGTCTGTGTGTCTGTCTGTGTGTCTGTGTGTGTGTCTGTCTGTATGTCTGCGTGTGTCTGTATGTGTGTGTCTGTGTGTGTCTGTGTGTCTGTATGTGTGTGTCTGTGTGTGTCTGTATGTGTGTGGCTGTGTGTCTGTCTGTGTGTGTGTCTGTATGTGTCTGTGTGTGTGTGTCTGTATGTGTCTGTGTGTGTCTGTGTGTCTGTATGTGTGTGTCTGTCTGTGTCTCTGTCTGTGTCTGTCTGTGTGTGTTTGTGTGTGTGTGTGTCTGTCTGTCTGTGTGTTCTGTCTGTGTGTGTGTCTGTGTGTGTTCTGTCTGTGTGTGTGTTCTGTCTGTGTGTGTGTTCTGTCTGTGTGTCTGTGTGTGTGTGTCTGTATGTGTGTGTCTGTGTGTGTGTATGTGTCTGTGTGTCTGTCTGTCTGTGTGTGTCTGTCTGTGTGTCTCTCTGTGTGTCTGTGTGTGTCTGTATGTGTGTGTATGTGTGTGTGTGTGTCTGTATGTGTCTGTGTGTGTCTGTGTTTCTGTATGTGTGTCTGTATGTGTGTGTCTGTCTGTCTGTGTGTGTCTGTGTGTGTCTGTCTGTGTGTGTCTGTCTGTGTGTGTCTGTCTGTGTGTCTCTGTCTCTGTGTGTCTGTTTGTGTGTCTGTGTGTCTGTCTGTGTGTCTGTTTGTGTGTCTGTGTGTGTGTGTCTGTGTGGGGAGCGGTAGTGTAGTGGTTAGTGCTACGCTGCGCTACGAACCCGACGACACGGGTTCGATTCCCGCTCACGGCCAACACCAGTGACGATTATCTGAACCGGTCCTGGGCCTCCCCTAGGTCGACTCAGCCTCAAATGAGTACCTGGTGCGATGTGTAAACATCGCCACTAGGGATACAAAGGCGGCCGGGCGTGGTGCTGGCCACCCACCCCCTCGTGTGCCGTTCCGGCCTTCATAGGTGCTCGCTAACAGCACTTGCCCCTACAGTCTGTTACAGGCTACACGGGGGATCTTTTTGTTGTGTTCAAGGCGACACGACAACGCGAAACAGGTTGATTGAACATTCAAGGCGCGGGAGTGCGATTGCTTGACCGTGCAACTCATTCTGTGGACCGCATAGTAAAGCCCACAGAGAGATAGGTTGAGACTCGTAGAGATACGGAGATACACGTGCATACGTAGAGATGCCTACATACATGCAGAGTTACATAGAAATACATTAAACACATGCCACGGTGGTAGCGTGTTTGTGGACATATATCCTAGACTATGGATGGTAAACCCACAGTAGTCTGCGAACCTTCACCGGAGGAAGAGGAACAGCAAAACGAAACGAATGTAATAATAGGGGTTTTCCCCTTTTTTCTGGCAAAAAAAACTAAAACCTTTTTTACAAGGATTCATGTCTGCATTAACTACAATACCTGCAGTCAAAATGCAAACAAAAAAACACTATGATAATATATTGGCATTGTCCTTGAAACTGATTGGTCCACACCAAGGGACGGCTTTCTTTTGAGCCTCGACCCAATTGGTGCTCGACCAGATGATGCCAAAAGGCGTAAAAAGGGGAAAAAACTCTATTATTACATTTTTGTACTGGCAAAGGAGGTCTAATGATGACACGAATGTTGTTTCTCCTGAAGCCCTCTCGTCGCGTCAAGCAGACCGCGACGTTGACATTTTTTTAGCACCTGAACCATAAGACTATCGGTCTTAGATGCCACTGTTCAACTACCCCTAAACTACTAAACTATTTTACCAGGTAAAGCCCACTGAGCTATATAGCTTTTTTTCACAAGGGACCTGGCCACAAATGATAGCTCAACGAAGTGCCCTAATCATGTGGAAATTTATAGCAGCCAAATACTCTACAACGCGTGGTGTTGATTCTAAATGTGGAGGGAAAAATTGGAGGGCCCGGAAAAAAATACACACAACCATGGGGAGAAAAATACCGCAAACTCTGAATATGCAGCAGGCGTTAGGGTTGTGATCGAACCCACGGCCGTCCTATATACAAGGCGAGGTAGTTAACATCTTGCCACCCTAACCTATAAACCATAACCACTAGCCTATACACCGTAATCCATATCACCTAACTCCAAGCCTGAATCATAAACCCCATATGCCTAAACTCTTTATCGGTAAACCTTAACACCTAGCTCTAAAGCCCAATTGCGTAATCCATAATCCTACACAAACCCTGAAAAAGCGTCTTCCATTAATATTTTGTCAACAAATAAAGTAAGGGGAATTGAAAAGCACCTCTTAAAGAGTAGGCACAGAGATGTAACGGCCTGTGGTTAGAGGAAAATCTGGCCTGTAATTAGATATATTTATGGAGGGGCAATGGTCACTCCCAACTAGACCACCCAGGATACCTACACGAAGCTATTGCATCGAGCTACTTGACAATGCCTATGTGTGTGTGTGTCTCTCTGTGTCTCTGTGTTATCTCTGTCTGCTTATGTGTCTGCCTGTGTGTCTCTGTGTCTGTGTTTTGTCTCTCTCAAATTTAGCAATCTTTAGAAGAACGTAATCAACCAGGTAGGGTGTTGACTGTTATGTTTGCCGACTCTCTGCGTTGTATTGCATTATATTTCTTAGTTACTAGGTTTGTTTTCTCTTTCATTTGTACCTGATGGTGATTGCTTGTGTTGCAATCGAAACGTCGTATGCTATTTAATTGATTTTTCTTTCTACGTGACTTTACCGAAAGAACCAAAGTAATCCAATGTTGATCATTTCCCACAGATTACCACACAATGAACCTTAAATAGTTTCATCCACTTGATCCATCTGCTTTCGACAAAACTCACCATTGTTGACTGAGCTTTTCTTGGTTAGCAGGTAGTTTCATTTACAAGACACCATTATATTGTCTAAGCTACGCGATCACTCAATTAGAGATGGCTGGGTGGTTCATGGGTCGGAGACATTGTCTTGGCACTGCTGAGATTCTGGATTCAATTCCGATTAAACCATGTTCTGAAATGTAGTTAGTTGGCCTCAGCCCATTCACCAATTGCCCTTAAGTGGTCCTTAGCCTTTACTGCAGCCTGATTCTCAATTGTAAAAAATATAAAATGTTAATAAATACATAGGTTCGATTAAACAATGTAGGTGTACTTGCGTGCCTGTGCTTAGTTTGTGTTTTCGATTATTTACCTTCTAAGAAATATGGCCATGTCTCGCACCCCCAAAAAGGGAATCTTGCACCCCCAGGGGGTGCGTGCACCCCAGGTTAAGAACCACTGAATTACCCCTTTAAAAAACTCATCATACTCGAGTTTGCTTTTTATAAAATGTGGCTTATTCCATCTCTTTGCAGGGCATTTAAAAGGGGACACCATTAGTGTGGTTAGAGGTACCTACAGAAAGTACCGCGTGAATCGTGTAATTTTCTGGGGCTTTTCCATTCGGAAATGTAATCTTGTGACATGATACTATTAGCACATGGAATATAATTTCGAAACGAACCTTAAAACGCCTGAACAGTTTTTTGGAGATACATTTCGCATCATGGCCAGACAGGGATGAACAAATTGATACTGAATGTAACATTTCCAACACTGGCCCAATATATTGTGTGCAGTAAGCACGGTAAAATCTGAGTTTCTTTTTGTAGAAACGTGATTTCAAGGCAACAGAAGCAGGAGCATGTCAAACTTCAGTGTGATTCACAGGGACAAAAGGAACGACCCACTGCACATCCCTATCAGGATGGCATGCATGGTGGCTGCCCCGGTGCTGGAGCCGAGCGGGGACTTCCCGGCATGGCTGGAGACGCAGGGTGTGAACGCGGAGGTGGCCCGGGCCATGGACTCCGAGCTGGGCATCCGGGACTACGGGGTCCTGCGCGCCTGCGTCGGGGACGGCCTCGTGCGGGCCGAGCTGCTGGCCACGGCGCGCGACCGCCTGCCCTTTGGCTTCTACGCCGTGCTGCGGCAGGTGGTGAAGGCCCTGCAGGGCACCGAGCCCCATGATGCTGGGACGTCACATTGGGACGCTGCTGCTGCTGCTGCTGCTACCGCCACCATTGCCACCTCCTCTGCCGGCGACGTGACGCTGGGAGGCCTGGTGGACGTGCTGCTCGCGCTGTTTAGCGGCTTGAGCCGGGAGTTGTTGGTTTGTGCGAAGAAACTGGGTGTTGTGGACAGTGGGAATGTTACAGTGACTTCCCATTCAGCCACAGATGATACTAGCCCTAACAACATGATGAATGACGTGGATCACCACGTGGAATATGGTAAGATTAATCGGTGCATTAAGTACAGTAAAACCTTGGATTGCGAGTAACTTGGTCTGCGAGTGTTTTGCAAGACGAGCAAACATTTTAAATAAATATTAATTTGATAAACGAGCGAGGGTCTTGCAATACGAGTAGTACGTATACGCTTTGTCTGCCGAGCGTCACATGATCACAACTGATGTACGAGTGCTTTGATATACGAGTGCTTTGGATTACAAACACGTTTCCGGAACGAATTATGCTCGCAATCCAAGGTTTTACTGTATTCTGATTTGAAAAGCCTATATTGAAACAAGGTATTGATGTGGTGATTTATTTTTTTTGAACAGAAGAGGCAGGGGAGACCACAATCCAAGATATGGAGGATTCCAGTCCCAACTTAACAATGAAAGAAGTTAAAAATGAGCCTTATGGAGGTGAGCTCTTGTGTTTCAAGGTTCAAACACACAGGCGTGTCTCTGCTTAAACATTCACTGGAGTGGCACTCATCTGTGCTGGCAGTCCTGAACCAACCTTGAACATTCTATATACTCATGATAAGGCCAGTCTTTCTAAAGGACAACCGCACTTAATTTTCTACAAAACAGTACTCATGTTGGTGAGCCTGGAGGGATAGTATGGTGAGAGTCAGCCTGTTGATTGTGAGTCAAGTGTCATATTTCTGGACTAATACACTCCAGTGCTCAATGTGATACTTTAAAGTACCATTTACTGACTTTCCATTAAGAAGTAGGAAAGTAATAATTCTCAGGAATATTGTGCTGTTTTTTTTATTTGAAGATAGAACATTTCACATCCAACCGGCAGTTGTGTTTATCTCCCCAGACAATGAGACGGAGACTCAATATCCAGAAGCGGGCGACTTTATTCACAGTCACTCGGTGCCCGACTTAAAGAGAGAAAAGATCGGAGGTAGGTTTTTTGCGGAGCAGGACAAAACATGATTTGTATGGTGGCAGTGCTCATTTGTAGCTTCGTGACTTGTGTGTGCAGTTGGTGGATCACAGGAAATATAGAACTTCTGTGAGACACTGAACTACATTACAGTGAGTTGCTTGTTTTAGGAAGCAGTCGAGCAAGTAGGCATCTGACAAATTTGTGCAGAGAGGGTTTCTTACAGACACTGCAGATTACTCATTTAAAATCCATCCTAATGGAATCATCCTAATAAAATGTAAGCACGAGACTCGGCGTGATTTATCCTGCAGCGTTAAAACAACGTGTTACTATTAGAGACTCAAATGCTGGTTCACGAGGGAATGGTATTGTAAGGTCCAGGGAAGTGCGCTGTGTGAAGTTGAGGCATGGAGTGAGATCAAGCGACGATTGAAAGCGTCCAGCAGGCTGGCCTCGTCAGACCTGGCTGTGCCACATCTGGATGGACCCAGGCCTGTCTGCTCCAAAAGCGTGGACAGCTGGTGCAAGTGACAAAGCCATGATGGAGGGCACTACGACCCTTTGCCGGTCACACACAAGAGTAGCAATAGTTTGTAGTGCAGGAACCACTGCTTTTAACGTTTCCGTTGAAGAGCATCCACCTTTAACATCTCAAATGTACGTTATCCTCCCACAGATGAACCCTTGGTCGGAGCTCACGAAGGGATTTCCGTCCAACATTTGGCCTCTGTGCAGGGTGATGCTGACATTTCTGCTATATCGCCAGGCATCAATCACACACTCCATCCTCTTGCCGAGGTCGCTGGCATCCATAACTCGGTGCCAGACGTTCCTTCGAACGCCGGGCACGGGCCATCCGCTGCAGGGCCACCTGCCCCTGGACGGATGCCATTCATCTGCAGGTTGTGCGGCCGCAACTACGCGCGTGCCAGCATCCTCCGCCACCACCGCTGCCCACGCTGGCGGCATCGACTCGGTGACGCACGGCTCGAGCGGCCTCCCGCGGTGCTACCACCGCAGACAGACCTGCTCGGGCACGCCAAAGACAAGCCGTTCTCGTGCGACGCGTGCGGCAAGCGCTTCTCGAGCAACTCGAACTTGTGCAGCCACAGGCGCGTGCACACGGGCGAGAAGCCGTACCGCTGCCCGGTGTGCGACAAGTCGTTCTCGCAGAGCGGCACGCTGAAGAACCACATGAACACCCACATGGGCGAGAAGCCACACCGGTGCGACGTGTGCGACAAGCGCTTCACGCGCGTCTCTAACCTCAACGTGCATCGGCGCGTGCACACGGGCGAGAGGCCGTACTGCTGCACGACGTGCGGGGAGGGCTTCTCGCAGGGCGCCAAGCTGAAGGCGCACATGCTGACACACGGCACGGTGGGGTCGTCGGGATCGGGGTCGGAGAGTGGAGTGGCTGCTGAGACTTGAGGCCAGGGCACCTTGCAGCGCTTCGGTGTGAACAGCATGGGCTGTGTTGGGAAGACTCGCACTTGAAGATGCGTGAATGAGAGTGCTGAGGGTTAATAAGGCTTAAAGTCGACCTAAGGGAGCCCAGGGCAAATTGAAATACCACTTGATACATATGTTGCGCACCACAGCCAGGAATAAAACCAAGCTCTCGAGAAACGTAACATAATTAGAGAACTATTAAACCATCTAACCTATGAATATCATTGTTTGTCTGTGTGTCTGTGTGTGCGGCCGAAACTTGCGAAGAATTAGGCTCGCAAACCGTGGGGTTTATATTTTTATAAAATAGCCAGGTACCACGCCGTAAGCCCCGTGGTGAGCAAGCGGTATTCCGTTTTCCCACCCGTCAACTTTAACGTAGTTTCATTAGTGATTTAGTTCTGTTTTTGTTTAATTATTTATTACATAGCGCGCGCTCGACCAGACCAACTCGCACGCCTTCGGTAGGGGGGATGGCCCCTACCAAGTCACAGGTGGGGGTGAGGGGGACATTTTCTTTCGCATTAAAAATGCAATAAAAATACACAATGCTGAGGTAAATTCTTCACTGTGATGTCCTCTTCTCCCCCACCCTCAGTCTGTTTGTAGAAACAGACTGAGGGCACCCCAATGGGCTCCCCCCTATCTCTGGTTGTAGCCAACGTGTTCAAAGTTTGAAACTGATGCCATCCAGACTGCCACTCTACGCCCGACCTTATGAAAGAGGTACGTGGATGACACGTTTGTCATCTGGCCACATGGCCGGCCTGCTCTACACCAATTCCTCGACCACATCAATTCCATACACCCAGCCATCAGATTTACCATGGAGGTTGAAAAAGAAGGCAAGTTACCCTTTTTGGATGTCTTAATTAAAAGGAGACCTGATGGTTCAGTGAGCCACTCTGTCTACAGGAAAGCTACCCATACGGATGCTTACTTAAAACCGATTCCCACCACCATCCATCCCAGAAGAACTCCCTCATCAAGACTCTAGCCCAATGCATTTCCGACCAAGAACACATTGCCAGTGAACTCAAATACGTGCACCAAGCTCTCAAGGCTAATGGTTACTCCGACTACACAATCCCCAAAGCCATCACTCCAGTCATGAAGAAGGATCCTCTTGAGCCATTCAAAACCATCACCTTACCCTACATTGCGGGGGTCACAAAAAAGATCTCCAAAATCCTGAATAAACACAAGATCCAGGTCCGACTCAACACAGTACATAAAATCCGTGATCTGGTTCCATCTGTAAAAGATGTGGTTCCAGACATACAGTACCCGGGCGTTTACAAACTAAAGTGCCTCTGTGGTAGCAGCTACATTGGACAAACCTAACAACATATCTCGGACCACATCCACGAACATAAAGCAGACTTGAAACACGGTAGGACGAACTCCTCAGCCGTGGCAGATCACTGTTATAATTCAGTGGGCTCACATGACATTGACTTTTCCAAGACGGAGGTTCTCTGCAAGCCATCCGGCTACCATAAGAGATTCGTTCATGAGGCCATCCACATATACAAACACAGACAATTTCAACCGAGAAGATGGATTCTGGCCTAGTAACCATTGGAAAGCTGTTATAAACCATTTAGGTTCTTAATTGATTGTCTTTTACAGTGACCTTCAGACCGCAGTCCATTTGCTGGCATTGCCTCTTAATACCTCTCACACCACGGTTAATGATATGGTTTATAACATGTGGTATAATAATACAATGTATAACATTGTAATGTGTAACATAATTCATAAGGCAATATATAGCATCGTAATTGCATAGTGAATATACAGCAGTGTGGTATATAGTTGGGTTCATAGAATAAGACAGTGTAATGTTACAAGTCTAATATTTTATAGTCTAAAGTATAGGGTTGTGTAAAGTAACGCATTGTATAATTCAAAGGTGGAATTTGTCTATGGATATGATGTTATACCATGTAGTTTAGATTGGAAGGTATAATATTGTATTGTATAGTCCAGTTTATAGCATAGTCATAATGCAACACAGGACACAGCAGCGCACCTTGGCTGTTTTTCTTCTTTTTCCGTGTTCCCAGCCCCCCCTCCTCCGCTCCGGAGGTGGGGCTGGTAACATGCTAATTCATATGTTAACTCTGCCCACACAGCTTAAAAGACGCGGTCCTTGCTTGACAGTGTTCATTCAAGCTCTGTCTTCTGGACAGACCTGTTTCTTCACCTGAAGAAGGCCACTTGTGTTGTGGCCGAAACATCGTGAGAATTTTATTTATGTTTTATTTTTATTATTTTATTCTACGTGACTTTACCGAAAGAACCAAGAAGATGAATCCTAGCAGTCACGAAAGCTTTAAATTAAAATTTATGTACGGTGTTAAATCGAACCTGGATCTTATGTTTGCTCATGATTTTTTAATTATTTTTAGTGACTCCTGCTATGTATGGCAAGGTGATGGTTTTGATTGGGTCCTCAGATGGTTCTTTCCCAACGGTTGGGATGAGAGCTTTACAGATTGTGGAATCTGAATATCCATTCATCTTGAGAGCTTGGTGTACGTGTTCCACTTCACTGGTTAGGTGATGACGGTCGGAAATACATCGAGCTCTATGGTGTAGAGTTTTGATGAGGGAATTCTTCTGGGATGGATGGTGGTGCGAGTCAGGTTTTAGGTAGGCATCCGTATGGGTGGCTTTTTTGTAGACAGTGTCCCATTGAGCCATCTGGTCTCTTTTCGATTAAAACATCCAAGAATCGTAGCTTGCCATCCTTTTCCACCTCCATGGTGAATTTGATGGCTGGTGTATAGAATTGATGTGGTTGAGGAATTGGTTCAGAGCTGGTTGGCCATGTGGCCAGATGACGAACGTGTCATCCATGTACCTCTTTCACAAGGACAGACGTAGAGTGGATGCCTGGATGGCATCTCAAAATTTTCCATGAAAACATTGGCTACAATTGGAGATAGGGAGAACCCATTGGGGCACCTTCAACTTGTTTGTAGAATGTTCCATTCCAGGTGAAGTAAGTTTTGGTGAGGCAGTGTCTCACCAGGGCTGGTACATCAGCATTCAGTCATTGTTGGACCAAATCTTCAATGATTGCAATGGTGTCAAGCACAGGAACTTTGGTAAACAAAGAGACCACATCGAAACTAACGAGCAAATCACGTGTAGATGTTGAGATGTCCTTAATTAACGATACCAAGTGAGCTGAGTTGAGTACAGCTGAGGTGGTCTTACCAGTGAAGGGTTGTAAGGTGTCAGAAATCGGGCCAGTTTGTAGGTGGGTGAGTCAATGGTGGAGACGATAGGACGAAGGGGTGTCCCTTTTTGGATTTTTGGTAAGCCATACAATCTGGGTGGTCTAGCAGCAGAAGGTTTTAAGGAAAACCGCTTGGTTGGTTCGATCAAAGATGTTGTTTTTCGTAACGAGGCGGTTGGTGGGATCCCTTAATTTTGTTACAGCTACCATAATATTTTCTTGCCTTTTTTGCTTAACTCGCGTAGATAGAAGCCTATTATTTAAATAATCACCTTGCAAATATTAAAATAATAATGTTTGTGTGCAGACAACTAATATTTATATTTCTTGCTTCTTTAGCTAAACTCACGTACATAGAAACATATTACTTTAATAATCACCTTGGAAATATTAAAATATTAATGTTTGCGTGCTGACAACTAATATTTCAAAATTTACGTGGTCAATATTAATATAATTATGATTGTGTCTAAGTCCTTCTGTGCGTGTGAGTCCATGTGCGTGTCTGTGACGATGTTAGTGTGTGTATGCATAAGTCTATATTTGTGTGTGTGTGCAAGTCGATGTATGCGTGAGTTGATATGTGTGTCAGTCGATGTGTGTGTGTTAGTCAATGTGTGTGCGTTGCTCCATGTGAGTCAGTTTCGGTCCACGTGTATGTAAGTCCATGTGTGTGTGTGTCAGTCGATCTGTGTGTGGCTCTATGTGCGTGTGTGAGTCGATGTGTGTTTGTGTGTGAGTCTGTGTGTCAGTCGATGTGTGTGTGTTAGTCCATATGTGTGTGTGAGTCTATGTGTGTGTGCGTCGATATGTGTGTGTAGGTCGATGTGTGTGTAAATCGATGTGTGTGCGTGGGTCCATGTATGTAAGTCCATGTGTGTGTCTTAGTCTTTATGTGTGTGTAGGTCCATATGTGTGTTTGTGTAAGTCGATGTGTTTCTATGTGTGTGGGTCGATGTGTTTCTTTTTTTGCCTGGGCAACGCCGGGTACTTCCCGCTAGTATATTTATATATTCATTCAGACATGCCCACCCCCACATAAAAGAAAGATCCCCTATTTGGCTTTGAGCTGCTGGGACTAAATGGTTAACAGTGCTATGGGCCATCACTCAACAGCCTGCATGCACACTTGCACATTCATAATGTGTGGACCAGTGCCGATGGAACAAAAACTCATTGTTGACTTCCCGTTGAAGATGTATTTACTTTGTTGAACTTCTTTGGCACCGTACGTAGCCAACCGTGGTAATTGGAGGAATGGGAAAGATGACCTAAGTTGGGAATTGAACTTACCATCGAGAAAAGTGGCCAAATTGATCAAAGGATTGTCCGAAACCATGGTGATAAAATAACCAGCACTCAAATGATAATTTTATACCAAAAATATTACTTAATTTCGCGTGACATGATCGCACAAGACTTCACGCGTTGTATGATGTTATGTCATGCAGATTTAACCAAAACTTTTTGCGAATTAAATAATTTTAAGAGGACAAACGCAAAGCGTTGTGCAACCCACGCATACGCGTGTTTTCTCTTGTCCATATGTATTAAAAAAGTCTTAACTTGCAAAAATAGTTACATTTTGTTCCATTAAGATCTTCTTTACCAATCCCTTCCAGCGGGCAGACGTCTAAGCAGACAAATCTAAGCCCAGTTTCAATCTGCGGTCTCATCATTCCAACCTGCTGACCAATTGCAACGAGGTTGGCACATCTGTTTAAAGCACTTAATACGCATACGCCTTATGTCTTATTGTTGCATGTTCTGTAATGAGTACGTTTACCGTATGCTACGGATTCAAGGGCAACATTGGGGGGGGGGGGGGGGGGTGCGTCTTTTCCTCCGATTGAAGTGGGTATGGGTCAACATTTGTGTGACTTTATTGACACTGGGCACACGTTTGGAAAGCACATACTTTCCAGCTATTTGTTTCTGCGTGGTGCTTGCACATAGAAACTCTATGCAGGTGAAAAGCCTCTTCTTAGCTTCCGAGATCTGTTCAGATCTGGCGCATTGCGGGTGATTCTGTCATAGGCCTGCAATAGTGTCAAATGGAATGGATAATGTGATGCAAGGCCATAGCCATGGAGTCAACATTGGGGGTGACCAAATCTTCGAGGCTGTCTGGGGTCCCAACCCAGAAAAAAAATCTAAATTAGGAAACTAATTTCCTGCCTAAAATATATAAACATTAACGAACACATGGGATGGACTTTTTATTCGTTTTTTACAATAATGTCTAATAGTGTATTGTATCACATTGCTCTGTTTTTACTTTTTTTACCATTTCTTGTTTCATTGTATGTAATGTTTGAGATTAGGGATTAATAAAGTACAACCATAACCACAATCATATAAACAGAAATCTATGCATTGATTTAGATGAAGACAAGTCCAGATATTGTGGCCAAGGTTTAGCAAATTGTTTTTATTTATATTGGGGGGGGGGGGGACATTTTGAGAATATTTTAATATTGGAGGGGGGGGATGTCCCCCCCCCCCCATGTGTCCCCCCCCCCCCCCCAATATATATTATAATTACAGCCTTGATGTGAGGATGATGGGGCTAAGTAATCTTGATGGCAGTCGTAGCGTGATTATGACAGCCTATGCTGTTGGTGTATATTATGATGTAACGGTGTTCATTACGGAGAAATCTTTTTTTGGGATAGAGGAGCATCTCAGAAATCAAATGTTCTATCCTACTCCCGGCAGAATTACCCCCAAGAGAGTGGGAAGCTCTAGAGAACCCTCTCTACTAAATGATGCAACAAAAATAATCTTGATTGGCAGTCGGAGCGTGATTATGACACCGTATGTTGATGGTGCATATTATAATGTAACGGTATTGTGTAAAAAACACTTTTTTGGGGGATCTCAGAAATCACTTGTTCTTTGTCACTCCCAAGTGGGAAGCTCTAGAGACCCCCTTCTTACTAAATGGCCTTGGGGAGCCGTCCATAAATGACGTCATGCAATTTTGGAAGATTTTTTTTATCCCCCCCCCCCCATCGTCACACGGCGTCACAAAAAGTCAGACCCCCCCCCCTCAAAACTGACGTCACAAAGCTCTGCCCCCCCCCCCCCCAAAGAAACTAAAACATGCTTCAAATCGCTTTAAACTATTGTTATTGTAGTGCGTATTTAATGTGCCGCTGCACTCTGATGTTGTAGAAAACATTTATTAAAAAGTATATTTAATTGTCTTGCTGTGGTTTTCACACCTGATGATGATTGCTTGTGTTGCAGTCGAAACGTCGTGATAATTTTATTGGTTTATATTTTTTATTGTTTCCCTTCTACGTGACTTTACCGAAAGAACCAAGAATATAAGTAGAACGTGTTGTCTATATTTATTTAAAGTTGCGCATTTTGATGTGACGTCACATTTCTCACCCCCCCCTAGATGGGTGCGTGACGTCATTTATGGACGGCCCCTTGTTGGCCCATTCCACGCTCGCCAAAAGGCTGCCGAGGGGCTTTTTATTTTTCACCGCGGCCCCTTTAATCGTCGCGGTCAATTCGTCGCGGTGCCCGGGCAAAAGCCTGCATTAGGCCGCGAATGGCCTTAACGGGAGCGAGCGGAGCTCTCTCGAAATTCACTTCTCGGTTGCGTTTTCGCCGTTAATTTAAATAACAACAATAACAACCCGTGCCTCGATGAAAGTGGTCTCGATGCACGTCTTAAGGCGGCGGAAAGTGGGCAGACTTCGCGGCACGGTTGAGGATTTGTAAGCGCGGTGAAAACAAACAAAAACCCATCGTCCGGACTTTGTTGACGTCCCCGTTGCAAGGGCGTCCGCCACTATTGAACGTCTCACGGGTGCGTTCTCCTCCTCCTACTCCTCCCCCCGCACAGACGCCGCGTCCCTTCGTAGAAACCCACTCGGGGGATTTCCGTCCAGCGATTTGGCCTCCGTGCAGGGCCATGCTTGTTACGTCGTCGGCCGTGGGTGGGGTTGGGGGGTGGTGGGTGGAACGTCGGACGCGCGGTTCGTCGTCAGTGGCCACGCCGTTGTTGCTCGACGCCTCTGGCTGCCGTCGGTAGCGACAGCAACGTTCCGAAGCGGAGCGCGGTGACGTTAACGGGCGGTGAGAAGGGGGGAGCGCCCCACGTGGACGAGATGTTAACAACCTCGTTGGGGATACAGGGAGTCGGTTCGATCCCGACCACGCGAACCCGGTACCCGTGGATTTAATTCCCTACCGCCCCCCCCCCCGGAGTCCCCCCGGGTTTGTTCCCCTCCACCCTTAGAATCGGCGTGCGTTTGAAGAGTCTTTGGCTTGCTACACATTTCCACTGCGTTGAGCCAAAAAAGAGCTGCTCGTTGCAGAGCCTAGCGGTTCGAATTCAGCGGGCCGACCGGGTTATTCCTGCGTCGCATTATCTATGTCATACCGAGTAGGAGGGGGGGGTTGAAGATCCCGTGACGCCATCGGCAAGAGAAGGACATTGGCAAGCTAAAAACGTGGAGAGAGGACAAGTGCCGAACTCGCAAATAAATTCCCTTGAGGTTGCGCAGTAGGTGGCAATCATCGCCACCTACTGTGGAAACTTGGCTAAATATTTGTGTTTTTTTTAATTAGGCACGATTCCCTGCGAGACACTCATGGGTAAAGCAAGCGTTCGCCACGTCGTGCCGAAATGCATCTAAATCTGGGCACAACTCCGAAGCGAAGCTGGGTTAAGCCTAAGGGGCCGTCCATAAATGACGTCACACACCTAGGGGGGGGGGGGGGATTCAGACATTTGTGACATTGGGGGGCTAGTGGTTGAGAAATGTGACGTCACATCAAAATGCGCAACTTTACATAAATATAGACAACACGTTTTACTTAATTAAATAGACTTTTTAATAAATGTTGTCTCCTACAACATCAGAGTGCAGCGCCACATTAAATACGCACTACAATGACAATAGTTTAAAGCGATTTGAGGGGGGGGGGGTCTGACTTTTTGTGACGCCGTGTGACGAAGGGGGGGGGGGGTCAAAACAAAAATCGTCCAAAATCGCGTGACGTCATTTATGGACGGCCCCTAACCGGCGTGGTTTGCAAGCCCGGTTAAATAACCCCCAATTTCCGACATGACACGTCTAGCCGTGGACTGACGAAGACCTCTATTTTATAGTAACATTATTTGCCGTGTTTTTATTCGAGGCGAATTATTTGGTGCGCTGGTGACGGTCGTTTAAAATGTAAAAAAAAAACCTCAGGCCAAACGAGCGAAATGAGTGGAACCTGTCAATTGAACGGGGCGTTCAAGCCAACACTCGCAGCTGATGAGCTAGTTTTTAAACAATGCTTGTATTTTACATTGTAAGGTAATGTAGTTATAAGGGTTATTATATTGTGTGATATACAATGTCGTGTCGATTGACTGGCAGACATTGTGTAATTCCCATAATTGAATATGGGTAATAAATATCTACAGTTCTATGGCAGGGACAAGTTCACTCGTTTGAAAACACCAGTTTTGACTTTCCTTTCACAAGTGCCTGCAACATCACTAAGTGCTGACGATGTTGGTGGTGTTCGCCTTTGTTCTTCACTGATTTTCAGAGGGGGGCCCATTTTTGCCGAATAAGACGTGTCTGTGTAGGGGCCTCCACACATTTTAAACTATTTGGGATTTGACAGCAAAATGGGGCATTTTCTCATTTGTGTATTGTCAGGTGGCCTCAGTAAAGGCCACCAGGGGTCGCCACTGGCCCGTGGGCCTTCCAATGAGCACGTGCTGACAGTGAACAGGATTGAGGCTGTTTTGTTGTGGTGTAGGCGGGGGTCGCTCACGATGACCGGGTTCAAAGATATCGACGATGTACTTAAACGCAACTCTTCCCGTGACGGTCACCTCGGCGCCTCCTCGCCTCAGCCGCAGGTCAGACACGGCAGGGCAGCAGTACAGCCCAAGCTCACGACACCTTTTGAGAACCTGGGTTCAATCCCAGCCGCAGGCTGGATGTCCCACTTCTGATAAACAGAATAAAAAAAACTGATTCTGAAACCGGCTCGCTTGGGGATTATTTTAAATGCATGTACAGCCCTTCTTGTCAATCCAATTTTGGATGAGGGGCCTTCACATGCCATTCAGCTCGTGCCGGTTATTTGGCTATACTTCACTATGCTGGTCAGTTTTGGTTGGTAAAGGAGGTGGGAGGGGATCATCGATTTGGCTACAAAAAGGTAAAGTCAGCATCACGATCCATTGGCAGATAGTCCACAGGTGTCCACTGCACATTTCGTAATTTGTTTCCACTTTCCTCCTGTCTTCTGCCAATATGCATCAAGTAGTGACCACATCTTTCTGGCACCAATCTATGTCGTCGTCGTCAAGCCATTCTTTGTCAGATCTTCCTCTCTTTCCGGTTTCTTCCATTTTTCCCGAACAACACACTTTTAATATTCCTGTTTTTCTTCATCCTACATACGTGTCCAATAGTGCCAGTTGCCTTCTTATCACTGCCTGCATCAGGTACAGCAATGGATTTTGCTCCACTATCCTTTGATGGCCACCACATAACCCTACAGCCCTATGACAACCTGTTTAGGCATGGTGGTCACTAAAGCACAAGGCAGGCTTAACTCTGCTTATCTTCTAAGATCTGTCGAGTTCAATTACATTTAATGTCATGGATCATAGGCAAGTTTAAACACTGATCCCGAAATCGAATTGATTTCCTGACCTTGAAAACTGTATGTAAAGACGCCTGGGGGAGATGCATGCTTGCAATTTCACTGACGAGTTTCAAGATGCCGAAGGATTCTTGTAAGCTGATCACGATCATCGTTTGCAGGAGGGGTCATTTGTGCTGCTCACAGAAGACCAGACAGATGGAGGATTTCTCATCCATCACTTCCTTTCCTCCTACGTAAAAGGTGGCTGATGGAAGTGTTGCTTCGCTGACGCCTCACTTCACATAAACCGATGCAATATGCTTTTCATATGAATGGTCGTGAATAATTGCTTCTTATATATATTCTTAGCTCTTTCGGTAAAGTCACGTTGAAGGGAAACAATAAAATAATAAAATATATAAAACAATAAAAATTCTCACGACGTTTCGACCATAACACAAACGGTCGTCATCAGGTGTGTCGGTTTGATGACGACCGTTTGTGTTATGGTCGAAACGTCGTGAGAATTTTTATTGTTTTATATATATTTTATTATTTTATTGTTTCCCTTCAACGTGACTTTACCGAAAGAGCTAAGAATATGAATTACTGCAGTCACGAAAGCTTTAAATCAAAATGCTTATATAGTTCATTTTAGAACCGCATTGAATGTTCAATGGCTTTTTGCGTTATTTATTATTTTTGTAAAGCACCCTGGGTTGCTTAGCTTGAAGAGCACTATGTAACAAACTTATCATCATCTGTCTGGGATTTATAAAATGAGTACCACATTGTGGGAGGGCAGCAGTACTCATCTTCTAAAATATTATTGACTCTCATGGGAGAACACGCCTTGCGAGCTCCTTGTGATAATTCCTCGACAGTAATCGTCGATCTGGTGCAGCCACGAGGCCTATGGCCGACCCCTTAGCCTCCTCGACCCATGAGGTTATATCGAACAGAGAACCTGGTGGGCAGGATCAACCAATAATAATTTTGTACATTTAGTGTTCATATAATTATATAGCGCGAAACTATCACGAAGGATGGCACTATGTTTCACAGACATAGTCTGCAGTAGTTTCACAGGAGGAGCTAACGATGCTGTGTGTAATCCCAATTGAATCATCTTGATGGAATGTTTCGAATTTGGACCATGATGTTGGCAAATGGCCTATTCATTTCGAATGACGTCATGGGATTTTTGACATCCACTGTGAAGCAGACTGTTTTTTTTACGGTTATAACACCCAAATTAATAACCAGGGCATCCTCCCAGATTTAAATCACAAACTTCTAAAACAAGCGGCAAATGTGCGACCGCTGGGCCATGTAACAGCCAGAACCAAATTTAACGTGATGGGTTTTTTTGTGCAGTAGAGCCATCAACTCGCAACACTTGAGAACCCAGTTTAACCATAGGCACAGCGGCCTGGATTTGAACCCAGGCTTCGAACCCCAGCGCTCAGATCTATGAGCCATGCAGCTTAATTGCTTGTGTCCTCTTCCTCACAGATGGCTGGAAAGTGTGTTTCATTGCGATGGCTCAATCTTTCCACCACTACGCAACAGTCGCGCAAAAACTGGTGAGTCCTCTTGTTAACCACAACTCAAGGCCCCACATTCACCGCACTCGAAAAACGATTTTAGTCATGGGTGGCTGATACCCCCTGCCTCTACAAACACAGGTTCTCAGCATCGTGTGGTCGATGCTCTACAATGAGTCCATTATCATTGGGAGTCTTAGTGAGCTGACTCAGAACGAGAGAGGTGTTTTTTTCGGGCCACGTGGCTACCTTTCATGAGTTGCACTTGCTCACCCGAGCCACCCTCAAGCAATAAAATGCAATGTGGATTGATATAGTGTTAATTGCTTTGAAAGAGCAAATTAATTGATTAATTGATGCCGTTTTTGATACAGGCATGCATTGTCACCGGATCTGAGTACGTGTGCACAATTTGAATTCATTGGACAACAGGAAGTGGACTAAATTTTGATTACAAGATTTGACCACGACAAACAGGATTCAAGTTAAGTAAAACCGTTGAAAAACATCGGAAAGCTATAAAGCACAACCGCGATAACCAACGTAGCAGTAGTAATCGATGCGTCGTTGCACCTCGACGCTTCGTTTCAACACGAACATTTAGAAATTGTTGCCCCCCTTTGATGTGACCCCTGACCCTGGGGCTGTGTGTCACGAGCAGGGTGTGAACTTGGGCTTGGCGCGGCGCGACGGGCAGCTCGTGGTGCTGGAGGGACTCACCGCGCTACGGGACCTCGCCCTCGACCGAGTAGGGGAGCGTGCCGAGCCGGCCTTCCCCTGCAGTGTCCTGCGGTGAGCGCGATGTAACCGCACCTTGTTCCTCGGTGTTCAGATATCCCGCCTCTCCCTCGGGCTTTGCTTCTTAAACTCGAGTCCCCACGACACACTGCAGCCAGGCCTAAAACCTTAAGATACTAATTGAATCGGTCGGACAGCATTACCTTTTCATCGGCTGCGTAAAGTTGTAATGGAAGCTACTTGGCCAATTTTTCCGTATGGTGCTCCGGATCTTCTCGTCCTTCGTTAATCCCTCTGTTCTCTACGCTTGCAGAGCATGGATCCTTTTAAAGCAACGTCTCCACTGGTTGAAACCTTCAGGCTGGCCTGCCTATGTACCATCCTGGGTTTAACCAAGCTGCATTGTGTGAGGAGCTCAGTTCTTTGAAAGGTCTGAACACAGCCTCATTAGTGAGCTCCTCTGGGCTGTGTTGCCTGGATCATGTAGCCCAGGACCTGTATGCCCAAGCAGCTTCTCTTTAAATGGGTGCAGGCTTGTGGAGGATGCTAGTGGGGAGTTTGGAGGTAGTTAAGCTCCAACAACAATGGAGTGCGGAGGAGTGCTGCTCATGGCAAGGATCGCAGTGCCAGGTGGCACAAATGCAGAGAGGTGGCATCGTGGGGAGCACAGGTGTTGCATCTGTCAATCATCTCAGGCAGACAACCCCGTTTGGGTTGTCTGCCTGAGATGTCTGACCCTGTTTGGGTTGTCTGGCTGAGTCTGCCCCATGACTTGCCAGTGAGATTTCAAAGCTTCACGTAGCTTGACACAAGCACTATGGTGACATCACGGCCACTTTGCTGTGAATGAGGCTGTTGTATGTGTTGTATGTGTGTGCGCGTGCTCAGCCCAGATTCTGAAAGCCTGCGGGATCTCTACACCTCTGTTAAGCACTGTCTGTTGTCTTCGGAGCCCGGGTCCCCGGTTCAACGCCCGGTCCTCATTGTGGACAGCGTGAACTCGCTCTCCACCCTGGGCTTCTCCGTGCCGGCCACGCTCGCATTCCTCCACTACTGCCGCGTGCTGCTCAATCACACACTTCACGTGAGCGCGCCTCTTTAGTTTACTACTTCAGCATCGCCGCAATGTATGAATGGTGAACGGTGTGCAATCTCCTCCACTCCTCCTCGCTTCACTTTGCTCAACAATGCAGTGTTGTGCATTCTCTTCTATTCGCGCACTATCTATTGGTTGCAACTCGCAGAAGGCAGCGAGGCGGTGGTGTTTATTTTATTGTGGTTGCTGTGTTGTTTATTTTGCTGCTATAAATGTCCACATGATGAGCTGCTTCGTTGAGCTATCATTTGCAGCCCGGGTCACTTATGAAAAGAAGCTAATACCCCAGTGGGCTTTACCTCGTAAGATGAAAATAGTTTTATTTTTGATATATATTTAAAAGTGATTTGTTCACCTTTCCTATGCTTTGCACTCCTATCGTTTATTTTGTACTGTTGTTGTAACGTTCTGACCTGCCACGACTGGACTTGTGTGAAAAGAGCTTTATAGCTCATCGGATTTCTCCAATATAAATACATATTCGGATGGATTCCGATTGTTGTATGGTTGTTGTGGTTTCATGGTTGTTGTGGCCACGGCCGTCAGGGTAATGCGGCGCCGGATATAGGCTTTGGCTTACGTCGATGGAGTCGGCCAGCGATTGCACGCGGTTTTACGGTTTCGGTTTTGGGCAATCGTCGTCAGGGTGGCTGCTGTGTGGTCAAAGTAATTCTGCGCGTTTGGTTGTGACAGGGCGATGTGGTGGTGCTTCTCTCGGCGGACTCGGACGTAGACGACGCCGATGGAGTCACACTGCACCGCTCCGTCGCGCACCAGGCCCACACGGAGCTGTGCGCCCAGGCCCTGCCCAGCGGAGCCGCGCGCGACGTCGATGGCCTGGTGCGGTTTCTCGCTCCCCTACAACGCACGTGTGACGGTGTGGTAGGGGGAGGGTTTTGGAGGTGGTGGTGGTGGTGGTGGTGTTAGTGATTGTGCAGGTGATTGTGAAATGTGGTTGAGGTCGTCAGACTTGTCCAGCAGGGCCGTCCAGCAGAGCCGTCCAGCAGAGCCATGCGCGACGTCTCTCGTCTGGTGCAGCTCTTACTCTTCTACGACACAAACTACAGTGGCGAGATTTGAACTACCTCGCCTGGTATACAGGAGGGCGTAGGTTCGATCCCAACCCTGATGCCTGCTGTATATTTGGAGTTTGTTGTGCTTATATCGCTGGTACTGGTGTTTGTGGTGGTGGTGGACCAGCAAGGATATACAAACACCCTTTCTTTGCTGTGGGACGGTCGCACTGTTAGTATGTATGTTTAACTTCTTCCGCACCGTACATAGTCAACCATGCTAATCGAAGGTGCGGGGGATGGACAACACACAAAACGCAGTTATGAAGAAATTAGTTTTCAATTTAGATTTAAAAAGTTCATAGCTCCAGTGACTTCCTCAATTGGAAGGAAGAGCATTCCAGATGACTGCAGAAGCACATCTGAAAGCATGCGATACAGTGACCGTCTTTGTTCAATAGTTAGCCAAAAGCCGCTGAAAGGGTTACCAGAGTTTTCGTGATGGTTTATGCTCCTTTACGAGAATAGCAAGATATTGTGGTTAATTTCTGGCAAGCACTATGTGTGTAATGAGTGCGACCTTATAATGTATGCGTTCAGCAACCGGAAGCCAATGCAGCTCAGCGAACACCAGATGGACATGGTCGGATCTTGCAGTACCCATCACGACACGTGCCAAATAATTTTGTACACGCTGCAGCTTAATGTTTTTGCCAGACGACCTCTCGAGTAGTGAGTTGCAATAATCGAGCCTTGTCGATGTTACGCGCCACGGTGTTGGCTATGTCACGACTTAATATTGACCGAATGTGTCGTAGAGCCCTGATATGAAAATTGTAGGACTATATTTTTGCACGTGGCGATCAAACTACGTAAGCCGAAGCATTGCGGTTCCCTAATAGAGGTTTTTTTTGGGGGTTAAATTGGGTAAATATAAATGTGTGGTTAAAGCCACCACCACCACCACCTGACACAGCCAATTAGTAAGGTTTGTCATGTAAACAAAACATGCCAATTCGTTACTAGTCCAGCACATTGGTGTGTTGAAGAGTAAACCCACAACATTTGCAATTCCCACTTGGTCTCTTTCCAGCTGACAGTGTGGACGCGCTTTCCGGACCAGGCCCTGCCCCACGCCTCTACTCGGAGCCGCTACCGTTACAAACTTCACGATCGAGGACTCACCCTGTCGCCTGCACTCGATTCCTGACGACCGCAGTGGAAAAAGCAGCAGCAGCCATGGTGGTGGCACCGTGGCGGTGGTCGTGTGGGCGGGGTGGCGGTGGTCGTGTGGACGGGGTGACGTCTTGCCTCGACGCACGGGACTTTGTGGAATGGGACACGTCGTTTGTATGTGGGTTATGGAGCCACGTCCTGCTGATGAGTATCGTCAAAGACTATACTACGGCCTAGGATTTATTGTTTTTTCTGCAGAACTCTGATGTTTTCAGGGTGTACCACGTGTTTTTCAGCATGGCGCCCTGCGTTTCGATCCTGCAGAAGCTCCCAAAATGAGGAGCGCAACGTCGGACATCATGTCACAACACTCCAAAGATTAATCAAAGAGCAGTTATCATAGCTTAATTTCAGCCAGAAAATCACGTTCAGTAAACTTCTCACAATACTATCTACATTATCAACAACATTGTACTATAATCTTCACTACCTATGTTATTATCACCATTACTCTCATAATTACTACTATAACCATCATTCCCATCATAAAGTTCAATAACATCACCATTACTATATTCACCATCACTATGTCCATTGTCACCACTATCACTATAAAATCCACCACCATTATTATCACGATCACGAGCATCACCTGCTCTATCACTACTTTTTTCCACTTAACACAGATTTTTGTAGGCAGTATTACGATTCGAAAATTCACGTGGGTTTGACCATGTAATGATCTCCAAATATGTGTTGTGTTGTGAAACCCTCCACCAACCAAACAATTAAAATTGACACATGTATAAGTCTTTGTTACATCAGTTATTGTTTTTGGTCACCAGCAATATGATGGGAAATATTCACGACAAAATGTGACAATAGGCATGATGCTTCATTTGTAAATATGCCAACCATCAAGAAAAATTACATAACTCAAATGTGTCTTGAATGCTGGAAGTTTCCCCCTAATGTTTAGCATATTTCCAAATGAAACATCCTTTTTATTATTACACGCTTTTATTTAACTCACTGTTGTATACTCAACTCTCTGTCGTATCAAATCTTGTAACTCAATTTTAACCCACTTCCCAATGTGGTATCGACTGCAAACTTGGTATACGTATGGCATACTGATGACAATACTATATTATATCATTCAAAATAAAATATTTTTAAGCAATCTTTTTTTATATCTTATGTTTCGGCTTGGGTCTAATTGTCCACGCTCAACTGACGTTGGCTGTAAATCACCACATCCCCTTACGATATGGCAAGCTTCGGGGCCACTTCCTGGAGTCGTGGATTTCTGCCATTACTCGTACGGTACATTTAATTAAAGCGTGTTTAATTTTTTTTTATTATTGCTAAATTTGTCAAAATTACCATTATAATTTACCACCAATACCACCTTCAACACTTGCCACTAGGAAAAAGCATTCCCACTTACACTAAAGCACCATTACGACTTGTAGTCACCACCTCTGCAGTAAACAATTCCATCACCAAAATTCGGATTTATGTTGAACGTCGTTTGCACCGTACGAAGCCAACTGTGCCAATTTGAGGTGCAGGGAAGAAAAAACTAAACGTAAAAAGCAGTTTTGATTTAAAGCTTTCGTGACTGCAGTAATTCATATTCTTAGTTTTTTCGGTAAAGTCACGTTGAAGGGAAACAACAAAATAATAATAATATATATAAAACAATAAAAAATTCTCACGACGTTTCGACCATAACTCAAACGGTCATCTTCAGGTGTGTTTGCATAAATTTATTTTTAAACGGCGCATTTATTTATTTATAAAAAAACGTTAGCGCCACGTGCAACGATTTGGCAGTTTATTTAGGACTAGTCCATCTATATTCTGAAAAGAGGAGGGGGGAGACGAATTTTTTTATATATATAATGTATGCTGTCTGAAAGCCACTGTAAGCGTGAACAATCAATTAAGACCTGAAATGGTTTATCAAATCTTTCCAATGATTGCTAAGATAGAATCCATCTTCTTGGTTGAAATTGTCTCTGTGCTTGTATATGTGGATAGCCTCATGAACGAATCTCTCATGGAAGCCAGATGGTTTACAAAGAACCTCCGTCTTGGAAAAGTCAATGGCATGTGAGCCTACTGAATTAGAACAATGATCTGCCACGGCCGAGGTGTTGGTCCTACCGTGTTTAAGGTCTGCTTTGTGTTCACGAATGCGGTCCGAGACATGGCGTTTGGTTTCTCCAATGTAACTACTACCACAGAGGCAACTTAGTTTGTAGACACCAGGGTATTGTATGTCCAGAATCACATCTTTTACAGACGGAACCAGATCACGGATTTTATGTAATGTGTTGAAACGGACCTGGATCTTGTGTTTATTCAAGATTTTGGAGATCTTTTTTGTGATCCCCGCAATGTAGGGTAAAGTGATGGTTTTGAAAGGCTCCTCAAGAGGGTTCTTCTTCATGGTTTGAGTGATAGCTTTGCGGATTGTATAGTCGGAGTAACCATTAGCCCTAAGAGCTTGGTGTACGTGCTTGAGTTCACTGCTTATGTGTTCCTGGTCGGATATGCATTGGGCTCTATGATACAGAGTCTTGATGAGAGAATTCTTCTGTGATGGATGGTGGTGGGAATCCGGTTTCAGATAAGCATGCGTATGGGTAGCTTTCCTGTAGACAGAGTGGCTCATTGAACCATCAGGTCTCTTTTTAATTAGGAGATCCAAAAAAGGTATCTTGCCATCTATTTCGACTTCCATGGTAAATCTGATGGCTGGGTGTATGGAATTGATGTGGTCGAAGAATTGGTCTAGAGCAGGCCGGCAATGTGGCCAGATGACAATAGTGTCATCCACGTACCTCTTCCATAAGGTTGGGCGCAGAGTGGCAGTCTGGATGGCGTCAGTCTCAAATTTCTCCATGAAAATGTTAGCTATAACTGGAGAAAGGGGGGAGCCCATTGGGGTGCCCTCAGTTTGTTTGTAGAAAGTTCCATTCCAAGTGAAGTATGTATTGGTTAAACAGTGTCTCACCAGGGGGGGTACCTCAATGTTTAGTCCTTGATGAACCAAGTCTTCAATGATTGCAATGGTGTCAGGTACAGGAACCTTGGTGAATAAGGAAACTACATCAAAACTGACAAGCAGGTCGTCTGGGGACAGGGAAATACCCTTGATTGTCGATACCAGGTGAGTAGAATTTTGTACCGCAGAGGTGGTCTTTCCAGTGAAAGGACGCAGGATTTCAGACAAAAAACGAGCTAGTTTGTAGGTGGGGGAGCCGATAGTAGAGACTATGGGACGAAGGGGTGTATCTACTTTATGTATTTTTGGTAAGCCGTATAATCTTGGTGGCCTGGCAGCAGAAGGTTTCAACAAAAACTGTTTAGATTGATCAATTAATGCGGTTGAATCAGAAATTATTTTGTTGGTTTGTGTGACGAGGCTGTTGGTGGGATCTCTTTTTATTTTTGTATAACTACCATCGTCGAGTAATTATTTAATTTTGTTGTATTCTATTTTATCCATGATGACAGTAGCATTGCCTTTGTCAGCTGAGAGGACTACAATATCATTCCTCTTTTTTAATTTATATAATTCAAAACGCTCATCTTTGCTGAGGTTGCTAGCTGGCATCTTAGCGTTTTTGAGGGTTGCAGCGATTTCAGATCTTGCTACGTCTGCAGCGATGTGACCCAGGCCCCTGAGAGCAACATCTACTTGGGCAATTATATCATTAACTGGTATGTGTTTAGGTGTGACTGCAAAGTTTAGACCTTTAGCTAAAACGGATTTCAGACCATCGGAAATAGAACTGTTACTGCGATTAATTACGACTTTGTTAACATCTAACTTTTTGGTGTGTGGGTCCGGTCTTTTGTTGAAGAGGAGGTTAAATTTGGAAATCAGGTTTTCCTTACATTTGGTCGACATAGTAGCAGCTGAAGAGGCAGTCATATTGTCTACATGTTCCTTCTTCGACCACATCAATTCCATACACCCAGCCATCAGATTTACCATGGAAGTCGAAATAGATGGCAAGATACCTTTTTTGGATGTCCTAATTAAAAAGAGACCTGATGGTTCAATGAGCTACTCTGTCTACAGGAAAGCTACCCATACGCATGCTTATCTGAAACCGGATTCCCACCACCATCCATCACAGAAGAATTCTCTCATCAAGACTCTGTATCATAGAGCCCAATGCATATCCGACCAGGAACACATAAGCAGTGAACTCAAGCACGTACACCAAGCTCTTAGGGCTAATGGTTACTCCGACTATACAATCCGCAAAGCTATCACTCAAACCATGAAGAAGAACCCTCTTGAGGAGCCTTTCAAAACCATCACTTTACCCTACATTGCGGGGATCGCAAAAAAGATCTCCAAAATCTTGAATAAACACAAGATCCAGGTCCGTTTCAACACATTACATAAAATCCGTGATCTGGTTCCGTCTGTAAAAGATGTGATTCCGGACATACAATACCCTGGTGTCTACAAACTAAGTTGCCTCTGTGGTAGTAGTTACATTGGAGAAACCAAACCCCATGTCTCGGACCGCATTCGTGAACACAAAGCAGACCTTAAACACGGTAGGACCAACACCTCGGCCGTGGCAGATCATTGTTCTAATTCAGTAGGCTCACATGCCATTGACTTTTCCAAGACAGAGGTTCTTTGTAAGCCATCTGGCTTCCATGAGAGATTCGTTCATGAGGCTATCCACATATACAAGCACAGAGACAATTTCAACCGAGAAGATGGATTCTATCTTAGCAATCATTGGAAAGATTTGATAAACCATTTCAGGTCTTAATTGATTGTTCACGCTTACAGTGGCTTTCAGACAGCATACATTATATATATAAAAAAAAATTCGTCTCCCCCCTCCTCTTTTCAGAATATAGATGGACTAGTCCTAAATAAACTGCCAAATCGTTGCGCGTGGCGCTAACGTTTTTTAAATAAATAAATGCGCCGTTTAAAAATAAATTTATGCAAACCAACACACCTGAAGATGACCGTTTGAGTTATGGTCGAAACGTCGTGAGAATTTTTTATTGTTTTATATATATTTTATTATTTTGTTGTTTCCCTTCAACGTGACTTTACCGAAAAAACTAAGAATATAAAAAGCAGTGTTAATGAAATTAGTTTTCAATCGAGATGATTTAAAAATGCATCGCTCCAGTGGCTTCCTAATATCGGGAGGAAGAACGTTCCAGACTTATGCAGAAGCGTGATACGGCGACCGTCTTCGATAGTTTACCTGGCAGGGTTGAATATTTCTCTTAACACGTGGGAAAACACTGAAACGTGGACAGTCGGCCTATTGAGGAGCTGCAGCTCAAACACAAGTATGGGCTCGATGAGCTGAAGTCACGGAATGATCCAACGGGCTTGTGACATCTGCCTGGATGTGATACATGCCTTGGTTCTGCTGGGGTTGGGAGATTGGGGGAGCGGTGGGTGTGTGTAAAAATATTGTCTATTGTGACATCACTGCCATACTGAATCAAATGACTTTTTGTTTTCAGGAGGGTCCTGCAATTGGGATTTTATTTTAAGGATTTTTTTGCCAATCAACGAGTGTTTTCATGTGGGAGGAAACTGGAGCACCCGGAGAAAACTTACGTGTGCGAGGGGGTAACACTCAACCCTGTAGAGACGGAAACTTGGTGATCGGTCGACTTACTGTACCGCCGTTTCCTGGCGAGGCAGTACGGTAATGGCACCTCGACGCCCACGTGAACATTTGTGCGACCCACCAGCCCTCGCCTCCACAGTAACGGGGTTACGGGCATGCATCGCCACAACCACTCGGCATGTCAGGGCAATGAGCCTCTTACATTCAGGCGCTGGGTTCAAACACGAAGTGGGAATGCCGGTGCTTCCCTCCCAGATGCCGAAGTGTTCGTGATGAGCAGGGCGCGGAGCCACGGTGGCGAGATGTTAACTACCTCGCATGGTACGCGGGAGGTTGTGGGTTCGATCCCGACCCTAGTGCTTGCTGTATATATTTGGAGTTTGCGGTGTCTCTCCCCATGGTCGCGTGGATTTTTGTATCCGGGTCCGATTTTTTTCCCTACATAGTTAGAATCAACACCACGCATTGGAATATTTGTCCGCTAGACACTTCCACATTCTATGCCACTTCGTTGATCTATAATTTGTGGCCAGGTCGCTTCTGAAACCCCCCCCCCCACACCGCCCATCCATCCACCTTACAGCTCAGATCTGTCACCCTCACATTTTCGCTGGGACAAACTTAACGAATGACGGAGAAACGAATGCCATGAAAGATGCCATGCCACCCAATTATGCACTACCCTGCCAAGCCAGAAACATTGACTTCTTCAAGACAGAGGTTCTCTGCAAGCCATCTGACTACCATGAGAGATTCGTTCATGAGGCTATCCACATATACAAACACAGACAATTTCAACCGAGAAGATGGATTCTGGCTTAGCAATAATTGTAAGGATTTGATAAACCATTTCGGGTCTTAATTGATTGTTCACGCTTACGGTGGCTTTCAGACCGCATCCATTATTTTCGTCTCCCCCCTCCTCTTTTCCGAACATGGATGGACTCGTCCATCTGAATAGCCAAGTCGCTCTCCGTGGTGCTAACGTTAAAAACAAAAATAAACCGCAACTTTTTTACAAAAAATGTCTTGCTGTGGTTTTCACACCTGATGATGATTGCTTGTGTTGCAGTCGAAACGTCGTGATAATTTTATTGTTTTATATTTTTATTATTTAATTGTTTCCCTTCTACGTGACTTTACCGAACGAACAAGAATATGAATAAGAAGCTTTCTTCTTCACTCTGCTGTCCGAATATGGAAATTGCCTTCCTGAACACATCGGCAAAATCACCGGTTCTGGTCTTCAAGGCCTGGAATAACTCCTAACTTAACACACCTTTGTAGGGACAGTCTTTGAGCTGCAGTGAACCAATGATTATGCCGATTTAGATGTATTTAATGTCTGATATGGCTATTGTTCACAATTGCACTCACTACAAAAATGTGTCAGGCCTTCAAATGCCGCGCAAACACGGGATATCGCCTAACTTCACTACACGCCTTTGTAGGGACTGAGTCGTTGAGCTGCAGTGAACCAATGATTATGCCGATTTAGATGTATTTAATGTCTGAAATAGCTGTTAAACAATTGCACCCACTACAAAAATGTGTCAGGCCCTCAAATGCCGGGCGCACGCGCTTTTGTAGAGTCTTTCAGCTGCAGCGAACCAATGGTTACGCCTATTCGATATATTTAATGTCTGATATGGCTTTTGTTGACAAAATTGCAAACCAGTGACAAAAAAAATATATGCCCTGTAGAAATGAATGGCGATTTAAAAAATATATATATTGATTTGTGTCGGTCAAAAACTCCGCGGTCCCTAAACTCTCGAATCGCCTCGTCCAGCAGGCGCCACGTGTCAACGAGTTCCGGGCACCCCTTCGCACCGCGCAAACAAAAGTTGTGCATTGAAGATGCATTTACAAAGTAAATAAATTCAAGTAAGCGTCGACGTGGGTGGGAGCAGGCGTCCCATCATTGACGTGCTTCTCGAGAGGGTGAGTAAAAGGAAGCTTTCTAAAAGAAAAAAAACGTAATTTTTAAAGGCGAGGTATTTTTTTTAGGGTAGTTGCGTACTTGCGGTGAATGTATTCACAAGTAGCTGTACAGTGGTGTCACGCAGTCCTTGTGGCGAGGACAATTATCTGGTTGATGTTTTATGTTTGCACGTTCATCACGGTTCCTCGCGAAAGTGTTTTTTTTCTGTTTGGTGTTTTGAACATCTTCTTAACAGCTGTTTTATTGCCAGAAAGGGTTCACCGTCTCGCGTGTGAATGAATTAGCATTGTTAAAAAGTTGAATACGTTGAAATAAAGTCGTGTAGCACGGCGTGCGAGTGAATTGTATGACGCAATGGATTGAATACGGTAAACCAAGGCAGAAGTTCCACGTAACGCCTGCCTCTGCCGCTGGAATGTGGAATTACCATTGTTGGCTTTGGGTCACCGTTAGAGATGAGCAACCCACCCCCTATGTTCACTTGAGTAGCGAGACATTTATCCTTTGGTGAACCAAACTTTTAAACAGCAGTGCCTTAATGCATCCATTGCAACCCCCCACCCCATTTAGTTCACCACAAAGTCCGAACAATTGACTTGGAACACAGTCTCTCTTTGGATCCCACCAGGATATGGCGTGCGCGGTGGCCACCCCGGTGCCGGAGCCTAGCGGGGACTTCCCGGCGTGGCTGGAGGCGCAGGGCGTGAACGCGGAGGTGGCCCGGGCCATGGACTCGGAGCTGGGCATCCGGGACTACGGGGTCCTGCGCGCCTGCGTCGGGGACGGCCTCGTGCGGGCCGAGCTGCTGGCCACGGCGCGCGACCGCCTGCCCTTCGGCTTCTACGCCGTGCTGCGGCAGGTGGTGAAGGCCCTGCGGGGCGCCGAGCCCCACGATGGTTCTGGGATTCCGCGCTGGGACGCCGCCGCCGCCGCTTCCGCCCCCGGCGACGTGACCCTGGGAGGCCTGGTGGAGGTGCTGCTCGCGCTGTTGAGCGGCTTGAGCCGGGAGCTGCTGCTGTCCGCGCGGAGGCTGGGTAACGGGGACGATCGGAAACGCCGAGTGGATTCTTCTTTGTCGGCAGCTCGTGTTACTTCTGAAGATGAGCCAGCAGAAATGGATCAGTTTGAACAAAATGGTAATGCCAAATTGTGTACCCACCTTTTTAGATTTGTTTTGCATCCTACAGTGCTTTTGATTGTGTAATGTTACTTTACAAACTATACATGTAATTGATAATACTACGTCGTACCCCTTGATAATCAGCCAATGATACAGCTGTAATTTATTATACGTTTTAGGGGAAAATGCAGTGGATTTATATATGTAAAATATTATTTATGTTTCCGATGTGGTTTTGGAATGGTGCAGGGGAGTCGGAGGAAACCTTAATTCCAGCCTCGGATGACACCAACTCCACTATCACTGCGGACCAAATTAAATTGGAACCCCTTCAAGGTACAGCTTTTACTTGTTTTAACAATTGTGTCCAGCATTTCTTAGCTACATTTTGTGCCGAAATTATATTGTATCGTTTGTGTCTGGATGTTATTTAGGCCCATTGTTTTTTTCAGGTATGATTTCCAATTCTGTAACCCCTTTGCTATTTCCTCAAGCACTGGAGCAAGGATCAGGAGAGATGGCTTTAAACGAGCTTCATGGTAAGTGCCGATTGCTGAGCTGGGAGCTGCTACTGTCCATACAGAGGCTGTGAGTTGGGGACGGCCAAGGGGTGTGCACTGATGGCTTCACACCTGAAGCTAATTAGGATCGTGATGGAATGAAATCTGATATAAGTTTACGTGTTGAAAATGGTAACTGTTGGGCACAAGTCCATCAAACATGGATAACGAATGTGCCATTGTATTTAAGGTGGCCGTAGGGTTGCGACCTTCCCAGGCTTGACTCAGACGGTCTGGAAATTGGCATCTGTCTTTGGGTGGAGGAATTGATTTGTAGCGAGATCAGGTATATTGCTGAACTTCATCGCGTATACTGCACGGTTTTGAGAGATCTAGGTTGACTGAGAAATGCATCTGGGATTGGTCTGTGGAAAAGCCACCTAGGTGGCTGACTAGGACAGCAGTCAGAATCTTCACCACTGGTTACAGGTACTAAGATGGACTGTTGCATTGTGGGACTAGTAAGTATGGCCTTCATTCAGCAGCAGACAGATCATGGCTTATGATGACGATATCAGCATTGATGGCAGCTGTGTTTTTCATTTTATTTCAGACAAGATGGGAGTGACCTCGGCTTCAGTCGCAGACGACTCGATGGTGCAGATAAAAACGGAGGCCCCAGAAGGTAAAGTGTCCACATACATTCATCACAAATGGGCATTCACAGATGAACAGTAGACTTGGAAGTAGCCGATCAAGCACGTTATTATGGTACTCCAGTGACATCACTGTGTAATCTGTTGCTAGAACGCTATGACGGAGCGCCTGAACTTCATGGTTAAGCCTTTTTTGCCTCTTCTTTGGTTCTTTCGGTAAAGTCACGTAGAATGAGAATAAAATAATAAAATAAGACAATAAAATTCTCACGACGTTTCTTTAATGATCTTTAATGAAGCTTTAAACTTGGACCACAGTTAATCCTAGGCACGTAGCTTCTGGGACCGTAGCAAAACTGGAACATTATTAAAAAGTTGACAAATAAAGAGGTGGCCAAGTGGCCTTTTAAAGGTCAGTACTAAGCTGGCACAGTTGGGAGCCTGAGTTTAAATACAGGCAGCTGCCTGTATTTAAACCGGTTTCTTAATTATAGTCAATTGAAAGTCTCAGCTTGGTCACCGATGATTGCACACTCAATAAAAACATTACACCAAATATAGTTCTGCACATGTTCTCAGTAGGAGGATCTGTGAACAATTTGGTGACTTAGAGGGCACCATTGAGGTATCTGCTCAAGTGACTCATTATCAGCAGAGGGCAGTGCAGAAACATCCATTGTATGGTCCTGTACAGTACTCCAACGTCTTTGCTCACTACCTTCAACTTGCACTTACCAGCGTGGCAAAGTACGGCCAAATAGCTCCCATGTCTCGCACGGTATGGGTGCTCACTGATCAAGGCAGTGGATCGACAAAGGGTTGTAATCCACGTGTAGCTAATCTGACTTATGTTCACCTAAATTCACACTGATGATCGGATTGATCGCACGGCGGTTGTCGTTTTACGATTGCCATGGCCACCGTTCCGTTGCAGCAGAAGAGGCATTGGTGTCAACGCACGGAGACGTACATTTGAGCGACCGTGCCAAGTGCGAGGAGACGGGGGCCAGAGACTCTGTGGCCATTCCTGCCCTAGAGCAGCTAGGTGAGGAGCAATGGGGAGGGAAGATGGGGGCGAGAGGGGAAAGTGAGAGGAAGTCAAATTGAATAATAATTTCATTTATATAGCGTCAACATTGTAAAGATTTTAATGGTGCTTGCAGATTAATTCGTTTGAACTCTTGAGACTAATCAAGAGTCGCGATGGACTGTCCACTCAAAAGCGGTAACCCCAAGCCTAATTTGAGTTCCAGACGGGGCATATATGAAACTTCACTCAGCTGTGACGGCATTAGTTTTCATCACTTCCATTGATGGCGTGGCAGATGAATACAGCACACAAGGAATACAAACCTTTAGCCTGTCAACTGAGGTATGATGGATTTCTGGATGACCTGATTTTGTAAGTCAGAAGTGGCAGTTTAGAGTCTGCAAATGTAACTATTTCCAAAGATATAGAGTTAACGTCTTGTAATTGTGTATTTTTTGCATAAATCAAAAATTATTGCTTGCACACGTTATTTGACACATGCTTCGTAAGTGTAAAGATCAATCTAACTAAATGTATCCATTAATTGTCAAAGATTCGGGGACACAATTCAAGCATCGATTATTTTCATCTTGCTTTTACGGTCTCAATTATACAGCTCCATAAGATCAAAAAGCATCGTTTCTTTGACACATGATTTTATATGGGTTTCGTGAGTGCACAAATCTATTTTTAATCAATGAATTGATGAATTGTGACATGCCTCGGGCAGAATGAGGGTGGACGATGGCGAGGAGAAAGGCGTGGATTAGGATTTGTGCTTGAAAGTGCATTGGTGCCCCATCCTTATAGTGTCTTGAGATCCGATCATATTGAGATGCTTTACAAACCAATTTTTTTTACTCTGAAGTGAGACTTGTGGAAGCATACGATGCATTCATTTCATTTTTTCTTTTTTATATCTCCCTTGTATTCCTTTTTGCCAGTCGACGCATGTCAGACAGGAACATAAAATAGAGTGTGATCCAAGATTGATAATTGTACTAGGAACCGCATCATTATCGATGTGTTGAATAGTTGCATTTCATAGTTACACAGCAAGTGGCGATCCTGTGTTTATCTGCCACTTTACAATAATTCGGATTTTTCTGATGTACAAACACGATCTTCTTCTTCTCAGACGAGGAGACTGTTGAGCCCTCTTCGGGTTTCATCATCCGTCTCGTGATGCCGATGCAAGTCGGCAGTCAAGTCGTAACCTCATCATCCCCACACGACGGAACCACACAAGGTCTGTCTGCTGGCAGCCACGTTTCCAGGACAGTTCCGCCAACGACAGCGACGATAACACCGCCGGTAACAACGGCGGTCACCGCAATGACCGGCAGCGGCATTCGTATTGACCGCTGCTTCGCGGAAATGAAACCAGACATGCAGGAGCAGTCCGCTCAGCCCAGAGCTTCGATCATCGCGCAACAGCCAGCCGCGCCCACCAGAGGCAACAAGCTGTACTTCTGCAACCTGTGCGGCCAGGGTTTCACACAGAACGCCATGCTCAACGTCCACCTGCACAAGCACACGTGCGAAAAGCTCTACATATGCGCCATGTGCGGCCGAGGCTTTTCCAGCAGCACCAACCTGAACATCCATGAGCGGACCCACACAGGCGAGAAGCCATACCGCTGCGGAGTGTGCGGCCAGGCGTTCACGCAGCCCAACAGCCTCAAACGACATCAGCGCATGCACACCGGCGAGAAGCCATACCGCTGCGGAGTATGCGGCCAGGCGTTCACGAGCAAGCCCAACATGATATACCACCAAGGCAAGCACCTGAGCTAGACACCGCCACAACCTCTGCCACCGCAGTGATGCACGGTTGTGCATTGGTGCTGGTGCGTACCTTCAAACACGAAATGGGTTGTGTGTGACCCTCGGTATTAATACTGAGACACGGGAACTTCCACATCACTACAGGGGTGCTGCCCTATGCAAACTTTCCTTGGTTAAAACCTCTATCCTCGCTGTTCTATTTTCCAATTTGATCTGCTGTTGGTAAATTCATCAAGATTTGATTGCATTTAGATACTATGTACATTGAAATTGTCATTTGCACTGCCTTTTTGGAAATGGCTGTGGTGGCGTGCATATAGTCCAAATATATTAATGAAATCATGTTTGGACATTGCAAAAACTGGATTTTTTTCAGAAAGTTGAAAAAAAAGTTATTTTTCTACATACCATGTTTCCTAGGATTTAGGGTATAGGAGTAAATGTCAGGGACAAGTATTCTAATCGATTAAGATTTATTCGACAATTTTATAGCACGAGTTATTTGTCAAATTATAAATCGTTGTTACAAACGTTCACAAGGAAAGTCATACATTGCTTCTCCCTAAATTATCTTTCAAACCACTTTCTTTGGCCAATGGTTTGGAAAAAAATCCCTTCATAAAAAAATCATTAATGGTTGCCGTTATCCTGAACTACAGTAATTTACATAGTTTGCAACCCTTTGTAAATCAATTGCTGAATTAGGGCTTCCCCACGCTGTATCAGGCAGGTTAGGTTGGCACAGGAGGTGAAGGTCCCAGGACGGGTTCAGTTATCACTCGCCACTAATGCTGGCCATGGCCGAGGATCGGAACTCGGGTCGCCAAGTTTAAAAGACATGGTGCCAAACACTGCACCCCATGTATTCCTCCAACCAGCAGGGCCAAATGCAAGATCACCTGCCTTTGCCACCACACTTCCTACTTTTGGTTCTCCACCATATCTTCACTCCAGTCACCCTACACTACAGCTCCACAGTAGAACTCCCCATAGTGCCACTCATAACCTCCTCTCTATACCAAGGACTAGGGCCGTCGATGCCAGGCATCGTTTCTCCGTGGCAGCCCCCGCCGTCTGAAACACCATTTCTGCTACACATTCGCAGCACATCTACTGGTTAGAAACACTTTAAAGGTCCCACGTCTATTGCCTGGCTTTAGTCACATGTAGCTTGGCTCCGCGCCTCAGTCACTCATGTCTGTAAAATATTGTGCGCAGTATAAATTGGGTTATTTATACATTTATTTCAATTCCAATAGCAACAATTTTCATGATTACAACGATTTGCCATGATTCTGTTCCACTTTACATTACCATTCTGATCTCAACAGCAAATATTTTACGATTGTCATAAGTTAGAAAAATAAAACTCGTCAACCAGATTCTAGATTTTTAAAAAATCCACATTGGATTAAAAGAAATGCAACCAAAAGTTAATTTGGAGGCATTCCAAGGCTTTGTTTCGGGACTGAGCTTTATTAGACACTAAGGTGTCACTGCTGTACCATTTAACAAATTTTCATCAAGGCAACTTCATGCTGGGAGCATGAGCACCATTCACAGATTTTGTACGAATTTGTCTCTACTGCAAAGTGAATTGCTTTCATTTCAACTGGCATTGTCCTGTAACTGCCCCTGTGACTGATAGTCTTGGGCTGGTTATCCTTTTAACAGAGCTGCTTTTGTTAGTGGGCCTTGCCAGCTGAAATAAAGTCCTGAACAGCCAGAAAAAAAAAAAGCCCTGATTCACATTTTATGCCTGGCTGTGGTTTAGTTGTGCCAAGCAGAATGCTAGTCTACCAGATAAACATGCCCCGCCTGCTGACATGCATCACATGATTGGACTTACTTTTACTGGTATCAATTCAGTGTGGCTGTATACAACGCAGGGTTGTCATAAGAAAATTACATCTGCACACAGGGAGACCCGTGTCTCTGTCAATCTTTCTCCGCAGCATTTCACGGGACGCTGCGCACAGAACCCACTACATGCACACCTGTCCACCAGACCATTGTGCCAAGAGTTGGCATCACTGCGGCAGCGCCATTTCCTCGTGCTTGCTTCGATGGTACTTCATGTTGCGCTTGTTCGTGAAGGCCTGTCCACATACATCACAGTGATAGGGCTTCTCACCCGTGTGCGTGCGCTGGTGCCGCTTGAGGCTGCTGAGATGCGAGAAGGTCTGCGCGCATACGCTGCAGCAATACGGCTTCTCAACCATGTGTGTCCGCTCGTGGACATTCAGGCTGCTACTGTTTGAGAAGCACCTGCCGCACGTGACGCAGCGGAATGGCCTCGTGGCCATGTGCGTGCGCAGGTGCACGTTGAGGTGGGCTTCCGATGTGAAGGTTTGTACGCACATCTTGCAAGAGTAGGGCCTCTCCTCACCCCACTGAATGACCCCCTGACCACCACTCGCCGCCGCCATCAGAGGGTGGTATTGGGGTATTGGCATCATTTGAGGCCCCACGGTTTCCCGGCCTATGCCCGCCCATGTCTCCTCACCAGCCTCCGGCATCTGCAGCGATGTGTGAGAGATGCAGCCCATGGTCGTATTCATGGACTGGAAGTCAAGATCTGAAGGTCGTTCCATTGATGGCACATGTCTGTGTTTATCATGAGGGAGATACACAATGAACAAAGTTATTTTTTATTTAACTTGATGAAAGTTGAGGCAGCAGATGATAAGCTTGTGCCGATGCATCTCCGATGGTGTTGTTACGAGCTGCATTAAAATGGCGTCATTCCAAATAGCCTAAGGCCAAAATCACCTAGAGTGTGTGCAGTATCTTAAGATAGCCAACCACTTTGTACGACTGGCCAAAATGTGAGTACTGCCCCATGTTCCTTTAAATATAAAAAACACAACTTTTTTTTAGCTGGCCGGGTGGCTCAGAGGTTAGATAAATGAGCCGACATCAACTGAAATCCTGGATTTGAATCATATCTTAGCCACCAACTATTAATTGGCTTCTCGTGGCCAGTGAGATGATCGCCTCAAGCCAGGTCATCAATGGCATGAAAAAATAAACATGTTAAAAAGTTTCACACCAAAATTTATTTTTGTTCCACTTTTTGTAAATGCCACATTTAGATTTAACTGATATTGCAATGAACAAGCTTTGCAGGGCTATCAAATATGTGCCTATAGTGTGGATAAGAGACCTAGTGAAGTGATTTCAGAAGTTGTTTCTGCGACATCATCTTCCAGGCTATACTCTAACACATGGCAATGTGTACTGCTCACTGCCCGTGTTCCAAATATTATATATATATTTTTTATCGAATGTTGCCAGCGAGAATAATTGGAGTATAAGCTGGGATAAAAGTGAAGAACAAAAAACATTTTAACTTTTTGTCAAAATCTATATTTCAAATGGGATTGTTTCTTACCATCTGGTCTTCCAATTTTATTTGTGGCAACGCTTGGTTTGGACTGGAGTCTTCGGAAACCAAAGCTGCAACTTCTCCCGTGTATTCTGCGAAGAGCCACGTGTTCACAAATGGTTATTTAACGGAATGCACAATGATTTGGCATTTGCTCCTCACTGTCGACTGAGATGCATTGCGCATTAAAAGCATTCTGTCCACTTGTGAGATGTGTATGATGACCGAATTGTTGAATACCGATCTTGCGCAACTGTCGGTTACCTTTATTTTACCAAGTGAGAAACCACGAAGACTGCAATTATTATTTACAAGGGAAACGTGAGAAACAAAATACTTTTAAGCACCGAGCCAGTTATAGTGTGTATACATATGTGAATTGTGTTATGCATGTACACAGTGTAGCATACGTGTAGTGTCGTGGCTTTTTGTATAGAAGGCTCCGCGCGGCCTCGAGCCATGACAGTTATGTCCAGGAAATATTGGGAGCATTATAAATTGCATTATTATTGTTATAAAGTAAGGTCAATAAGGTCATCCAGGAGGTTCTTGGGACAAGAGCTGGATTTATAGCCGAGTAGTTTATGATTACAGTAGATTATTTCCCCCCCCCCCCTCCACTCCCGCATCCCACTTGCTATAGGCATTGTCTATGGTTTACCTTATTAAAGTCATGATCAACTGCATTGACTGGAGGGGGATATGTTACTGGAGTTTATAAAAATTTTTAACCAAGTGAGAACTCAAGACAAGGAGAGTCATTTGCAGATTGACATCAGAATCTTTAGACTGGAGGAATCTCTCTTTTTCACAGACGTCAAGCACAGCAGCAGACATGGCTGTGAACTGTGAGCACCAGAGATGCTCCTACATTGTGGTAATCGGCAAGACTTGAAACCACAGCATATGGCCATGATGCAAAGCTTGCTTGGACCAGAAGACAGACAAATTCAAAAGCAGAGATGAGGCATCTTCAGGTAAAAAAAACTATTCGGTTGCTTGGCTGGGCTCCTGAGCTATATGTATTTTGAGAGAGAGTCGTGGTAGATGCACCTCGACTCGCCACAAGTGCCGTGGTGACGTTGCCACCACTTAGTGGTGAATGGCAGCTGCCATTGTGAGTGGTAGATGCAAAAAAATCACTTCCCACGAGTGTTTAACTATTTGTATTGGCTAAGTTGTCGCTTGGAGTGTTGCAACCTGCTGTCATGCACTGTCATACCTGATGGCAAGATTACACCATGACGATAGCATGTGTGTAATATACCATGTGTGTATATAATGTATTGTGACGATATCATAATTTGTTTAATCGTGTTGAAGGTGTGTCGCAAAGTGCAGTGACTGATTCAGTGAATGGGTCGAGACTGTCAAACTAGCCACGTGGGGATCATAGGTTATGAAACGACAGGTTGTTAGCTCTCGTATAAACCCATGTCTCCATGTTAAAAACAAGAGTTTTAGTCTCAATGGGCTCTCATTTTGTTATATATATAAATAAAGAACATTTACATATTGGTGTATGTGTGTGTACTTTAATTTGCGAGTGTTGCCATCCCATCATGGAGTTGTCCTTTAACCTGGCAAAGGGTGAAGCTGGGGCTGGAATCTACATCTGGGATCTGGACTGTCAACTCATCTGACCGGTCCATTGTCTTGGGTTCCAAATTCCTTATGGAATAACTGTGCACAATGCATTTGATTTGCTATTTGCATGGCGCTGTGCCCTATTTTATAAAATATAGGGCTGTAAATCACGTGCTACAAGACCTGCAACTTACTCAGCTGGTGAGATCTGGCGGTACAGCAAGTGGACTCTGGACTCATATCCGTAAAATGTTGAGGATTATTCACTTGTACTCATGGGGTTTTTTTTGGATGCTCTAATTTCTTTCCACGTTACGAAAGAACTGGCCAAACGTGAACAAGAAGGACTCGGTGAGGCTTTCCCATGTACATGAAATGAGTATTAAAAGTAGATTGGTCCCTGCCATAGTGTAAAAAGTATCCACTGACTTGGACAAAATTTGTCACTATGTGACCTCTGCAAAACATTACCAAGTGGTCTCATCTCTGTCAAACAGTCGTCAAACATATAATCCCTGGAGGGTTTTAGAGCATTACCTCCTTGCAGCAGGTGCTCACTGTGTGTGGATAATTCATTCCTCTCCTCTGAGGGCAGCTCTTCATTGACTGCCAGGTTCTTGTATTCAACATCCGCCGTAGATGGAGTGCAGTCAGCAACGCAAATTTCAGGGTTCTCCATGGCTCCCAGCCTCTGCACAGATAGCAGCAGCTCTCGGCTCAAGCCGCTGAACAGCGCGAGCAGCACGTCCACCAGGCCTCCCAGCGTCCACGTCGCCAGGAGAGGATGCGGGGTCGTGGGGCTCGGTGCCCTGCAGGGGCCTTCACCACCTGCCGCAGCACGGCATAGAAGCCGAAGGGCAGGCGGTCGCGCGCCGTGGCCACAGCTCGGCCCGCACGAGGCCGTCCCTGATGCAGGCGCGCAGGACCCCGTAGTCCCGGATGCCCAGCTCCGAGTTCATGGCCTGGGCCACCTCCTCATTTACGCCCTGGGCCTCCAGCCATGCTGGGAAGTCACTGCTCGGCTCCAGCACCGGGGTGGTCACTGTGTACGCCATTCTGATGGGATGTAGTGGGGCAGTTCCAACAAGAAAAATACATGTAATGTCTCGGGTAATTATTTATTTTAACCATCCCGTTTGGGAAATGCCATGAGATTCCAGATTTTGCTTAAGTGACCAACAGACTCTGGTTTAGGTTAGTCTGTGCTGTAATCGAGCGAATTAGAGTTGGGACTATCGACCAACTACTTGACTATATTTTCATCTGCTACGTTTTTGTAGTCAATTACTCAGGCACGTTTAACAATGGCAGCTGTCCCCACATTCTGTGTTCCAAAGGCAGAATACCCCTACAAGCCAAATCCAGTGTTGCACGGCTCGTTATGCCAAGCCAACACACGTGGGAACAGAGGGGGATATTTTTTACCCCAATTGCTATGTGATTATTCGGATAATCAAACCTAAATCAGTAATGGAATCTTCCAATAAGCCAGCCGATACTCAGCTATAGACTGAATTGGGCCCGAGCTGTGGATACAATGATTTGGGGATGCTGGAAATGTTACTCTACGCTTGGTTAGAATCGACTCAATCTTTCTTAGTCACGAATGTGTGATGGGAACCATTAGGGGGAGGCGAGGCAATAAAGTGATTGGGGGTGTGGATGATCGGTTACACTATTTAAGGGAAGAGAACGAGTTGAGGTCCTATCTTTATCTGGCTTTCTACCTTCTGCCTGATCCCGCTGCTGCTTCACAGTCGATAAGCAACATAAAAAACATCTGCCCTAACAGTATCTGGCCTTGGTCGCTGGACTCTTTGGCTTTGCCAGTGTCTTCACTAATTTTTAGAGGTGGTGGGTAGGGGCACTTTCGCCGATAAGACATCAGTGTGAGGGGTCGCCGCACATGTGAAACCATTGTGTTTGATAGCACGCATGCTGGGCTGTTTTCACGTTTGTATATTATAGGGGGTTGGGGGGGGGGCGCACTTGAGGCCACCAGTGGTCCTGCGGGCCTTGCAATGAAGAGCACTGTTCTATGCGGTACTTTGAGCGTACACCAAGAGTGACCATTGTCTTGGTGCGGTGAAAAAGTGTTTCATTGAACCGAATGTTACAGCATAACAGGGCCGCAGAGCGTGAAATGTTCTCACTGCACGTTTTCCACTTACTGTCTGTTCTGCACGCGAAACTACAAGCTGGCAATACGGTCCATTAACGGGGGGGGGGGGGGGCTCAATTTTGTTTGGGAGGTCACCGAGGCCTGGTGTCCTTGTATGCAAAACACATCGGATATAAATTAGGTAGAGTTGCAACCCTGCAATTGCCCTTGCTCACACCACCGCTAGCAGAAGGGCTTCCACTACACGGAGCTCCTCCACTCTGGCGCAGACGTTTTCTCAAGAGGCCAGGTACCTGAATTATTATTCAAATCGAGGAATCCGATAAGCTTACAGGGGTATGTTTTCACAGACGGTCCAGTAAGGTCGGCGTGCCCACACTTGACCCCCATCACACGCGAACCCATCCGTAGCTCGGGGCGTGGGTCCACATTCATAATGCACCGCTGGGTGGACAGAGGCGGTGGGTGGGGGAGGGGATGAATGTGTTTCGGAAAGGTCACCTCTTGTTCAATAGCCGCAGCCGGGTGTTTGAACCTTGATGGCGAGTTCGGCGACCTTAACCTTACGCGGCGACGACGACGATGATGATGAAGATGTATTCTGCATCACACGACGTCAAATGACACCAATCGACCGCCGATCACTTTGCACGAGTCACGTACGGTTCTATTGTAAATCCACGGGAGCATATGCAAGTCCACCACCACCACCACACCAAGCCCCGACGACAGTCCGTAAACAACCACCGGCGTGATTATCCCAGGCTCGAACCTGTCTGGCTTCAGGTTCCCATCAATCCACGCGAGATTTGTCAGCGGCGCGCGTGCGCTGCGCACCGTAAGCAGGCGCGTTGGGCAACAAGGGCACACACGCGCGCGCGCGCGCGCGCTGATCAAAACGAATTAAGCCGCCCTGTAAATAGGTTTACGTGTTTTTGTTCTTAAAATAATAAAATATATAAACATAATAATAATAATAAAAAAATATATAAAATCAGACGCGAGTGAGAGGAAAAAAAAATCGCTTACCTCGTGGAAGAACTTTTTGGGGTTAATAAAGAAAAGTGGTGTAAATATTTGTTGTTGTTGCTGCTGCTGCTGCTGCGGTAGTTTCCAACGCAATATAACAGTAATATATAAAGCCCCTTAAAGGGACCCCAAAGCCTGACTGCCCCTCGCCTCCTCGCCTCGTCGACAGAGGCGCGCCGCGACGACGACGGCTCGGATTCCCATTGGTGGACCGCGGCGCGCGACGTCATCGTGGCGCGGTCGCGAAGAGCGCGCCACCTTGCCTGGGGGTTGGTTGGAGGTTGGTGGGGAAGGGGGTGGGGGGGGAAGTATTGCGGGGGGGTGGGGGGGGGGGTTAAGGCGAGGGAGGTGGGGGGAGGGGGGGATGGAGGCGGGGGGTGCGGGGGGGGGGGGGGGGTGGAGGCGGAGGGGGGGGGCAGGAGGGGGGGGGGTGGCGGCGGAGGGGGGGGTGGAGGCGGGAGGGGGGGGCAGCAGGGAGGGGGGGAGGGGGGGCAGAGGGGGGGGGGGGTGGAGGTGGGGGCGGAGGGGGGGTGGAGGCGGGGGGGATGGAGGCGGAGGGGGGGCAGAGGGGGGGTGGAGGCGGAGGGGGGGGGGTGGAGGCGGAGGGGGGTGGAGCGGAGGGGGGGCAGAGGGGGGGGCAGAGGGGGGGGTGGAGGCGGAGGGGGGTGGAGGGGGGGGGATGGAGGCGGAGGGGGGGCAGAGGGGGGTGGAGGCGGGGGGGGGGGTGGAGGCGGAGGGGGGGGGGCAGAGGGGGGGGATGGAGGCGGAGGGGGGGCAGAGGGGGGGGTGGAGGCGGGGGGGGATGGAGGCGGAGGGGGGGGCAGAGGGGGGGGGGGAGGCGGAGGGGGGTGGAGGGGAGGGGGGCAGAGGGGGGGCAGAGGGGGGTGGAGGGGGAGGTGGAGGCGGGGGGGGATGGAGGCGGAGGGGGGGATGGAGGCGGAGGGGTTTAAGGGGGGGGGGGGGGGGATAGAGGCGGTGGAGGATGGAGGCGAGGAGGGGGGGCAAGATGAACAGTTGCATTATGTGCCATTAAAAAGGGCCATTGTCCGAAACGTCACCTATTATATATTTTTTTCCGTTATATATTTTCCATTCAGGTTACAGTATTATTTACCAATGTGTTAATTTTATGTTAATTGTGCTTATGGGTTCGATCCCAAACCTCACGCCTGCTGTAGATTTGGGGTTTGCATCTCTCTCTCCCCGTGATCGCGTGGATTTTTTTCCGGGTCCTTCGGTTTTCCTCTCCACATTTAGAATCAACATCACGCGTTTAGAGTATTTGGCGACTGCGATACATTTCCACGTGATAAGCCACTTCGTTTTGCTAACGTTTGTGGCCAGATCGCTTCTAAAAAAAAGAGCTCTATGGCTAAGTGGGTCTTACCTGGTAAAATAAAAAAAACAGTTTCATAGTTTAAAAAAAGATTATTTAGGTAATGCCAATAAAAAAAAACCCCACTGCTCTCCAATGTTGGGTGACTCTTATGAGGCAGTCCCATCACAAGGGAGAAACTCAAAACAAATAGACAATATATTCTTGGTTCTTTCGGTAAAGTCACGTTGAAGGGAAACAATAAAATAATAAATTATATATAAAACAATAAAAATTCTCACGACGTTTCGACTGTAACACAAGCAGTCATCATCAGGTGTGAAAACCAACGGCAGGAAACATTTGAAAGAAGTGGCGGTTACTTTTTTTTGCCCGTATTGGAACAGCTGTATGGACATGAAAACTTAATTACCTGTTACAAGAATACGGGTAAACCGTATGGGTTGACAGCTTTTGGGATGTGAGCATCTGCCTGCTGATGATCTGATGCGATTGATGGTCACACGAGCATCTACGATGAGGAATTTCAAAGCCAGGAGCTGTGCGATGGTTATTTGGGTCTCGAATTAAGGCAGTGTTATCTACGAATGTGGTGATTTGTCTTGTTTGTTGATAGTTTTTTTTTACGCGCGGCACTGCCAACGCTGCAGCATAAAAAAAACAATTACAAGAGGCCCTTTAAGAATATCGCGGGGCTTACGTTCATGGGAAGTGCCGCTTAAGTCTTATCTAAATTAGTGGGTTTATGTCATCATCATCGTCGTCACGATCCATGGGCAGATAGTCGATTCCCCGCGATGGGTCGAAACCGCGAACGACGCACCCGCAATATTCAAAGGCCACCCCCTAGGGGCCGTCCATAAATGACGTCACGCACCTAGGAGGGGGGGGGATCAGATATTGTGACGATGTATGACGAGGGGGGGGGGGTTGAGAAATGTGACGTCACATCAAAATGCGCAACTTTAAATAAATTTCGACAACACGTTCTACTTAATTAAATAGACTTTTAAAATAAATGTTTTCTCCTACAACATCAGAGTGCAGCGCCACATTAAATACGCACTACAATATATATTATATATATTTTATTATTTTATTGTTTCCCTTCAACGTGACTTTACCGAAAGAACCAAGAATATGAATTACTGCAGTAACGAAAGCTTTAAATAAAAATTTACGCACTACAATGACAATAGTTTAAAGCGATTTGAAGCATGTTTTTTGGGGGGGGGGCAGAGCTTGTGACGTCATATTTGAGGGGGGTTTGACTTTTTGTGACGCCGTGTGACGAAGGGGGGGGGGGTCAAAAATCGTCCAAAATCGCGTGACGTCATTTATGGACGGCCCCCTACAGTAAAACACTGTTGCGGTGGCGTGGGTGGCGTGGTTAATTTTTTTTAAAAAAAAGTAAATTGCCACGGTCCCTTGGTATCGAATTCAATAGTAGTAGTAGGAGGAGGAAGAGACGGCGGGTGTCATCATCACCGCGACCCCTGACCCGACCAGGGGGGGGTGGGGGGGGAGTTTGACCGAGCCTCCTTCTCCTTCTGTTGCCCCCCGTCCAGCCGCCGGGCGACTCGAGACGGCAGCGTGAGGAAGGACGCCGAGGAGGTGGTGGGTTGGTGGTGGTGGTGGAGACTTTCTTCCTCTTCAGTTCAACGTTTCTCGGGAAGGATCAGCTGTTGGCTGGTGGTTGGTGGCGGCGGTGGTTGGTGGTGGCGAGGCCACGGCTTTGGTGGTTTCCACTCCATCGACCCACCCACCCACCCATTACAATTTTTTTTCTCAATCCCAGAGTTATCGTGGCAGGCACCGCTATATCGGCTCCCGAAAGTCCTTCACCTACCCGTAGGTAAGATTGTTAATGGCATCCGCCTCGATGTTGGGGGGTAAAAAAAAGTCTTAATCGCGGCGTTGTGTGTGTGTGTGAGGGAGGGGTAAGGCTGTGTGACGTGATAGCAGCGTTATTACAGCAACAACAACAACAACCCTCTCGCTCAGTCTCCCATGATCATCATCGTCCGCTATGGCTCCATCCACTGCTGGATGAAGCGGGCGGATGGCCACACATCTCTACGATGCTGCGACGTTGTAACTAACAATCTCCCCACCACCGCCCCGTCCACCCCGACCACCTTACCCCCCCCCCCCCCCCCACGACATCTTGCACACACATTGCGGTTTTAAAATTTTTATTAAAACGAAGGCGACTTAATTGCAACGACGAATTAACGGGTTTGAAATCGGCCCCCGAGGGCGTTTCCTTGTGAGATGGATATCGCGTGCGCGATTGCGTCCGTCGGTCAACCCGTGCCCAGTTACGTTCGTCGTTCGAAGACGTTGATAATAAACCTATAGGCGACTTGGGCAATGCTGATGGAAGGTTATGAAATCGGGTTAGGTCGCCGTTTTGATCGCGATATCGCGAGGCCTTTTCCTTTGATGGCGACGCTCTCGAAGAAGGGGACAAGGTCCCTTTGTACCGCAGCAGTGGATTGATCATGGCTGGTGATGATGGTTTGTAAATGTACACGGCGGCAGCAGCGGCAGCATTGCTAATCAGCTCTGCGGCTTATTGACGAGCTCCCGCTGGTGTGCCCCTCATTTCAAAGTCAAGTGAGTCGTGCTGTCTCCTTGCCTCCACCGCGGTCGTTAAATCTTCCAAAGTTTCTCGCAATTTTTGTGCGTGTCATTTCCGCGTATAGGTCCGTTCGTTATTTCCCATCGTGTCTGTCGTTTCGTCATGTAGGTCCGTCTGGGCTCCTGTTTGTCATGTCAGTCTACCGGGACATCTGTGAAAAAGAGCTTTATAGCTCATCCGAATGCCTCCCAGGACAAATTAAGATTCTGATACTGTCAGTCGGTTTGGCCTGTCTGTTCGTCAGTCCGCCGTGGTCGTCTGTCCGGCTGTCTATTTGAACCGCTCTTATTTGCGGAACCCACCGTCTATCATCACACCTGGTTACAACTTGCGGGGGGGGGGGTTGTTTTAAAAGTGTTGCTGACAACAGCTTGGCACTTTCAGAATCCCGTTGCTGATTGTGATTACATACATGTCAACTCATATGGGTTTACCCGTATTCTTCTTGTACAGGGAAATTGAGTTTTCAGGTCCACATGGCTTGGCGCCATTTCAATACGGGCAAAAAAATAATGCGTTGTGTATTTGTGTTTCTCCCTTGGCATGGGACTTTGTAGGATGAACGTTGAGATTTATAAGGGCACGGGGTGAGTGGGTGACCGATACGGTCTGAATTTGTCTGTAATAAGGTAGACACTGATAAGGGGTTGACAGGTATGTGATTTAGATTCACACAGTATTATTCATTTTCCAGAAGAATGCATAAACAAATTGCACAGCTCTTATGCACACTACTTATTGTGTCCACTGCTGGTGTATCCTGTTGCTAGTTATTATTCTTGTAATTTTGTGTTGCCTTCACGCGGATAATGAAATGATTCTCCTGTTTCCTCATATCCGCAGGCAAATACGGATCGAGTCAGGGGTGCATCTAATTTGAAGGGCAGATAGGATAAGTTTCACTCTCATTGGCAAACGAGAAGCAGAGTTGTACTCCTACAAAAGGAGTGCCGATTTAACCTCCGATGAGTGCGGCTGGCTATGTGCAGTGCGAAAGAAGTTAAACATACATATACATGTATGATGCATGGTGATAATAATTTAACAGCAATTCTATAATGATAACCTCAGCTTTTGTCAGTCTACACTGGTCAAGTCAAATTGTTGTTTAGAATAACGTAACCGAATACAACCATATGTTCATCAATGTGGCTTGGCGAAGGTGGGGCCGCAAAGCCGGTTCGGATATCACTCCCCACTGATATTCGCCTTGGCAGGGTATCGACTATGGTGGCTGGGTTCACAGTGCAGATCGCCTAACCACTGCTCCACTGCTGAACCTATTTTGAATGATCGGAGTTTTGTTTGGTGTGTGTGGAAAACTATAGTGAGTGAGAGAAAACCACATGTATGAAAGGAGAGCATGCAAACGCGATTTAGCAATGTTTTCAAGCTGACCTGGTTTGTTACTTAAAATAAATAAATCCAATAACACTCAAATCAATGGCTATATTTTATTCTTAGATTTTCCTCCACACCCCATCAGGATGGCGTGCGCAGTGGCCACCCCGGTGCTGGAGCCAAGCGGGGACTTCCCGGCGTGGCTGGAGGCGCAGGGCGTGAACGCGGAGGTGGCCCGGGCCATGGACTCCGAGCTGGGCATCCGGGACTACGGGGTCCTGCGCGCCTGCGTCGGGGACGGCCTCGTGCGGGCCGAGCTGCTGGCCACGGCGCGCGACCGCCTGCCCTTCGGCTTCTACGCCGTGCTGCGGCAGGTAGTGAAGGCCCTGCAGGGCGCCGAGCACCACGACGCCGGGACGCCGCGCTGGGACGACGCCGCTTCCTCCCCTGGTGACGTGACCCTGGGAGGCCTGGTGGAGGTGCTGCTCGCGCTGTTCAGCGGCTTGAGCCGGGAGCTGCTGTTGTCCGTGCAGAGGCTGGGGGCCATGGATGGCGCCGGTACATATGTTGAGCCCTCCAGTCCACCTGGGGAGGAAGTTCAACACCAGGATGACGTGACGGCGTGCAGCGCGGCAACGGAGCTGCTGGAAGCGAGCGAGTGTGAACCCCCGCCTTACAGTGAGTTTGTACTTTTCTCATTCAATGTATTGAACTCTTCACCCATCGTAATATACGTGTAGGTTTTCAGAACACACTGAAACGGTGGTGGTTAAGCATTCCTGTAATCCGGCACTGTGGAGACAGAGGGTTAGTGGATCGAACTAACCTTGTGCCATATCCTGGCTCGCCAGGAGATGGCATACAGCGAAAATATGGACTCCATCGGTTCCGTGTGTACGGGATTGATTGCTTCCCCCTCGTACACGTGACTTTTCTCCAGGGATCCAATGCACGACATCCTGCATACCAGGCAAGGGAGTTAACATCTCGCCACTGCAGGGCCAAGAAAGATCCTAGAATGGACCTAGAAAGATCCTTGTTGAACGAAGAGATAGACCTCCACTTAATTCACACTCTTACTGAAACCAAAAAGACTGACAAGCGGGAGAGATCCTGACTGAAACTGAGAATAGACCCCTACTCAACCTATGGCGGTGCTTCTCAACTTCATTTCTCGTGACCCATCCTTTTTGTGGTTACCAGTCTTTTCTGTTCTCTCCCACTTTAGTCTTTTGCTAAATAGCATATCTTTTGCAGAAATTCCCTCAATCCCATCTTATCTTTGAGCGTTCTTAATTTCACTTTATAGACCCTTTCCAGTTGTCAAATCAGCATTTTTTCTGCCTTTTTTGTCCTCAACATCCTTGCAGACCTTTCTTCACCAAGCTGTTACATAATAGAATGTGCCCAACCCACATATTTATATTATTGTGCACATTGATCTACTGCACACTGCATTGTACCTGATGGTTGGTAATCAAGGACATCTGTACTGGTTTCTTACATGCTATGAAGGGCTATTTCCCAAAACTTCACCTATTATAAACTTTTCCCTTTAAGGCCACAGTGTTATTGACAAATGTATTCATTTTTTGTTCTTTGTACCAGTCGGGGTCGCAAGGACTGAACTTGAGAAACACTGCCCGAGAGAGAGACCCCTATTTAAATCAAGAGACCCTACCAAAGGCACAGATCTTGTAAAACTTTTAATTGAATGTGTGTCTTTCGGCAGATGAGACGGGGGAGAATCTGATACCGAACGTGGACTTCACCGGCTTGGAATGGTCGGGACACATCATTAAAATGGAGACTTGCGATCACGGTGAGGTGTTCCGTGTGCTTGCACAGATGCCGTGTATATTGCAAGGGTGGACCCATAGCCATTGCACTGTGGAAGTCAACACAGGGGTCCTGATTTTAAGTGTGCATTTCCAGACGAGGGGAAGAGGCTGTGGACGATGGTGACTTGGTTTACAGAGAGCGCACGCTGCAAATGGACCCATCTAATGGTATGACGGCTGTGCACTCGTGCAGTTCAATTGTCCTTTAACACCTCTTTTCCACTGGCACATCTTACCTGAGACAGTGCATGTGAATCAGAATCTTTATTTATCCTGGATAAATCCGATGAACTATGAAGCTCTTTTTCACAGATGTCTGGTAGGAGCTAGTTAGAAAGTTACAACAAAAACGACCAGTACAACGTTTATGTGACATCAGTCAGGGGCATGCCTGGCTTTGCAGTGGAAAATCAATCAGGGGCCTCCTGGAGCTGTGCCGAGTTGGCACAGCATGGCACTGGACATGGCTCGGTTAACCTCCCGAGGGTCCATTGAGGTTCAGCTTCTCGTGCGGCAAGCATGGCTCGCGTAGTTGTCATCGTCAAACCTGTCTCCCTGCTCAAACGAGCCATGGGCAGGGCTCATCTCGGTTGGTGGTCCCGTGCCAGCAGTGAAAATTCCACATTCCTATGTTGGGCATAAATTGCTCCATGGGACGTCTACTGTTGACTTCCCACAAAAAGGCTTCTTTACACCTCCTCTTAACAATTGGTGCTAGAGCGAAGCATGGACCAACCGACAGGATGGTATTGAATTTAATCAAGGTATTTAAATGGAGCATTTAAGTTAGTTTATCAATAAAAATACCTTGAATGATACCACCAGGTCCTCCTCCACCTCCACTACCAACTCCTCTTCATTCTCCACTTCTTCCATCCATCATCTCCTCTTCTACCTCCTTAACCTCCTCCGTCGCCTCCGTCGTCATCTCCGCTTTCTCCACCTCCAGGCCAAAGCTCCTCCTCTGCGGGCTTCATCATCAAGGACGTCACCTCGCTGCAGGACTCTGCCTGCCAGACGCTCACCAACCTCTCGGGCCGCTATCCCCGTGCACGCCGATCAGCCCCACCACGACGCCGCCCCAAAGCCACCATCACCACCGCCACAACCACCACCACCGCCTCCTCCTCCGCCACCACCTCCTCCTCCTTTACCTCCTCCGCCCCAGCATCATCGTCAACGACATCGGGACCCTTCTCTCCTCGCAGCAACACCGCTCTGCGTCCGATCGCCAAACGTTGCGCGCCCGTGCCAACGCACGCATCAACGTCAGCGCCAGCTGCCACAAACTACCGGACGCCCGTGGCCTCTGTGCCCAAGTACAGGCCCATCAGGCCCAGGCCGATGGATCCGTCGAGGGAACGTTCGCGCCCATTTGACGCTGCTGCTGCCGCCGCCGCTGCAGCCGCCACCATCGCTAACGTCGCAGCCGGCCCAGCCCTCGCAGAGCAAGGCTCGCACCGCTACCAGGTGCGTGGGTGGCAGAACTTGGTTGTGCTGCCCAGGTACTCGTGCGGGGACAAGAAGCCCGAGGGGTAGGGTTGCCTGGGCCCCTTTGTAGGCTCGCATGTGTTCGTTGGTTATCTAATTAGTTCGAATCTCTGCACGACCATTCCTCTGGTCCATTTGGCAGAATGCCATCGGGTACGGTCACGAAATTCCTGGGACTGATTTGTATGGTTTGTATGACTTAGCCCTCCGCATGATAGGGACTGCGGTTCGTATGTTTGAATTGCAGTGATGCCATTACCCTGTACCCACAGCAGCGTGTCATGGTGCTTCTTTCACGATATATGCATGGCTTTAATTTCAGTTGGGCCTGTCCGGGTCCGTGACCCGGAATATATTTGCATACCCGGCACACCACATCCAGTATACCTTTTGCAATAGCTGTGATTGCTAGTCACGTGCCACCTACTCCATTTTCAGTCAGAAATTAAGCCCTGGATGTGATTCGTGGTTTGCCATATTGATCCAATATTCACTTCATTTCTTTTATTTTGCGGTGAAATGTTTTGGCCACTAGCAGCAGCAGAGCTAACGTGAACCCATTACGTGCAAAGGTGTACGAATCAAAAAAACTAGTTGATTCTTGCATGTACGATCCATTTCATGTATCATGCGTCCAGCTGCCGGTGGTAGTGATGGTGACAATGACGATTATGATGGTGATGTTTATTCGAGGATAAATTATGATGGGCTGAGTTGACTTTATTGAACCTATTTTTACGGTCACAACAGAGGACGTGCGTATATGCAAGTAAGATTGGTAGGTCTGGAGATTGTGCCCTCTGGGGGCTGAGCTGACTGTTAAGTGGGATTTGACCTTGAAACCGTTCCAATTGTAAAATCAAGAGTTATTATTTTATGTTGATGTTGGTTAACTCCATGAATACCTTTGTGAAATTTGACCAACCAATTTAAATTTTTTGGTAATCTGATGCTATTTGGGTTATAATGAGGTCGCGTTTGTCTGCATTTGTTAACGTAAATGGCGGGTGAAGCTTTGAACACAAACCTTCCCTATTGAGCCATTTAGACCATAAGTGCAAATTAGGGAGCACCTTAACAGAGGTTTTTTTGGATTAGATTTCGTAAATATAAATGTGTCAATAAACCCGCCACCACCAGACAGCCAACAGTAAAGTGTGTCACGTAAGCAAAACATGCCAATCCGTTACTAGTACAGCACACCGGTGTGTTGGAGACTAAACCCACAACATTTACGATTTGAGTATGACGTTTCACCAGTAATTCCAACCAACATCATCAGGCGACAGCCAGATTTGGAGAAATGCTTCTGTTTCGTTCTTAAATAGAGGGATAAATGTCATGTCGTCACCTGTGAGCCAATCAGGTGCGAATGCCAGGGGTGGGGGGGGGGGTTATTGTATGCATATAAATAACAATGGATATCCATTATCGGTTGGGTTATTCATAGAGTAATAGTGGTGGGTTTAACGACACATTTTTATATACGCGATCTAACCGAAAAAAGCTCTTGTGGATAATATTGATTGCGAAAGCCTACGTGTTAAACTACGGAGCACCTATTAAGGCCAGCATGGCACGCACACAGGGAAATGGCGGTGGTGTGGCCACCACTACACCAATCGCCTATGTCTCCCCAATGCCGATATTCACATATACAACACCACCAGGTGACCATTTAACACTCATTTAGCTTAGGAGTGGCTAAGGCTAGGGTGAGGTTCCAGTTGTCACTGACGTTTTCAGTGGCTGAGAATCGTACCCAGGTTGGAATTGCAGTGCCTTGTGCAAACCATTGCAATTAAGAGTGCGGACGATAACAACCACAGCGACCATTTGCCACTAAGTGATGGTGATGCCACTTTTACACTTATGACAGCCTAGGTGGACTGTGATACCATGTAACATGTCGAAAGCTCACTGGCAGGAGGTCATGGGACATGCCCAGGTACTATGGGTTAACTGACTGAGATGACTGACACACACAACCTACGTTTCACAAATTTGTATTGTGTAGTTTGACATGTTTGGTTTTCTCGTTTGTTTCGCCAGTTGGAACATAAAAAAAAGTGTGACCGTAATTGTTGCAACATCAAAACGAACCTGTAACATACGTCATGTGATAAATAACAATAAACTCAATCAATGGAGACCATTGGAGTGTAGCGATCTTAAATTTAAAGTGTACAAAAAAGTTTTGACTCCTGAGCGAGTGAAGGAGACAAATAATTTTAAGTTCTAAGTTTATTTTGTTTAACCATGTGAGAACTCGGAGAGACCAGGGTGAGTCTCATTTGCAAGAGTGACCTGGGGCATTAGCCGCTAGTGGGCGACAATTTCTATGTTTAGTCTCAAGGTGTTTGCGGTGGAATTTTCGAATTTGGTAAAATTCTGACGCCAGCACGCGATAGCCTACTCTTGCAAATGATGTCAGGGGATCTTTAATGTCCACTGTGATGCAGACGGCATGTATCAATATGGTTGTTATACCCTCAGTCTGTTATCATTATATTACTCGAGAATAAGTCTTTGTTTCACCAGGTGAAAACAAATTGAGATTGGAAGTCTTTTTGTAAGGCTGACATGGATCAAGGACTGATGACAGTGCATTGCATTTCAGACCTCCAAAACGTACACCGTTAAAGAGGCCGACGAGAGGAATTGAGGTTGCACATGAGAGCTAAACGCAGCATGTTAAAGCATGCGGAACATACCACAGCGATTATCATAACAGGCACATATCATCATGGTGTACTCTACTAACAAACACAACATTGTCATTAAAAAGTGTAACATTGTAATCGAATGAGATCATGCGATGGGAAACAATTGAATTAAAACTTTCCAAGGACAGGACATGTATTAATTATATGCAGTTGGAAAAACATCACGCAAGCAATGCTTTTGGCTATTTTGTCAAGATGTGAATGTTGAGACAGGGTTGCATTTAGACGCTCTATATAGAGCCAAACGATATTGTACCAAATTTGTCCCTGTTAAGATAAGTGATGTGGGAGGCACTGCTCTTTTCTATTGACAGCCCTAAGCTAATTGTGGAAATGCCATATTCCCATGGCAGTAGTTTTTCTCTACATAGAACACTCACCATTGACTTCCCACAAAATGGCAATAATGTAACCTCCTTGCAGGATGATGATGATGGGCTGAGGTGGCTGCCACCCCGGATTTGAATTTCTGAGCTGCGGATTATGAGTTGACCTCATTCAGATGTGTCCATTTGTGTACATTTTTATAGTACTATGAATGAGTCTCTCCTAGTCATGTGTATAATTTGATTCGTACAATTAACAAAATGAATGTCTCCTAGTAATGTACCGATTAATCCCTCCAGTATTTGGAGGAATTGTCACGAATCATGGCACGAATCGATTCTATAATTCTTTCAAAAATGGTAAATAATCGATTCTTTCACGCACGACTTGTTCCATGCAAAGTTATCGTAAGAATCTATTTTAGTTGATGAATCAAAGCATCCTTACCCATCTAGCTTCTCCCAACTTATACAAACATGGGACAATGCTCATTGTTGCAGCCCTGAGCCCGAAATTGAATTGGCCTATGGAAATGGATATTTGGTCCAGAGGACAAATGATGAAGACAATGCTGATATTACATATTTGAAATGAAGACTAGGGTCATGTTGGAATTGGTAGCGAGGATGGTGGTGGCGATGACAACTTCGCAACAATAGTTGCAACAGCACACTAAAAGATGATGACGATTATGACGATGATTGACAATCGTCATGAAGATGATGATGATCATTATGATGACGATCATAACGATAACGACAGTGATGATGATCGTGATGATAACGGCGACACTGTTATTTCCGCAGGCGGTCGCCGCTAACTGCCAGAGCGCTGCGGGGACCCGGGCACCCCTGAACCTCCGCGCATTCCTGCAGAGGCGCGCGCCACACCTCTTTGAAGCGTGCCAGAGCACAGGCATGTTATCGCAGTCCTCGAGGAAGGAATTGGTCAAATTGGCCGTTTCCCACCTGGTCGAACGGCACGGCTTGTACGTATTCCTGAGCAGTTCGACAGTGTCGCGGTGTGGTGAGGTGTTGTCTCCCAATCAGACGGACGGACAGATGTGCATACAGATATACATACAGATATACAGACAGACAAACAGGCAGGCAGAGTTAGAGAAAGGCAAGAACGCTGGCAGGATTGACCAGACACGTATGCAGACATGCGGGCATGCAGGCAGTCACACAGGCAAAAAGACAGACATACAGGCAGACTAGCAGGCAGGCAAGCAGAGAGGCAGACGGGCAGAAGAGAAAACAGGCTGACGAAAGGTAGGCACACAAGTAGATTGGCATGCAGGTGTATATATAGAGACCTATGGTCCAGCATACAGACAAGACACACACACACAGACACATAGAAAGAACAGGTAGACTGTCACAGGCACACTGATTGGCAGGCATAGAGGCAGATGGCCAGATAGATTGCTAGACATACGGACATACGCTAGGCTGTTGCTACGTAGATATACTCATTGTTCGGGAGAAACTGTTGTGTTTCTGTGTTTGTTACGTGTGTGTCCCCTCGTGTACTGTGGCAACCTTAATGGTTGCTCACACCATTTTAAAGTGAGGTTTGTGAGCCTGAAGAAGTCCTTGTCTTGGCGTATGTGCAGTTAGTGTGCATGCGTTTGTGAGGAGTGGTGATGTAGTGGTTCGTGCACAGCACTGCAAACCTGTAGACAGGCGTTCGATGCCCAGCCATGGATGACATCAGTGGCAAGTGGAATCTGAACCTGTTCTGGGCCTCCCCTAGGTGAACTTGGCGTTAAATAAGTAGCTGGTGCGGTGTGTAAACTTTAGCACTCAAGAGACAAAGACAGCGAGGCATGACACTGGTCACCGACCTTAATGTACGCGATATGACCTAAATAGGTACTCGCTAACGGCATTTGACCACTCAACTAATAAGGCTATATAGTGATCTTTATGCAGTATATAACTATGTGCATGTGTTTATATATGTGCGGTTATATGTGCGAAAGCGTGTTGTACGTGTGCATCTTTATTGTGTATGTGTAGTCCTGGGCGGTAACCGGTTAGCGTAATCCGATTACCAAAGACCAGCACCAGTAGTCCTATAGTATTACCAAATATAGATATGTAGACAATGTCTCATAAAGCTGTCTCCACTTAAATATAAGTAATGTTTACACAACCCATAGGTCCCACAGGCTTCTGGAAGTGAATGATTTTCAGCAGCGTTGATTCATTGTAAGCAAAACTGTGGACCAGTTTTACTATACGTGTTTACAGAGACAATGTATGTCTCTGTACACACTGAGCATAGTGCTGTCATTTATTAATTTAAATCAGCCTAGCATGCGTTGATGTAAAGATGCGTGGATAGCCATTTGTTATTCCGCTGCAGGATTTGGGCCTCCCCACACTGTCCTTCCCATAACATAGTCCCACAGCCTATAGTCACCTGCTTTGCACAGTGGTGAACCATCCCAAGCACTATCCAGGCTCAAGCCTGCTTTGATCTGGCAAGATCGGGCGTGTTCCGAGTTGATTTTGCATTAGGCTGATTTACATGAAGTAATTTTAAACATAGGCAAGTAATTCGGTTATGTTACTTTTAAAACTACAGATATGGAGTTGTATTACGATACTTCTAAAATGCTATAATCAGCAAGAAGGGACAAATTACCTATGAGGTTAAACTCCCCTTAACATTGGCTTAAGTCCATGCTTAGTAAGATAAATTAAAAACTTTCCAGCGTGCGGCTGTGGTCATCCAGAACAGACCGTACAACATGTAACAACGCAATGCCCAGTCCACAAATAGCGATCCACTCCGCTACTATTGACCTGATTATCTGGCTTAACCACCTGAATGTAAAATTGTAGTTGTTGCTCTGCATCTTCATCGGCCATACGAAAGAAGAAGAAGTAGTAATACATTGCATTTTTTAAGCAGGGAATTGTGGGATGAAAGTCTTTGGAATCGATGTCCGGCCTGCATAACTTTACAGGAAGAACAGGATGGATACGGTATTTGTTTAATTTATTATAAGAAAGCCGCATTAGTTTATTGTATGGTTTGAAGCATAGCTAGCTACTACGCTTGTTGCAATTCAATTTCAATTCAATGCGTGGTCATTTATTGACACATTTTAGTCTAATTTATCGACACATTTTAATCTAATTGAAAGGTCTACTTTTCATAATTTGAATGGTTTATTCTATCTAGTTATGTGTCCCCTTGGTTCAGTTAGTCTAGGTGTACATTACAAACATGTCCAAATTGATACATGTGTTATGAAAACCTGAGCTCGAATACAAGTTTCAGCCGCCCGTGATCGAACCGGATTCTCAAGTGTAGGGAATTGATGGTCTTAGTCCAGTCGCTGACAAATTGTTTGTTTTTCACCTACTTTGGCTAATGCGATAGTAATGCGAACAACATTTACACCATTGGAAACCTCATTTGCCAGTAACTCTGATGGTGCAGTCTTTGAGTTGTGCGCCTTTTGGCGTCTTCTGGTCCAACACCATGTGAGACGAGGCTCTAAAGAAAGCTGTCTCGGGTGTGGACCAATCAATTTCAAGGACAGTGCATATATTATCAGAGTTGTTGTTTTTTGTTTGCGTTCCGACCGCAGGTATTGTGGTCAATGTAAACATGACTCCTTGTAAAAAAGGTGTCAGTTTTGTTGCCAGATAAAAGGGTAAAAAGCCAATTATCGAACAACATTTCTCATTCACAGTGAATGTGTGAATGTGAAGCGCCCCATAAAGGACCTCAGAAGTAGTTCCGTGATGGTGCCTTCCACGGGCCATTTTATAACACACAGGGCAATGCACGCTCGGCGAGAGTTCAATGACATGATGCATAGAGCAGTATTACACTGCATGTATCAGGCATTGAGGCATGGTTTTTTTTTGGGGGGGGGGGGCTTATCATGACGCCGCATGGGTATTTCTGTGCTCCCACAACTCCCTCTAGCTACCCAAGTTCCGTGGAGAAGACGAGCATCTCCCAGGAAATAATCGACATCTTCCGTCCCAGAGACTGGACATCGGGGACTCGAGTGTCACTGGCCATGTGAGTTTATTTACCTAATTTATTCTCGGTAGATGAGCGAGTTAAGCAAGCGAGCGAGCGAGCGAGTGAGTGGGTATGTGACCGAGTATATGTATATGTTATTGGTTGAGAGTGTGAGCGATTATGTGGTTGAGTAAGTTGGTGAAAGGGTGGGTGGGTCGGTGGGTGAGTACGTATGTTGAACTTCTTTCGCACCGTATGTGGCCAACCGTGCTAATCGAGTAATTTCGTGCGTACGATTGTGAGTGAGTGTGTGGCAAGTAATTGTGTGAGTGACTGAATTAGGAATAAGGTGCGTCGGTATTGTGGGTGGGTAACATGTGGTAAGTAAGTGGGTGAATAAGTTGGTGGTAAGAATGTGAGTGGAAAACATTAAATTTATTGCAAAAGAATCCTTAAAGAGACATTGACCAAGAACTGCGTTAGGATTTAATAATCGTCGCTAATATTATTTCAGTGCAGGATGGACAAACCACAGCTCAAAAGCCGCATGCGGCTCCTGGATAGTTAACAGTGTGGCTCAAGAGAGATACAATTGTTTTACTTTTCAATGTAACCTCATTTGAAATAGAAAAACATTTGCAGAAGCAGGAGTGGCCTGGGGCACTTGCACCTGGCAACAGAGCCAAACATGATTACTCCTGGGGCGCTTTCACAGATGCACACCGGCCCTGCAAATCTTGCTGCTCTCGGCCATATGAAGATTTCGATTTAAAGCTTTCGTGACTGCAATGATTCATCTTCTTGGTTCTTTCGGTAAAGTCACGTAGAATGAGAATAAAATAATAAATTGATAAAATAAAATAACACAATAATATTCTCACGACGTTTCGGCCACAACACAAGCGGCCTTCATCAGGTGAAGGGAGCGAGACTGTCTGGTAGGACAGCGCTGTCCTACCGCTGTCCTACCAGACAGTCTCGCTCCCTTCACCTGATGAAGGCTGTCCTACCGCTGTCCTACCAGACAGTCTCGCTCCCTTCACCTGATGAAGGCCGCTTGTGTTGTGGCCGAAACGTCGTGAGAATATTATTGTGTTATTTTATTTTATCAATTTATTATTTTATTCTCATTCTACGTGACTTTACCGAAAGAACCAAAAAACATATGAAGATTTTTTGCATGTGGCACGTACAGCGGGGAAGCTTCGCCACCGCCGTTACAGCAAAACAAATGTGCACGGTCCGCATCGAACAATCTTGCGCCCGTGTCTGCCACAGGAACATTTTTACGACCCTCAGGGCCACACGGGATTTGTAGAAGTCCGTCTGCGGAATCTGCGGCGCAAGCTGAACGCCGACCAGAAAAAATTCTCGAAAAGGCACAAGCGGAAACTGGAGGAGGGCGGGTGCGGCATGGCGGCGGCGATGGCCGTCAAGCGGAGCCGGACACTGCTGCTGGACCCGAGCGACGCCACGAGTGACCCAGAGCAAATCCCGCGAGATTTCCAGCGCCTGGTGGCCATTCCCGGTCTGGTGAGTTGAGTTAGATTGCGGGTGGTGGTCGGGTTGGTGGCTGGGTGGTGTGGGTAGAGTGGTTGGATGAGTTTGTGAATGAGTGGGTGATTTAGTGAGTAAGGTGAATGAATGGGTAAGTATGTTAGATGAAATTGTGATATCGTGGGTTATTGAGTGTTGGGCGATTACGTGGGTTTGTGTGTGAGTGCGAGTGAGTGTGCCGATGAGTGAGTGTGAATGGGGGGTGAGGGTGGTGTGTGAATGAATGCGTATATCAGTGGGTATGTTTACACGTGAGAATGTGATTAATTTGATCATGGAGTGATTAGGCAAGTATGGGTGTGTATTTGAGTATTTGAATGAGGGTAGGTTGGTGGATGGTCAGAATTCAGGTGGATGAGTGGGTGGATGGTTTGATAAATATGTAGGTAGGATGCATGTGAGTGGTGGGTAGGTAACTGCATGTGACTGTATGGGTGAGTGTATCGGCAATGGCATCAATGTTTAGTGACAATTGCAATATTCTAGAGATAACAATATAATGACCCTAATTATTATTTGATTGATGACAACGACAATAATGGGGGGCACCTTTGACCCCGCTGACGAACATCGCGGTCAAAATCGCAAAATTGTCCCCCTCGCCCAGCTCGATGCGGAGTTCGACAAAATCTCATACGGGAAGGGACGCAACTTTGTGGAGCGGTGGGAGCACACGTACGTGCCTAAGCTGCGCCGGCTCGCCGTTCACGAGTCCGAGGACGTCAAGATTCTCCGGGATGTGGAGGTGGCAGCTACCCCGGTGAGCGCGACGGTCCACACACACCCCCACTTTATCAGCCACAGAGAGACGCGGCTGCAGGCAGTCCCCTCGAAGGGAAGGCGCAACCAGAAACGAGTATGTACGTATGTATTTTGAATTGATTTCACACCATGCGTAGCCAACCGTGCTAATCGGAGGTGCGGAGCAAAAAAAGGCGTGGATTACAGGATGCTTTATTACAGTGCGGGGGTGGACACACTTTGCACCTCCAATGAGCACGATTGGCTACATACGGTGCAAAAGAAGTTCAGCATACAGTAAAACCTTGGATTGCGAGCATAATTCGTTCCGGAAACGTGTTTGTAATCCAAAGCACTCGTATATCAAACCACTCGTATATCAGTTGTGATCACGTGACGCTCGGCAGACAAAGCGTGTACGTACTACTCTTACTGCAAGACCTCGCTCGTTTATCAAATTAATATTTATTAAAAAATTTTGCTTGTCTTGCAAAACACTCGCAGACCAAGTTACTCGCAATCCAAGGTTTTACTGCACATACATGCTTTCCAATGTACGTTCGTCTGCGAGACGATTTAATTCTCGAAAACTAAATTACCTGGAACACGCCCGATCTCGTCAAGATATCGGAAGCTAAAGCAGGCTTGAGCTTGGAATGGGGACCACCATGCACAGCAGGTTGTTATAGGGCACGGGGTTGCGTGGTGAGCAGCAGAGAGCAGTGCAGAAAAATCTATTGTAGTACGAAACAGTAATTTCTTAACACAGAAGATGCATTCCTGCAAATTGCTACATTAAGCGCGGAATTACTGGCTATATATATATACACACATTGCAGGGAATGAATAAATGAAACATTGCAAATTTGAATCACATTTGCACTTTTAAATAATCCTGCAGTTATCCCATGGCAGGGCAAATAACCGAGATGAGGGTATGCCGCATAATGTATGATTCCGCGTACTGTATCATTCTGCGTACAATATCATACAGCTTAGCCACGCAGCTCAAGAAAGTAGTTCATTGTCGACCGCTCAGAAACTGCGTCATAACGGCGGGCGCGTCCCGCTTTGCGTGAAAAGTGTAACCCCCATGGAAGAACCTCGTTATAGCAAAAGCGCATTTTATGAACACACGTTAAGCGAGGATTTCCCAGTGCTTCTATATTCCCACGTCTATACTCTCTGCCATCACCAACATCACACTGACCAGTGTGGTGAAGTATGGTCACCCCCACAAACCCACATAATATGCAGAGGCCCTCATCCAGCGATGGACTGATACAGGGCTGTACATTTAATATATTGAGATGCTTGGCCAATTATTTTGCAATGAGTGTTTCATGTGTGTGGAGAAGCAAACCCGCATATGGTTGGGATAGCACTCAACATCTTCCACAAACGGGTACCCACCCGCTTTCTGTAACGATTTTTACTTGGCAGTCTCACCAGCCCAATAGGTCAAGAGTTTCACAGCATGTGACGACAATCTACGCCCGATTCACCGACCCCACCTCCCTTTCCAGCGTTCAAGGCCGTAAACATGTGCATGTCACCTGACTCAGGTTTGCTATCGTTGCCTCCGTGTACAATTCCTTCTCATTCAGATGAAGTCTGCTTCACAATGTCAAAATCTTGACACACTGCTCCCCCGACGATGGCCGGCCCAGCCAAGGGCTCCAAGTGCAGCATCAAATGTGCGCTTCCTTACCTCGTCGACTTTGCTCCGGTGAGTTATACGCCAGGGATAGTATCGGGGTTTTGGCGAAACCGCCTGTGATTAAACCGGGTTATCGGGTATGTATGTTGAACTTCTTTCGCACCGTATGTAGCCAACCGTGTTCATCGGAGGAGCAGCAGGTTGATGCTCTCGGCTCGGTCACTAATGGCCACAACGATAAAAATCGTGTTAAATTTGGCAAAAAAATCCATCTCTGAGAGTGTTTAATACTGGTTTGGTTGTCATGCGGCACACATTCCTCTCTGTAGCGGGGATGCCTGGAAGAAAGCTGCACACTAATTTGTGGATAAGAGGTCACTATGAAGATATTTCAGAAGTGGTTCCGT